AAAATTGCTAACAATTTTGACTTTATTTTCAATAATTTAATCTAATAAATTTAAATAGCTAAATTTAATTAGCTTATCTGTGATACATTTAGATTAAAATATTTAGATTAGTTTATTTTATCTATCTGATAAGTTTAGGTATCAGTAAATAGTTTTGGATACACTAAATCAGAGAAACTGAAATCTTAGAACAAATATTTTAATATTTGTACACAACAATTTTAATATTTGTACTACATATATACATTTATTTGATAATTATTGTGTGATTTATAATTTCGAATATTTGATTGAATATCACAATTCAATAATAAATCTTATTTCGAAGCCAAAATAAAGAATAACTTTTCTAATATTATAAATATAATTGACTTTTTTAAAATATTCTATTACACCACAATTTTAGAAAATTTTTATTAGAATTCTAATCCTCAGAAAATATTTGTATTTTAAAAACGCTTAGATTCGAACATGATTGAAAACTATTTGACAGATCCTCAATGATTTAATTCACAATTTTTTCACAATAGATCTCATATTTAACCATAAATATCTAATATTAAATATTTTAAATTAATTAAAAAAGATTAATATTGCATTTTTTTCTCTACAAACTGTAATTTCGCAAGTTGCAAAAAATGTTCTAAGAAACTGAGTGGCAATTTTTCGAGCTGCGAGTGGAGCGTTACATCATAGGTAGCTATCTAACACCGATATCATCAACAGCAGCGACGGGTTGCTTATCTTACAATTTCCTCTTTATAGCGCGTGCAAGCAGCGCGAGAAGCGCTACTCGCTCGCGGCCGTTGTCCTCATTCAGGGGAGGGGGAGATGCCACCATTCGAGATTATAGACAGGCAAGTATGTGACTCGAGGGAAAAAGGAAACGGTCGACCGTTTCCTTTTTCGGAGACGGAACTCGGGCGCATTCGTGTAAAAATGAGTTTATATAAGCGAAAGAACAATAAATGTGTGTGTGAATTTTCGGATATTCACGTTCATCTCCATCGTTTATTCTTTTTTTTTTTCGTTTATATTGCGAACGTTTTTTTTAAATATGTATAGTGATTTTAAATGGGTTCGAATACAAATAGAACGCTGATGAAAATTCCGTTCACAATTGTTACGGCGCACACATCTCCCGAACATCAGCGACATTCACATTCATTGTTCATTCGCTCATGCAAATGCTCAATATAAAATACGATTCGCAATAAGGAATAAAGATGAACACCTGTTGCCGTAATGCGGGCATACGCTGCGTGCTAGATTTCTCAAAACGTCATACGCTGTAAAATTAACGATTCTCGATCTAGAAAAGAACAAGAATATTTCACACTGTTGCGTACAAACATATAACTATACACAATCCTATATTCAATCTATATTCAATCCAATAACTATATACATTCAATTCTCTACATTATTTTCATAATTATTATGTATTTCTTTCATAGCGTTCAAATTTAAAAACAATTGTAAAGTTTACATATATATATCTTCCACATATATATCTGTCATATTCCATTGAATTTAAATAAACTAATTTTCTATAAAAAATATATTTAATTAATAAATTAATAAATTAAGTTATTGACGTCAAAAACTCGATTATAAAAAAAGCGCGAGGAAAAATATTTCCTTATAAAAAAATATACAGTAAAATGTTGAACTCACAGAGAAAAATAAACTTTAAGTATAAAACGTTTTTAATGTACCAGATTCCAACAAATAGACACCAGCGTGAAATATTATGTTAAACTTATCCGTTCTGTTTTAGCGCTCTTTCTCATTGTTTGAAATTACAAGATTGCTAGAGATTACAACAAAGATGTGGTAAATCTGCGCGGAAGATGTCTCAACGGCGAAAGGAAAAAATACGGCAACTACTTTTACGCAACATTGAATTACACATGAAGTAGATGTAAATAACTTTCAAGTTTTATACAAATAAAGAGAATCAAGTTAAACTTTTACAAATTCAAGAATTTAAAAAAAACTTCGAATGGAAAAAATATAATAATTTTGAATGTATAAGTTTTAAAAATATTCAAATTATCTTTAAAAATTATCGTTAATTTATAAAATTATCTTTTCTTAAATCGTTAATTTCAATAATTAAATAGTACTATCTTAATAATAGTACTATCTTAATATTGTCTTAAGTAGCGTCCAATCTAACTAATGAAATAGTTGTGTAGGGTATAGAGACAATCAACATGAATCTAAAATAAATGATTATGCGTGTATTTGTGATTCATGATTTGCAATCTGGGTAAAAAAAATCCAATCCGCATACACACACACAAATATAAAAATACAAAATTATATAAAATATGTTTATATTTCTCTCATTTCTTCTTCATTAATTCTATTTTTTTTCTAAAAAAAAAAACGATGCAAATATTATTCTTCTAATTATTTTTCAATTATTCTTTTTATTATTTTTCCTGTACATGGACAGAAATTATAAGAAAAAGAAAATACACATGGGCATGGATAGATGGCTTTATAATTATATATTATAATTATATATATTTATATATTTATATATTATAATTATATATTTATATTTGATTATGATTATTTTATATTTAATATAGATTATTTTTGTAGGTACAATAATTTACAAATCGCGAATCGTGAGAAGAGATTTACAAATGCGAATAATTTGACATTGTAGTTTAAGAGAAAAATAATAATCGAAGAATCGATCGAAAAATTGGGACATGCGCGGCAGAAAATCAAAGGAGCGGAAAAGAAAAGAAAAAAATATATTAAAAAAAAGAAAAGCAAACGCACATTGTTCCAGGCATATAATCGGGTAAATGCGCGACACGAAGCTAGAGGTAATGGACGACCTTCCGAGGGCGCGATGCTCCGCCTCCGCTGGATAATTCGAGAAACAATGGCAGCCAACGATATGCACCGACATGAGTTTCATGATGAAAGAGACCAGCTTCCGTGAGAGTAGAAGTCATGCAGTTTTGTGCAACACGTCTTCACGAATTTGTCGACATCGCGTGGAACGAAATTTATTTTATTTATTTAATTTCGCGATATAAAATTCATATCTGATTGCATGTATGCAAATATGTGACTACTCTGACTCTAAGTTAATTATTATGCAATAATCGTATGTCTATAATTTCGAATTCTTGGCAAAAAGGGAGATATTTTAAGAAAATATTTAAATTAATATATAAATCTTTTTTTGTTCATGAAATAATGAATATCTAATCTTCGAAATCAGAAATCGCCGTTACTGAAATTTTTTTCCCTTTATTTTGATTTAATTTTTTTATAATTTTACTGTTTATTTAAGTTAAAAATATCCCGTTTGCAGTCTCTTAATTTTTTAATTTTATAAAGAAGAAACGAAATAGTAAGAACGATTTATAATGCGCTCTGCCTTCAATGAAAATCTTGCGGTGTGATTAAGAGCAAGATAGATCGAAAGTGCGATACGCAGATAACATAGTTCAACAAAACAACTTTTTTTAATCACAAAAACAATACTACTTATTTACTGTCTGTAATTTTTTTGACGCTAAATATAATTCCTATCTTCAAACCTGGCTTATCCCATTGTAATTTTGAAAAATTTGTAGTTAAAGTACAAGAAAGGGCTATTTTAATTAGGGAAAATCATTAAGTATGTTGTAAATAATTATTAATTAATTTACAGATATCTCACATCCCCATTTGTGAATTTAATAAATACATTCATATATATGTATACAATATAAAATCTTTTTTATTTTTTTCAATAATCATTTATAACATACTTAACTTTTCCTTCGACTTTTTTTTCTCTCGTATTTTGACATATTATAGTAGCTATGGAATATGGCATGTTAGAGAAGCTTTATTGTAATCAAAATTAAATATGTTGTTAGAAATTTCTCTCAAAAGAAAATTTGACAACAGTTAATAACATATTTATGATTAAATATTGAAAATATATTGAAAATATATTAAAAATATTGAAAAATATTTTATAGATTCATAATGATCTAATCGGAATTGTTCGCAGTAAACACTTCATATATAAATATCAATATCTTATCTAATTGACAATAAATTTCTTTTGATAATTGAAACTCTCAATAACATAATTTTAATTGAAAAAATAAAATATCGTGTATAACTATATAATAAATAGAAAATATATTAAAATAGCCTCTTTTCTTGCCAACTCTTTAACTGTTCTTACACTTATGACAAGGCAATTTGCAAAATCGAAATCGTATTCTGTGTCAAAAAATTACGGAAGGTGACTAGGCTTATTCTTTTTTTGAACCTATGTAATCAAAACGAGCATGTGATCCGTTGCCCGCAGCTTTTTACAACGCGTCAATATATCGATGAGACCGGACTGCAAAGTTTTGAAAATCTCATTAATCATGGTACTTAATCAACACGCATGCGCAATCATCGTGAAAGTTTTTAAAGCCATAATTTCGATTAAATGGACTCTACTAAGCAATTTTCGTTGCTTTTTTTCAAATTACAATTTTCCTTGCGATATGGATGCACATACAAAGAAAGAAAATTCATGATTAAACTCTTGCATAACTATAAATTTATATAACTAAACTCCAAATGACGTGCAATTAATTCTTCAGATTTTTATGTAGATTTCTATATAGATTTTTTATTATAATTTTGGACAGCGATTATAGATACGTAAAAGGCTAGACATTGAGTAAGGAGTTTCATCATTAATTCATCACGAAAATATCATCATTAATTCTCAAGCACTTTCTACGTTTTGCATATATTTGACTGTTGCTTCCTTCAAAATTCCAATATATACGCGTTTATTATTTGAAATATGCGATAAAATTCTCGATTGCTGTATCATTGCGAATGCCGATGATGTAGCAAAAAAATAAATCCCGAGTCGCGAATCAACTCGTCCGTGGCGAACCACTTCCGCCTCGGACAACCTCTCCCTCTTTCCGTCTCTCTATCCATCTCTCTTCGCTCCGTGTTACCTTATTCTGTAGCTCGTTGATGAGCACGTAAACGAGTAGCGTAATCTCCTCCTCGTCGGAACCGAGAGCGTTTCCTTGAAGGCCGGCGGTCGCGACGTAAAGGGCGACCAGGATATTCGGCGCGCCTCCTTCTCCATCACCTCCCGTCCTTGTCCCCGTCATTGTTCCCGTGGGACTCGCACACCTGGCAGCTTCGAAGCGGCTCGTTGCTTCTGCTTTTGCTCCTCTTCCTCCACCTCCTCCTCCTCTTCTTGACGTTTCGACTTGGCACACACTCTCGCGCCGACGTCTCGATGCCGAGAGACGTCCTTATCACTGATTATTATTCACTGATTATCCACCACGCGCGGCATATTTCTCGGGACGGCGGACGCGGCGGTTTGAGGTTATGGCGACGGCGATTTAACTCGGGGGCACACCTGGAACAACCGTGAAAAATCGGGGTCCCGCGATCCGCGGAGATCGATCCCTCGAGAGATATTACTTTACAGTTCTTACTGTATCTCCTTCCCCCTTCTGTTTCTGGGGCCGTACGCTCGATCGGGAGCGTCGTCGAAAGTCGCAAAGTTCTATGCAACACTAACCGTATGTTTCCCCGGCTCAGCGTAACGAGGCGAACACGTCGTTGCCTCACCTGGCGACTGCGCGTCGACGCAGCGTCCCTCTCCCGTTGGCTAAAACCCTTACCCGCTTGGTGTATTATGGAAAGAGGGGGCATGGGGAGGGGGGAATATCTACACGCGCTACAGGAAGATTCTTGTGCGAAAAAAAAGGAATTACTGTTTAATGGAATTTCTATTCACGTAAATAACGTACAAATATTTCACATTCGGACGTATAAGAAGAAAAAGGAAGAGGAGAGGGGAAAGAGAGAGAGACAGAGAGAAGAGAACACCTGTTGCGCGTTAACGACTCTCTCCTTCTCTCTTGCTTTTCACAAGCGCAATTGAGGATTAATATTTTATCAGGAAGGATATGCTTAAGCATTCTCCAATTTATACAAACTGGACTATAAACTAAAATACCGTTTAGATGTGCTGCTACTGATTTGTGATAAAATAAAATTTTACCTTAGATGAAAAATATTGATGATATAGATTGCTTGAAAGTAACTTTTTTATTTTTCTTTAAATAGCTGTTAATTCCTGATTTCCTTTGTTTTCTGTTAATTATTTAAATATTTACTATACATGTCACTACATATTTACTACTTGTAATTGCTTTAATTGCTTGCTATGCGTGCTTTTTTGTATACTTTTACACTTAATATACTTTGATACTTTTCTATTTGTAATTTTTACTTGATATTTTTTTATTTATAATTTGAATTATAACTGATTTACTGCCTCAAAGGGATACGACAGTAATAAATCTATTTAATAATATATTTATATCATCATACATCTATTTAATTCATTACTTTATCGACGATCTATTTATTATTTTATCTCTCGTAAATCAAATAATGAAATAAATATCGAATATCTGGATTTTTAATTTTTAATAAATGAAACATTTAAGAATTAAATTATACAAGAAAAAAAGAATTAAATTATGGAATAAAGAGAGAAAGAGAGAGAAGGAAGAAAATTGTATTTATTGAGCATTATGAGAGTTCTTTTCGAAGTAGCAAAAACAGATCATTTAAAAAGAATCTAAATTCACATTAATAACAAGTTAAGTTTTAGAGAAAGGGGGATTAAGATATAATATTCAGGAATTTAATTTATTACATGAATAAAAGAGAAAGGCATATATGTAAAACTAGATGCACATTATATGTTACATTGACGTAATGGCACTTTTAGACATATATAAAAATAGAACTGATCGATTATTCATATGATAGGTTCCTATCGTTCGAAATATTTTAAATATTTTAATTTTCCGATAAGCTTCGAACTTGTGAAATATTACGCTATAAATATCGTTCAGGAAAATGTTATTGGAATTGGAATTGGGTCGCCTGGAAAGAAACGAGAAAGCGGGCTCGAGTAATTTACCTAGTGAGCAGAATAAGAGAAAACGAAGGGAATAATCCGACATATTGAGCGAAAGAGAAAGATGCAAAAAGAAGAAATTGAAAAAGAAATTATAGTGTGAAAGATCGCCAAAGAAAGAAAAAGAATTCAGAATTCGAAAAATGCGAATTATTTCGTTGGCGTATTATTTTAAGCGATCAACGTTTGCTCTTTCAAAAAACTGCAAATGACGAAAATGACACGCGATCCGGATAGAGCGGTCCATGCGGTTGAAGGGAAAGGCAGATCGAAGTGACTACGCCAGGTGCGCAGATGCTGTCATGGTATAACTGAATTCTATACTATACTCAAATATGCTATTTACATATGAAAGAAAACGGAACGAAAGAGAGAGAAAAAAATAGCCTTTAGTTTCTATCTTCTTCTGATAATTTTCTACGCTAGACAGAGAAAGAAATAAATTATTGACCAATTAAAAATCACGATACGTTCGATATTCCACAATATAATCGTGTACGTGATCTTAATGCTGGACAACGGTGAACGGTTCCATTCACATTTTTTTTTTTGTTGACTTTCTTTTTACACAAGATATTCATTCTAAAAAATGCGTGTCATTAGCTACAAGGAAATGCGATGCATTTGAATTATGCAAGAATAAAATATTAATATTAATACAACAGAACGCTTTTCTCTCGATTCATTAAATCAATAAATCTTAATAGAAATAGTAAAATTTATATAAGTGAGGATTGATATACATATATGTAAAAATAAATTAAAAAGATGAAAAGCAGATATGAATCGAACTAATTCAAATTTTCCTCTAAAATTTGTTAATAAAAATTAGAGTATTTCATTGTGAATTCAGCTTATTGCATTATATAAAATTCACATTTCTCATAAATATTTAGCTTATATCCATTTTTCTATCTCCTTTCTCCGTTTATCCCGATATAAAATACATCAACTTTTATTTTATATTTCTCTCTGTCTTAAGACTTGATATCATTTCGCGTCAAGTATGTAATTATGCAACTACGTCATCGAATTTATGCGGTTTCCTGCAAATATGCATTTGAAAACCCTCGACCTTAATTTTAATGACAAATTTTTTTATGCCAATATATTTCCTATATAAAAAATTAATATTTAATCTTCTCGAAAAGTCTCGTATTTGATTAAATATCCGTCTTTACAGAAAATACTCGAGAAAAATTGGCACAAAAAGAAATGATGCTATTAAACATTAGTTTAAAAAAAATTCGGACAATTTTGAATAACGTAGAATATCCAGACTATGTGTAAAATATGCTTATTTGATAGTTTTTTTTACGTATACACAGTCAAAACGATAAAATAATAACAAAGCCATTTTTCATAGCTTTTAAAGATTAAATATGATTTCGATTTTTAAATTGTTTTGACATTACAATTTTGAAAAATTTTTAGTTAAAGTTATAAGAAAAGGCTATTTTAATCTATTTTTTATTACATTATATGTTATATTTATTATTATAATTATGATATATGTTGGAAAATTTTTATTACAGTTAAAATTAAGTGTGATGTTAGAATTTTCTCAAAAGAAATATGTTGTGTCCATTATGGTTAATAAAATACTCAGTTAAATATACGATCTGTTGTGATTAGACTATTTATCAAATAGTTTTTCATTAAATTATTTTAATTTTGTTATTTTAAGTTTATTTTAATTTTGAATGGTTAACTAAATACGAATCCGATGTCAAAATTAAAATAATAAAATTAACATGAATGATAAAATTAAAAAGTATTTGAATTCTTGCATAAATGTATGAACAATACGATTTGAATTTGTTAATTTTGTCACTAAATTTATATTCAGTGACCTAAAAAAATTGTCGTTTAAAGTTTATAGTTGAAAATTATTTGATAGATCTCCAGTAATCTAATTCGTAACAATTCCATTTTACCAGTAGAAATAGTATGAATTAATATAAAATATAATAAATATCTTATTAATTATAGTGTATATGACCAATTTTTCCTATAATTATAATAAAACTTACATTAATCCAAACTTACATTATATTACTGCAATTATGATGCAAAATATTAAAATATCCTTCTCTTGCAACTTTAATTTAAAAAATTTTCAAAATTATAGTATGATACAGCAGTTCGAAAACCGAACTCATATTCAACGTAAAGCAAACGTATAAGAAATGACTAGTCTTATTTTTATGTTCGAAAAAAGTTCTTTGTTTTTAACTCTGTTACTGCAGTGTGATCTTTGCACGACGCAATAAAAGACTGATGCGAGTCTTATTAAATATATACACTTATAATTTTGCTAAATGCCATTGCTATAATACAATATTCTACATTTTTCAAAATGTACATTTAAAGAAAAAATATATATAATGGCTGTAATAAATTTACATTTTTTATACATATCAACTGTCAACGCAATTACACAGTCAGATTATATGTATTCATGCATATTAATACTAGCGTGATGATGCGTGTTCGCTTAAAATATTTCATTCCTGTATAATGATCATCGTCATATGACGTACTGTCCTATAATTTAAGACAAGATTGTCAAAAACAATCGCAGGATAAATGTCAAATTACGCGGCACAACAGTTTACTCCGAACACGATCTATCTACTAGAGGCATGCAAATCACTCCCGCTCTTACTCCCGCACGTTCCCGTCAGCGAAACTGGATTCGGCATTTCGAAATTCTAGATTATCGGGAGCGCTGTTATCGAGAATAGAGGTTCGGGAACGGGCGAGAAATCTACCCCCACTCCATCTAAAGGCCTTTGCACGTACAAAAATTTTAGTCGTAACCATAAGGTCGTACGAAAACTGTCCAATCACAGTTGATTATTCTTTTTATCGCAGAAAAAAATACTCGACTATGATTTGTCAATTTTCTTACGGCCTGTTCTACTGAGTCGTAAGTCGTAGGCAAATTGACCAATCATGATTGATTATTTCAAAAATTGTAGAATTGGGCCTATGACCTTACGGTTACGACTAAAATTTTTGTACGTGCAAAGGCCTTAATATAGCATCGAGACTCGGGACTCGCTCGTTTCCGAGCTTCCATTCTCGATAACAGCGTTCTCGATAATTTAGAGTCTCGAGAATCCAGTCTCGCTGTCGGGAATGAGCGGGAGTGAGGGCAGATTTGCACGCCTTTACCTAATTTTGCATTCATAAATCTGTACGTAAATATAAAGCGCGCGACATTTATCGTACTAGAAGAAAAATAGAAATACGACGAGCAACAGGGTTGACGTGTTGCTCCATCTCCTTTCTTTTTAACGCAACTATTATTAGATGAAGAGACTTGAAGGAGGGCATAGGAAATATACTCACTAAAAGAAAGAAAGAGCAAGAAAAACGCTAGGACAACTGTTGACGGAAATAAAGAAATATCCTGAAGAGTGGAGTGCTTAGTTCCTAGGCAAGATCAACGATGTCGCGTCGACCGCGTGAGATTGGCCGAACCACCTGTTACGCGTCAGCCGTGATTGGCCGAGGCCGGCGGTGCGTAACAGCTGTAAGGAAAGGCAAGTGCATCGTCAAGCGATGGTCTACAATGGACTGGCGAGAAAAAGATGATCTTTTGCGACGCAATACTCTCTCTTCGATCCTGCAAAAATCAAACGAATACAAGAGAAAGAGAGAGAGAATCAATAAATAATACATAATTCATGCGTCTATTCATAATAATAGGACGTAATATGTCTTGCAAAGCGAAATTTATATATGCTTGCTTAATTACTAATTAATTAATAAATAAATGGGAATAAATAATCAAGATAAAAAATCGGTATAATTAAAATGGTTGTTTGAAATTATGTATAAAAGTTCTATTTCTTTTAACAGTTATATATGAACATTTCTGATAAAATATTTTTAATTATTTTTCTCATTTAATTAATATTTGCTATCATAATACTGAATCATATTTCAATCATACTACCGAAAATTGAAAATTTTGAAAACTTAAATAGTTCTTTAGTTTATGAATCGAAATTATATAATTATAATGTATGGATTTATATCATCTTGTAAATTGGAGTCAACATGACAAAAATCTTGTGCTACTTTGAAAGATATAAACTCAGTTTAATTTTCAAATTATAATTCTATATCTATAGGTTGCATAGAAAGAGAATCTGTTGAGATTAGTATTAATTGTAAGCGAAATTTATATATTTGTGGATGATTATTCATAAAATAATAAACTTATTGTTTGTTCTGAGCTATTAGTAAATAAATCTATTTTATGATATTTATGTAGAGTTTTCAAGAAGTTTTCTTTTAAATTATACATTCTGTAAAATATAGTGTGCAAATCAAAGGAATCTTAATCGCATTCAAGATCACATAAATCGATAGCATATAAATATTTGATTAAGTAGTTGATTTTATAATTCTTGCGTTAGCTCAGAACTATTTTTAAACAACGCTTAATAATTAAAAAAAAAACGGTAACAGTATTTAATATTCCTAAACATTCATATTTGTTGCATACATTTGATATATTTTTATATTCTTGGCTTTTATGTTTATTTTTTTGTTCTTGACCTTTTGTATCCTATTTTATGTGTATTCTTTAGAGAGACACGAATTGATGATACAATCATGCTTTAATTCTAAATAATGTGCTGAAAAATAATAATTTTAAATTAAACAGAAGAACGCCTCGTTTCATCAAAATGGCATGACATTTTAACTATAATTAGTCTTGCAATAAATCCCGTTGTGATTCGGACAATTTTTAATTTATTCGCACTCTAGGAAAATAGATGTTTTATCGCCCATATCATTGAGATTTGTTTACGTTTGTACGCATTTTAAGTTTTTCACAAATGGAACATTTAAGCACACGCATTAAAATCTCAGAGAGCGAAGTCCATCTGGATTCCAATATCGTCGAGGAGAGCCAGTTTATGATGTCGGACTCTGTACCGCGGCTCATTCGCCGCTAATATGAATATATTATTATATTATTATTATTAAGATTATCACACTTTAAATTTTTTCTTATATATATTTTATTGAATCACGCTCTTTTTATTGTTGATTTTTTTATCATTGGAGCCGTCTTTTTAATATAACGTAACAGTTGATTAATGATGAGATTCCACTGGACATTAATGCACAGTATTAATACGTATTAATGTGTAACTCTAATAGAAATATTCTCCAAGTCTTTCTGAATGCTTGATTTTAAAAAAGTGTCGCTTTAAATTGAGATATTTGCAGATATAGAAATTTCCTGAAAATATAATGTGTATCAATAAAGACAATACGAAATTAAAAAAAATTAATGTAAAAACTTCGCGTTTTTGCCGACGAGGTAGAAATCCACTTTGGATTCTCTTATGATTAGTAAAAGGATGGAGAACGGATTCACCGTTGCGAGGAACTTTCTCTCAAGCAACGTTCACGTGGTTCTTGTGTCATAACTTTCGAAACGCCACAATAAATCCCTTATGCAAGTACATTTTTTTTAATGCATGGGATTAATTCTAACATATATTTGGGGAGATATACAATAATATTTGAATCAAAAAATTCAGAGACAAGGATTTTACCAAATAGATTATAAAATATTAGACGAAATCGCATAGAGAAAAAATTTTATCAATATAAATAAATAAATAAATATATACCTATTTATCTTCATCAAATTAAATAAATTGATTTCTTATATTATTTTACTATATTATTTATTACATCTTAGAAATAATTCTGCTATTTGCTGAAGAGCAAAAAATGATTATTTATTATTAATATTTTTTAAGTTCTTTGTATTTACGTGTTTACTATTAATATCTTCAAATAAAAAATATGAAAATAAGTTATGCGTTAATGAATCAATTGTATCAATTTCAAATCTTATGCAAATGAATTAAACAATTCCATTGCATCTCTGATTCTATAAGAGCATTGTGATAAAGAAATATGCACACTCCATAAGGAAGTCAAGGATTCCACAAAGTGTGCAAAGAGCAGTTTCATGAATATCTGGGCGCTCGAGCGAATAGTAGAACCGCGAGGAAGCAGCTCTCGTTGAAGACGGAAGAGAGAAACGTCCTGTGAGAGGCATGATCGAGAAAGAGCGAGCAAACACATTGTGGTCACTGACCCGTCTGGAACGTTGACTCCATGTAGTCAATCCCTTCTTTATATTTTCCTCCGTTCCCTATTTACACCCGTCTTACCGCGTGGCATACCTCTGATCACCTTCGGAGTTACCTCATCTTATCTCTTGCATTTTTCATGCGTTGTCCATTGATTCCATATTTTCGTTAGATCTTCTCGAAGAATTTTCTTTTCTCTGTTTCGTATCATCTGTCATGTTTTATCTTCCTGAAGAATAGCTAACTTTTCTTCCGCTACTCGTTTACTTAAAGTATATTGATTTCATCTTCATTTATTATTATTTTTCCTTTTCTTTAGCTCATTTCCTTTTGATAGATAGATAATCTTCTGATGAAAATAAAAAATATTATGTCATTGTCAATTTCTATGTTTTTGCATCGACAATATTAACACATATATTTCATCCGGAATTTAGATAAATCTTTGATATTTTTATGAAAAAAACATGTTTATACATGTATGTAAATATATGTATATAACATAAAGTGTGTTAAAATTGATATTTTAATAAGAAATTAGTATTCCTTAAATTTTTATTATTTAAATTTGTTTCCTATTATAGAATATCATTGATTTTATTTATAAATTTTTTGTCAAACTATTAAAAACGGCTAAAAAATTTTGAGGATCCTTATAAATATTCTGTATATATGTTCTTAATAATATAATATGTGTATTGTAATATAAATATCAGTATATTTAATAAAATAACTTCAATTTCGCTTAGACAATAGCGTTAACATTTTTAATAAATCCTATTTTATCCATGTTTTTACATCCATGTTATTACTGTTAAAAATGAAATAAATTAAAGAAAAATGTATAATGTAGTTTCGACAATAATTGCCTTTTGCCTTTAGTTACGATTAATACCGTTATACGCGAATACCGTTAGAATCGTAATCATTCCCGCATCGGGAGTCTGGGATTCAAGTCCTATTTACTAACGGTATCCATTTATTCCAAACAGAGGGCTTGCTCTATTTTTTCTTTTTCTTTATCAATTTTGCAAATCATTTTTAGCGAAAAAAATTATCCATTTTATGACTATCTTATATTAATGATAGGCGTACAAAAGAGTTTTTCTATCATTGATAATAAGAACATTCACATTGTTTTCTTCCATTGCATTCCTCTGTTATTATAGAAGCTAAAAAGGAATTAAGAAGTTGTTGAAATTATTTAAGAAATTCTAAAAAATTGTACTTATTTACATTTATATACATAGAAAATAAAAAAAAATCTTTAAGCTTATTTTTTTCAAAGTTTTCAAGATCCATTATTTTTTTAAGTGGAGATATATATAATTTTTATATCGTAGTTAATATTGTAATCACACGTATGTATAATAATATGATCCTAAAATAATTTTCAACTTCAAAAATTAAAATTAAATGGAAAATATATTAGTATACTAAATTCTTCTCATTAACAATCTGTCAAAATAGTGATCTTTAGCATTTTCTGAGAGAAAGAGAGAGAGAGAAAGAAAAATAATTACATTATTCCAATATCGATTGTAATACTCTTTCAACAGAATGTTGGAGAAAATAAGTAATTAAAATATAGAAAATAATAAGTAAATATTTTGGTTTTAATTGATCTAAACTTTGACTAAAGTAATAATGACATTGTATTTTTAAATAAATAGCATATTTTTAAAATATATATTTCATTATTAATATACATAAAAATAGTATATTTCAAATTAAATATTTTATATTCATGAATATATAAATTATAAATAATACTTATTATGTATCGACTATTTAAAATATCTAAGTATTCATATACATGATATTTTAGGATTCATTAAACAAACCTCAAAGAGTATAGTATTAAGTTTCACTAAGGAATCAATTTTCATTCAGAAACCTATATTACCTATATCCATAAAACATCCTTAAGGATTATACATCCTTAAGGATTATACATGTTCCTATTCAATCGCCTGTGTGTAGGCAACCGGAGACAATATTGTGTGTGACATCTGATAATATTAGTTCACACTTTTTAATTGTTTCTATTGTTTTTAAATTTTATTTAAAATATAAAAAAGTAATAAAATTAGAAAAATGTAGAAAAACAATAAAATTATTAACATTTATTTTATTATGTATACATCTATTCATGTAAAATAAATCTTAAAACCAATCTTTTTAATAAGTTACATGTTTATACAATAACACATATTCTCCATAATTTGATTGTGGAAAGTGTGTATGAAATACTTTAGCGATTATTTTATATCTACTTAAGAAGTCAGTTATTTTATCCACAACATTATCAAATATTACTATATGAGTCGGTGATATAGCATTTTTATTATTAACATAATTATTATTGAGCCAAAATGTTGGATTTGCAAAAAATTGATCAGCTTCATCCAAGTAATCATTAGAATTATTAAAATTAGGTTCACAAGTTAGAAATTTTACTGATGCATTTGCATGCAAATGACTATACAATGGCATAGCATGGCATGGAGTTAGAATTAGCATATTGGTTGACAAAGGATTAGCACGAATTTCATGCTGTAAAAGCTCAATTAAATTTAACGTTCCACGTTGATGAATGAAGGAAAAATAAAATCCGGGTACGACATTGCTGCATATTAACAATGCTAAAATACTTTTACGAGCAAATGCCGTAATTCTAACGTTTAAACGATAAATACAAGCGGAACTTACATATATCAACATCGGTAAAAGCGGTAAAATGAATCGAAATTCCTTGTGAGGCAACAAAGAGTAAACAAATAACGTCCAACCAATTACTATGAGCATAACTGATTCTCGATGGAAGTAAACGGAATGCTCAAGTATTCGCCAAACAGCAATCAAAAACGGAATATAATACAATCCGAGTATCACGGGTAAACCGATAAAGATATACCATAATGTATGTTCTTTGCCATATATATCTCCAACACTTTTAAGCACATTCACTTGGAAGAACTTCCAAGGGGTTATTACAAATTTTCCATAACAGTAACTATCTATTAATATGGAGATTAAAAAACAACAAAAACATATTATTGCATAGTGACTACACAATGCTATTTTCTTTTCCCTACTTGAACAAATATGATATATGCATAATGGAAACCATATAATCGCAGCAGTAGGTCTTATCATACAGAGAAAACCTACAATCCATAAAAACTTTGTACTTTGTGCATGGTTATCTTTCCATGGGAATATTGATAATGCTATTGTGGTACAGACAGTTTCTACCGAATTTATTAATGTTCTTGAAGCACAATAGTACCAATACCAATTAGAGCATAGAACAAACAACGTCCATTTGGACTTGGTCCATTTATAAAATCTGTAATCTCCATAAGTGGCTAGAATGGCTTGAAAAACACGAGGCAACATTGTTAATAGTAATGTAAAGTCTAAAGAAAAGATGGCGAGTATACGATACAGAATTGATATGAGAAATGGGTAAATATAACTACGTATCATCATTGTCCATTCCCATGTAAGATATCCATAATTAAATGCTAGATAATGAGCTACCTCAAGCGATTGCCAATATTCATCTGGCACATGAGCAGTTTGCACCACGATCACAGAAGTTAACCGCCATAGTAACAAAAGAGATAATATTCCAAATCTTCTTGGTAAACGCATTTTGAGCCAGTAACCTCGCATCTGTATACATCATTTACTGTAGAAACGCATTTCAAAAATCTCGCTCAATGAGATGTGTCTGCAAAAAGCCGGTTTCATACTCTAGTACCTAGTACATAAAAAAAACTGAACGCATTAGATTTCTCATCTCCAATTATGGCAAATATTTGTTACTTAAAAGAAATCAACGTTACCGGATATATTTGCATAGACCAATAATGTGACTATTTGTAATTATTCGAGGACAAATCTATTAAAGGGTTAGAATTATAAGTTAGATTAGGCGTTCTTCTCTATGTTGATAGTAGGTGAAAAATTGAACGTAATTTTTCTACTTTCACGGTTTTGTTGCTGAATGGTTGGACAATTTTTGTAAAGTCCAGATTCGTTGTTATGAATGAGTGCAATTGATTGTTAATCTAAACTAGAGAACCTCCTAGAGGTTCTCTAATCTAAACTTAACACGATCCAACGAGGTTAAAGATGCAATTTCATTGACGCTAGAAACCAGCGGCAAATTAAAATCACTAGACTTTCTCTAGATATGGCGTCAATAAAATAAAGTTCAAACAGTTTCAACTTTTTCAGTGTGTAAAGCGGCCTTTTCATTGACGCTACTTTTTAGCATCAATGAAATTGCACCTTAACAGTTGGCAGCCCTACGAGATAGGCTGTGCAGCACTGCGCGTATATAAAATAAATTTGAAATCGCTTCTAGCCTAACCATCTTCACGCGATCGACTTTATTTGAATTGCACGGCATCGCATCGAATTATGATGCGGCATCGATTTATTCGAACGTAATTCGGGACATCGCGATGCTGTATAAGCGTCGAATGAGCACGAATTGTCACGCAAATATGATAAATCACATCTACTCACCGTTCACCGGCTGTTCCACAGACCGCTCCACTCGCTCGCCTCGAGACGTCCCATTCCGATCTTGATGCACACGATATCATCAACGCGAACGCGCGACACTTTATTCGGCACTCCCGATATTCGCTCGCATCCGATAATCATCATCAAGGGCGCAAATAACGCGACGCGACTTCGCTCCATCTTTGCGATCGCGCTATCACTGAATTGTCGAAAACGGCTGTCGCGCACTTTCACCGACATATTATGAAAGTCGCGCGATCATCCTTGGACACTTTCGACGCTCTTTCACTCGCGATATTCGTTTAAAAACGGTTAAAAGACGCGAAAAATGCGGACGTACGACGATCCGTGTAACTGCGTATGACTCCGATTCACGTATGACGCGTATGACGTAGCTATGACGCTATGACGTAGCAGTCACGCGCCAACATGGCGGCCGAACCACTGCGCATTCGTTTTTGCGCATGGCCATTCCTGCGCTCAACGTTCGCGCAACTTTGATTTCTGAATATTGTCTACGGCTTTAATTAATAGCACATAATGATAAATATATAAAGATGGAATCAATTAATCATATTGGTCATATATGTAGACTTGCCCGAAGAAATAGAGAAAAAATTGAAAGATATTTTTAATTTCTTTTTCTTTTAGTAAAGGATGGAAATGTCTATTCATAGGCTTGTTCTTTTTTTCCTCTTTCGCGCAATTTCGATTCAATATATAACGTAGAAAATTCATAGTATATTATGCTAATGATATGAATTACGAATGATTCGATTGTCATCGTGCTTTTCCAAAGTCAAATCTTATAATATTTACTTTTGCATTTTAAAAGAATGAGAGCGAACTAAATAAATAAATAAATAAATAAATAAATAAATGATGTTGAGAAAAAGAAAAAGACGACTCATAAATATAATAAGTAAATATATAAATATATAATAAAGATTGATATTAATATATACATATATATCATACGAACTTGTACGATCTCAAAATCTTTATCTTTTATTCCGTTACTCGAATACTTGTACGTTAATAGATTTAGGTTACACACATTGCATAAAGCTTCGATATTTTGCAATCTTACCTCATCTCAATTTGGAGAAGCACCTGCATTCCTTTCGATAAATGTCCGCACAAAAATACATCGCGCTTCAAATAAATAAAAGTCACTCGATACTGTGCACCATTCTAATCGTACGAAATATATTCGACGATTTTTTTTGGATCACTGTATTATCGGAACGTGCGATCAGAACGATTCGAAAACGATGAATATATAGAATTTGAAGAGATATCCAATACACGACAAATTATACTTGCATTGATTAGTATTCATCAACACCGAACTGTTAATCGCGAATACGTGTACAACACTTCCACACATTTTTTTCGTAAAGAACGATATACGAAATGCAATATTTCGCGCCTCGCGTTTCACACAATGCGGCAATCTTTTTTGCTGTTTAGTATCGCCATCTACATTCGCGTTAAACGCCAGAATTACGTAGTCCAGATACTTCGACTGCCGGTAAAGTCATCATTTTGTGCATGTCGGTAAATTGTTAGAATCACGTCGCGCAAGCATGATTTTTTTATTTGTAGTATAATAAAATATGTAATTAAAAATTCATGTAAAAAACGTATTTTTAATCAAATTACATATACTTATTCCGTTACTCTAATACTTGTACGTTAACAGATTTAGGTTACACACATTGCATAAAGCTTCCAGAGAAAAGTATCCAGAGGCACAAATATTTTATAAACGAAAATCATGCGAGGATGAAACAATAGATTAAAGAAGCCGTATAATCATTGTACTTTTATGTATAAACGTTTCACAAAATAAAATCTTTATAAATGAAGTGTTACATTAAAAATGTTAGTATAAAATTAAATATCCATGTGAGATTTAAAATTTTTTGTCCTTTTTTTTCTTTAGAATTTTATTTTTTTTTCTAAAGATTCTTTAAGCGAGAACAGTTTCTTTCGCAAGACTATTGAACAATTTGATATTTTTTTAGTAGTTTAAATTTCGTGAAAAAATTCGAGAGAAAATTAGATTTTATCGTATTACTGCGCATATCGATTAAATGCTATATCAAATATGTAGTGTAAATATTTTAATTTTTTCGTATACGATCTATTTTTTATTCTATCGATGTTTTCATAGTGATGCACCTTGAGCATTTTACTTCATATATTTGCAATAAAAATATATTAAAGCAAATTATTTTGCAAATTTATTATTCTAATTTTTATTTAGAAAGAATAAGATTTAAAAAGACGTATGAATTTTTTCAGATTTTTTTACATATTTCCATTGAAAAAAATGCATCAGATAAAACTGACTTTTCTGTACATTTTAAATGTGCCAAAAGATTTGCTCTTTATTTCACTTACTGCAATAATGTACACTAAAAATGACAGATCTATATTAAAAATGATAGATTAGTAGTATATTTAGTAGTTGGAAAGAAAGAGAGCAGAAATGAAAACTGCATCTAGAGAATTTAAAAGAATAAAAAACAAATCTAAAAATAATACATAAAGATTAATATTATGTATTTTTTTCATGAGGAATGTGGAGCACACATTTATGCATTTATTTATTTAGATGAGATTTACTTTAGAGCACATTCAGTATTCAACTTTAATTTTATTTTCTCTTTCTTGTGATATATAAGTATAACATAATTACTTGCAAATGCTATCATTTTTGTGTGCTTACAGTGATACAGAAACAACATTATGAGTACTATATTTACAGATAACATCTGTATAATAAAAAAAAGCACCAGTCTAATGGTGAAAAAAGGGTAAATATTGTAGACCAGTAAAAGTATCAACCAATTATTTCACCGGTCTGTTTCATTAGAGTTGCAATTTTCTTTTATAATATCATAAATATTATAAATAAGATAGAGATTTCCATACGTTTCAAATAAATTTATATATTTTATGTATGTAATACTGCGCACACATATTAAAAGATGATAATATCGCAGTTATAATAAGATACAATCCTGGCAATGTAGCGATTTTTGGATTCTGAAAATAATTTAATTTGATTTATTTTTGAGAAATGCGCACAATACTTTAGAACAAATTATTTTTGTGCCATGTATTACCTGTGTAAAATTCCACAAATAGTATCATATTGTCTGCGATATATGAAAAGCTTCATCGATGAAATAAATGGTTGAATATGATTGAGATATAACAAAAGTACTTGTAATGTAGTAATATAGTACTTGTAATGAATAACGTTAATGTGGAATACATATATATTTTATATTTTAATTTCATGTAATCGAGATGAGATAAGACACTCATGATTACTTTAAAAATGTGTCCACAAATATCATGTAACTTCAATAACTGCACATTCGTCAAATTAATCCTATTACTTTAAATTTTAAATGAATCACAGCAGCTTGTTTTAATTTAATCTAACCTAACCAATTATATTATATGCTTCTCATTAAAATGTGTAAAACTGTACGTCGCACATTTAATACTATTAATATACTACGTAATAAAATGTAATACACTAATGAAATAATTAAATATTATTTTTAAAAGCATGATACAATCCAGGCAGCATACGCTTGTGTTTATATTCGACATCCAAAGACAGTGATTAGGTTAGGTTAGGTTAGATCAAACAAATTTATCGTTTAACAGTTGGCAGCCCTACAAGATAGGCTGTGCAGCACTGCGCGTATATAAAATAAATTTGAAATCGCTTCTAGCATAACCATCTTCACGCGATCGACTTTATTTGAATTGCACGGCATCGCGTCGAATTATGATGCGGCGCCGATTTGTTCGAACGTAATTCGGAACATCGCGATGCTGTATAAGCGTCGAATGAGCACGAATTGTCACGCAAATATGATAAATCACATCTACTCACCGTTCACCGGTTGTTCCACAGGCCGCTCCACTCGCTCGCCTCGAGACGTCCCATTCCGATCTTGATGCACACGATGTCATCAACGCGAACGCGCGACACTTTATTCGGCACTCCCGATATTCGCTCGCATCCGATAATCATCATCAAGGGCGTAAATAACGCGACGCGATTTCGCTCCATCTTCGCGATCGCGCTATTACTGAACTGTGAAAAATAGCTGTCGCGCACTTTCACCGACATATTATGAAAGTCGCGCGATCATCCTTGGACACTTTCGACGCTCTTTCACTCGCGATATTCGTTTAAAAACGGTTAAAAGACGCGAAAAATGCGGACGTACGACGATCCGTGTAACTGCGTATGACTCCGATTCACGTATGACGCGTATGACGTAGCAGTCACGCGCCAACATGGCGGCCGAACCAGTGCGCACTGGTTCGGCCGCCATGTTGGCGCGTGCTGCTACGTCACTGCAACGTCACAGCTACGTCATACGCGTCATACGTGACTCGGAGTCATACGCAGTTACACGGATCGTCGTACGTCCGCATTTTTCGTGTCTTCTAACCGTTTTTAAACGAATATCGCGAGTGAACGAGCGTCGAAAGTGTCGAAGGATGATCGCGCGACTTTTATAGTGTGTCGATGGAAACGCGCGACAGCGATTTTTGACGATATTCAGTGATGGCGTCATCGCGAAGATGGAGCGAAGTCGCGTCGCGTTATTTGCGCCCTTGATGATGATTATCGGATGCGAGCGAATATCGGGAGTGCCGAATAAAGTGTCGCGCGTTCGCGTTGATGATTTCGTGTGAGTTTGTGTGCATCAAGATCGGAATGAGACGTCCCGAGGCGAGCGAGTGGAGCGGCCTGTGGAACAGCCGGTGAACGGTGAGTAGATGTGATTTATCATATTTGCGTGACAATTCGTGCTTATTCGACGCTTATACAGCATCGCGATGTCCCGAATTACGTTCGAACAAATCGCCGCCGCATCATAATTCGATGCAATTCAAATAAAGTCGATCGCGTGAAGATGGTTAGGCTAGAAGCGATTTCAAATTTATTTTATATACGCGGTGCTGCACAGCCTATCTCGTAGGGCTGCCAACTGTTAAGGTGCAATTTCATTGACGCTAAAAAAGAGCGTCAATGAAAAGGCGGCTTTACACACTGAAAAAGTTGAAACTGTTTGAACTTTATTTTATTGACGCCATATCTAGAGAAAGTCTAGTGATTTTAATTTGCCGCTGATTTCTAGCGTCAATGAAATTGCACCTTAAACGTCACACCAGTGATAACCACAGACATCTATAGTATAGATATCTGTGGTGATAAAAGACGGGTTTTTTTGCGCATGCGCAACGCAACAGCCGATGTGTGCGCGATAAGAATAATATTTTAAATAAATTATATTTCAAATTATAATCTCTCTTTTAATTTCGATATTCTTTCACATATTCTTACAAATATTGCGCCCCTTCAGTCTTATGAAGGCACTGACAATACTGACATGAGCTCTAATATACATATGTATTTGACATATATTGTATATTTCATCGAGTCATCGATACGCTCAATGTTTATTCAATAAAATTCTGGGATAGACCGCTTATTGTCATAACTTTCGTTCAATTATGGTGAAACTGACGACAGATATTATAGAAAGAAAATATTCTCAAATATTGACTAGTAAATCACTTAGTAAAACAATAAAAAAGGATGAGTTGAAGAAATTAACTCATTTACATATGAATGACATGTTCATCAGCAGTATTGTAAGCAACATCAAGAGAAAAAGAATGATAAATTTAATGAACAATGTAATACATTTTTTATAAAACTTCATGTTTATATAGGGTGACCTCGATATTCATAAAAGCTTGCAAGTCATATATCTACAGAATAATAATATATCAAAAATAAAGAATTTAGATTTTGCGTGCAATTTGACACATTTATATTTACAACATAATCGTATAACAAAAATAGAAAATTTGGGATCTCTACAGAATCTTCAAAAGCTTTATCTAGGACACAATAATATCATTATAATTGAAGGATTGGAAAATACAAAACAATTAAAAGAATTGCATATTGAGAAACAAAAAATACCATTTGGTGAATCATTGTGCTTTGAACCACGCTGTGCTTCTGCCTTATCTGTAAGTGCAATGTGAATCTCGAGGATTCTTTGATATATAGGGATTAATTTATAGAGATTTAATTATAGAGATTAATTTATATATCTATTGAATAAATATATGTACATAAAAATTGTTTTTTTTCTTTCAGATGTGTCTGAAAATTCTTAATATTTCTGACAATCAAATTACATCCCTCAAAAATTTAATAGGATTTCATGAATTAAATACATTAGAAGCAAAAAATAATCTTTTGAATGATATGGATGATTTAACTAAAACAATAAGTACGTTATCCTCTTTGAAAGATTTGTCCTTGCAAGGCAATCCTGTTACATTATCTTACAGATACAGGGAGAATCTGATTGCTAACAGCATTTTGTTAGGTAATTAAATTTATAAGTTATAAATTTTCTTTTGTGCTATTATGTTTACTGTACAATTTTATCATTTTATTTTATGAATAGTTAATCTCGATGGAAAAATTGTAACTGATACTTGTCGAAATTTTATGAAAAAATTTAAAATGGAGAAACATAATCGACATGTAAAAAAGGCAATTAAAACTCCATTAGCAAACGATATAACAAGTATGTTAACAATAATCATTCATTTTTGAAGCAGTAATTATAAGATATAGTAATTATAAAAAATTTGTAGGTTCTCTGAACTTACCACCAGCTTTCAAAAGATCTATATCAAGAGCAATTTTTCAAGATCCTGGATCACAATTATTTATAAAGATTACTCCTGAATCGATAGGAAGTCAACAAGTATTCCCACCTTGGAAATCAATAAAAGAAAGACAGAAATGATTATTTTTTTACTATATTAATAACATATTTTTATATGTACTATTAGCATCAGAAATATGAAGAATAATCGTTATTTAAACTATTTTAATGTCATTTTAATGTCATTTTAATGTCATTTTAATCAAAAGCAAAATGTATCACTAATGAAAATATCTTATTACCACTTACTTTTTGTATTAATCAAATTACGATACATAGATATTTCAAAAGTCTTAAAAATTAAAAATGTTATTATATAGACATATATAAAATAAAACACATAAAAGTATCACACACAGAATATTATCTCTAGGATAAAATAATTTATAAAAAATACCTATAAGTAATGCACTATACCAGTGTATAAATAAATTAATTACATAGTAATTGTATTTTAACATTATTTAGTATCCTTTGTTTAAAATTTTATTTAAAAGAATCCTATATTAAAGGATTATTTTATTCTATCATTTTATTTAAAAATGATGGAAATGCAAATCAATTGAATAAAACATAAAAAATATCACAATACATTTTATAAAATTTATTCAATAACATTGTTATATTCAATAAAATGCAATTATTAATGCAATATTATGTAATGCATTAATATTAAGCAATATTATACATTTGATTTATGTACTAATGCATATGTATTTCAATTATAATTATAAAATCTACAAAATATATTTGCTAATAAAGAATTTTGCAAAATATATATATTATAACAAAGAAATAAATTTAAAATAATTAATAGTACAAAAATTTAATGTAAAAATTTGGCACTTATGAAATAATTTTCATATATTATAATAAAAAAAAACTGGACACAGGTAAAAATGTTTTGATAATAATTTTGAAAAATCAGGAATTACTATTATAAAAATATTTTACCCATAAATTTTTATATATTACATTAGATTGCTAAGTATCTCATATAGTAAAATGTAATGCAAAGACAGCTATTTATGAGTAGCTATTTATAAGTAGAATGTCATGTATCGTATGTTGCAGAATTCGATATGCCATATCTCTTGATAAGAAATGATGATGATTATTGTAAAGATAAAAATGAAAAATATCAAATGTGTGTGTGTGTGTTTCTTATCCTATAATATATTTTCTATCCATATAAAAATTATTGCTCTTAAATCATTTTTAACATCGACATTAGCGATCTAGTACCATTATAATATATGTCTGTGCATTTGTATTATACATATATACCTGATTTATATGTTTTAACACATTGAGCATTGTTTATAGTGTATATGTATATATTTGAAATATATATTCATGCTGTTCTGATGAAATTGTTCAAAGTTAGTATATTAGATTCCTTATTGCTATTTTCAATTATCCTTTATACAAGGCTCTCTCCCTTCTACAATTTTTATAAATCTATATTTTAATATGAATCTAAGGAAGGAAAAATCCTTCGAGAGAAAAAGTTCCCTCATGCTAGCCTCATAAAAGTTTAATGTTCCCTCACCACAATGCAAGATTATCTAATCACCATGCGATTATGCACATAAGCTATCCATCTTTCATGTTAAAATTTGTCCTAGTTATAAATCTTACAAATCTTATATATTTATATACTTTTTATCTTTCTTTTGATTCTCTTTAACTTTTACAATAGCTAAAAAAAGTAACAAAAATCTCTACTTATATCGTGCATAAAGTTATGGATATAATCGGTGAGCCAGTTGTGAAATGAAGGTAACACATTACAAATATAAGTATACAAAATATATATCAGTATTGATGAAAATATATATTTGTAAAAATACCACTCCAAGTTATCAGAGTCCTATTTTGTAATTATTTAAAATGGCACAATAATGCTATGAAAATTTAATTTCAATGTATATGCAGTTAAATGTTAACATGTTCATAAAAATTATCCATTGCACCAGATAATGAAAATGTCTTCTTAAATTTTAATTAATCTTTTTAAATTTGCGTCATCTTCACATGAATTCACTTAATATAGCAGTTACAAGATAAATAATTACTCTTTTTATATGTGCTTTGGTCTTAACTTTGGTAATATATTTGGTAACTATATACCACCGTGATTTCAATCATCTTTCTGATAATATATGAAAGGTAATATCTTTGAAAATGTAATACCTTCAAGCATGAATGATTAAACTTTAATAATAGATAATATTTATCAGTTTTTATATCCATTTGGATTATTTTGTTGCCATTTCCATGTATCTAAGCCTGAAAAATATTAATATATTTTTAATTTTAGAACATTATAATATGAATATTTTATAAAACTGCAGAAACTGTTCTATATAACAATTAAGTTAGCACAAACTATGCATATTCGCGATTCGTGAATAATATAAAGAAATTTGATTAGTCAAATTTGACAAATTTTCCGTACTATTCACGAATTATAAATAAAAAATGCTATAATCTGTGCTAGCATTATATTGCTAATTTATTATATTAATTATTATATATCTTACACATGTCGTCCATATTTTTTGTAGCAACCCAATTCAATTCTTTATTAGCGATACTAGCATCCGCATAACTAACAGATATGTCACCCGGTCTACGTTCAACTATTTTATATGAAATTTTCTTTCCAGATGCTTTTTCAAATGCATGTATAACTTCAAGAACAGAATAGCCTTTTCCAGTACCAAGATTTATCGGCTTAAATCCTTTTAGATTATGAGTTTTTTGATAAATTATAGCTTTAACATGTCCTACTGCTAAGTCCATAATATGAATATAGTCACGTACACCTGTATGTAAATATGTATAATTAGAAAAAGATTTTAATTATATCATCTCTAAATTTATCTTTCTTTCGAGTATTTTTTTTCCTAATATATCTTTTCAGTATATATGCAAATATTTAAGAAAATATATAAATTTCTTAATTAAAATATATAAATTTCTGTATTAAAAGACATTTATTTCTAATTAAATTCCTCCAATTAGAAATATATGAAACTTTTACCTGTGCCATCAGGTGTATCATAATCATTACCATAAACATATAATGTATCCCTTTTTCCAACAGAGACTTGTGCAATATAAGGCATTAAATTATTTGGTATACCATTAGGATCTTCTCCAATTTGACCTGAAGGATGTGCGCCAACAGGATTAAAATATCTCAAAGATATAACAGAAAATTCCTGCAAACAATTTTTATTAAAATGAATTATATATATATACACACATTAACCTTGTAATACTCGTAATATATATAACATGTATATCTTATAATATTCTGTAATATATATATACCTTATCTGATGTACACAAATCTTTTAATATTTCTTCAACCATAAACTTTGTCCTCCCATAGGGATTTGTGCAATTGCCAGTTTTCATATCTTCCACTAAAGGAAGTTGTTGAGGTACACCGTAAACTGTGGCACTACTTGAATAAATAAAATGTTTTACATTGTTCTCTCGCATAACTTCTAATAAATTTATTGTTCCACTGACGTTAGTTTTATAATATTCAAGTGGTTTTTGACATGATTCACTAACTGCCTTCAATGCAGCAAAGTGTATGACACTATGAAAAGTGTACTGCAATAAAATTATAATATTTTGAGTTAGAATCTTATATATTCTTAATTTACTCTTAAATATCAGTTGTGAGCTAATAAATATATTTTACCTTTTGAAATACATTTCTTAAATCATTAATATTTGTGATGTCACAATTAATAAATGCAATATTCTTATTTGTCAATTTTTCTATTCTGAGGAGGCATTCTGGTTTTTCGGAATTTAAGTCTGTGAGTATAAGAATAACTTAATTAATCTGTAAAACTTTTACATTTGCAAAAATATATTACGTGAAGACATTAGTTATTGAAAAGACATTATGTGAAAAGACATTACTACATAGAACAAGACAAATTATTATATAATTGTTAGAATTTTAATTTCTGAAATGAAGAACTGAATATTTTTAGTACATTCTTGATAGAAAATTTGTTAGAATTGAATGTGAAAAGTAGTTTTAAGTGTGTATATGTTATCTAATTCACGATAGAATACAATATATCATTGTTTTATTAAATGAGTTTTTATACTTCACCTTTATAGGCATTGCTAAGGTTATCAATTACTACCACCTGAAGATCTGCTTGTAATAATTCCAAGACTGTATGAGACCCAATATACCCAGCACCTCCCGTCACCAAAACATTCCAAGATTCGCTTGCCATTATTTAGTGCAATGCTGTTGTAAGTTTGTATACATATGTATATAATCTAATATACTCGTATATACACACATACACACATGCATATATATATATATATATATATATATATATATATATATATACACAGCTTATAAATTAATCTTTTATAAATGTATAAAAATATTAAATTTTATACATATACATATAAAATTTAATATCTTTATGTATTTTATGTTCTTATATAACGTTACACAGTATTAAGTATTTATTTAAGAAAATTACGAGAAAATAGAAAATTATTTAATGTACAATGCAATTTCCATACAATAAACATGCATTTCCAAACACAATAATATAATAAAAATAAATTTACTTTAATATTCAATAATAAAGAAATTATGACATTAATGATTCTTATATTGTACAAAATTATATTTCTAAAAGCTAGACAAATAAGAAAACGTGTATATATATTTACAGAATATAATCATACAAGCTGTTAAAACTTTTTCAGCCAAGTTTTGCAAAAATCAGAAGCAGTGCAGTTTAATTCACATTCGTATAACCTCACTGTGTGATAACTGAGAATACTGACCTTAATACGACCGAAGGTTAACAGATAACGATACATGTATCATAATAATAGAGTTATATAACATTGACACATCATCATAGGCGTATATTGCGATTGGCGAGCATAAGATATCATCTTAGGTTGAAGAGTCACTGTCATGGGCCTGATCGAAAAGATCGCGAAACTTGTCCGATAAATTAGAATCCCATAATCTAATCTTTCATTCCCTTTGTCTAAAACATATCGAATACCAATTTGTATGACATAACGGTTATAAGATATTTAGATCTCGTAAATTTCTCTCGTTTCTCTATGTTATGGACCACTCTGATTAATTTAATCATCGATTAACTTGATCAACGGAAGGATTTCAAAATTTTTATTATATTGTATCATATGTGAAAATATGTAAATTTTGATATTAATTGCCCCATAAGTTAATCAATGATAAATTAATTGGAGTTTGATCCAAGAGATTCTAATATCTTTTTCTATCAAAGTTTTATAACCATTGCCATAAACGTTTATGTATCACTAGATAGCTAACTCCTCCAATTTTATTTACATAAAATGACTATAATTTTACTATAAATGTAGCAAAGTGACAATTTCTGCTATGTCGAAACAAGTGTCAAAACAGCATGATAAATATAGGTAATACATGTGATTCTAACCTTCTTTACTCTAACTTTACGTGACATGCGATATATATATATATATATATATATATATATATATATATATATATATATAGATTATGGAGTAATAGAAAGAGAAAAAAGTGAGAGAAATAAAGAATTATATAATATATAATAATATAATGTCATAAATATGCTACTATTGAAGACAATTAAAACAAAAACGAAGAGAATATAGTCTCTTTTTTTAAGCATTATACAGGATGTCAAAAAAATCACATTATTTGAGAGCGAGTAACTAATCAAAACAAGAAAAAGTTTAGTAAACATTTTAAAACAAATACCTGTCGAGATATAAACTATTTATCGTCATTACAGAAAATACTTTATGTGGTGTCCATTTTTTATCACACATTTTTTACCTGTATTTCAAAGAACAAGAACTGCATTTTTCAAACATAACTGAAACTAAATACTAGTAAATATTTTTATACACTAAACAATAAATAAATAAAATAATGATGTATAAAAATAATATAATACAATTTTAAACATAACTGTCGAACTTATATCAGTAAACATGCTTAAGATCTGATTAATTAGGACAAGATTTTAGCTCCTTTTATTCAAATTAATCAATTCCAATTTTTAATTTTCAATTCTACGAACTTAAGGCCACAAGCTCGGCCAATCACAATCGAGCATTCTTGACGTAATCAATTTACATTTTAAAGTTATTGCGCGTGAAAAAGTTTAGTCGTAACCAAGGTTGTAAACAAATTACAATTGCAATCAAGCATTCTAATAAGATCTATGATCTGTTTATGACCTTATGGTTACGACTAAGCACTTTTTCACATGCAGCGATCCTTACAATTGATCCATGAAAATACTGCATTATAATGATCGATTTGCTTACAATTTTATGGATAAGATAAAAACTTTTCCACGTGGAATGACTTTTACGGTTCTCAAATGCTAGCTAAAATCTTGTCCTAATTAAAAAATAGACGAATAGACGATAACCAAAATTCCTCGTAACCGAGATAAAACTGACAAACGAGAACCGCAAGCGGCGACCAACAGTCTGATACGGGCTTAAGGCTATTTTATCTGATTCGCGGCGCCATCTAGCGGAGAAAATGCGCACAAATAGGGCGTATATACTTGTTCGATTGCGTCATGGGAGAAATTCTGCTTTTCCTAGTCGCCACCAGTTGTGGCCAGCTATGACAGCGGTCGCGTAAGAATCAAAGGCGGCGCCTTTCGTGACATTCGGTATAGTGACGTCGTAGGGTGTACCGTTGCCCTGTTGCGATTACGTGTTTGAAATTTGACAAGAAGCGAGGAGGGAAACCGAGGGACCTCGGGGCGGCGTCCGCATCATCCTCGCGGGACACGATTTCCTTTCGCTGCGCACTCGATGGACTATTTGAAAATGGCGCGGGTAACGAGGGCCGTGGCCCCTGCGTTTGGCGTCGTTTTGTGATACTGTAATAGAATTATCCCTCGTTCTTCTCTCGTTGGCGCGAGAGAGAGAGAGAGAGGGAGAGAAGGGGGAGGAAAGTTGTTTACGTGTGCTCGCTCGGTGCGAGGAGTGCGAGTAACAGTTGTGGCGTGCTCGTTTTCTCTATTTGGCTTAGTTTCGAGGAACAAGAATCTCGGTCGCGCGGAGAACCAAGCCCTAATCCCTCTCCTTCCGCTTCTCTATATCGGTCGTCCGTGTCATTGTTCGCCGCGCGTGCTGCGCCGCGCTTCTTCGCATCGGTGCGTCTTTTAGAGAGACTGCGATCGCGTCCTACAGGTAAGTGTGTCATCTCTCCTGAGCCCGATATCGTCGAATGTCCCGCGGCGAGAGATCGGCCTGTTGTCGCTTCCATGGTCGCCCGATTGCGCTGTCTCCCGTATCGTAATGGACGACCTGTCGTTCCTCGCGATCAATGATTATTCGATTATATCGGTGCGATCGGTCGTAGCAAATAATTGCAAAAATTGACGTTCGTCAGAACAGCAAGTTGAGACCATGGAAAATTTAAATTTGACATAAGAAAATTATTCTCGATCTCTCATTACATGTGTGATTTACTGCTGAACACATCTGAAAGAAATAAAATATATGTATGTAAACATGAAAAGCCAATATAAAGTATTTCCGGAAAATTGCAATAAATTTGAAGAATAAGTCTCGTTAAATCGAACAACTTTTGTTGAGTAATCTGTGTTCGGCGATATCATTTCCAGGTTCTAGGCGTTGGTTTTTTTTTTTTTTTTTTTTTTTTTTTTAATTGAACACTAATAAACAGTTGCGTATTTCCTGTCTCGAAACTGCCACTCAACTATGTGCGTATTCGCGATTCATGTGTAGTTCGCAGATAGCGTAGAGAGAAAATTCACATTCGTGATCTGTCATTCGCGCTCGTTTGCCGGCGAAGTGGTTCTTTAATGATGAAATAAAAGGACGCGAGTCACATTCATTCCAAGAATCAGTTCATTCGTGTTGATTTGTATGTAACACTACACCATGCGTGAAGATTTCTAGTTTGAATGCTTCACGATTCGTGCTGGTAAGTAAGAAAGTAAAACAAGGACATCATTATTCATGATTTATCGAAACTATGCAGAACCGCTCATTCATTCGCTTGCTGAAATATTGTGATAAATTATGTTCACCAGGATAACAAATTACGATTCACGAATGATTAACTAGGAATCGTGAATAATGTGGAGGATTTACAACATTGAACGATAAATTTTCGTGAATTGCTGCATTAATTACGCATTGCGAATCGAGGATATACGCATAGTATCTGGCGCCAAGTTGACACAAGGTCATGCGATGTAGTAAGCGTCAGCAATAAAATAAAACAAAAAAAATTTAAATCAATTTTTTAATTCTAGTTTACAGAAATCATGCAAAGTTCAACAAGATGAAAACTCGATGGTTAGTGCCTTATGATATCATCGCCGAACATGGATTGTTTAACAAAAGTTGTTCCATTTAATACTCCACCTCTTTAAATTTTTCGTCAATTTGATTCATATTCAGATTGTATATTAAAGAGGAAACTTACTTTATATTGTTTAGCATCGATAGTCATATTATATTGCTTGAATACGAGCACGCATTTTTTTTTTTTTAATTAATGAAACTTGCTTTTGCATCCCGCATTTGATCTTACACAGTTCAACGAATTTCGAACTGCTGCAATACATCCAATGTAAGAGCCGTTGAACAAAATGCAGGTTCGATAGCTGCCTTTATTAAGAAGGGAGCACTGAAAAAGGGGGTGCGAAAACCATTGTGAACATGCAAGTCGGCGGTGCACACATTATGTTGTCGGGTTGTATAACGTATTGATCTAATCGAAAATTTCGTAGAGTCTGAAAACATAATTATATGTATATATATTATTTTTTTTTTAAGTGAAAATTGTTGGACACCAGCATCAATCTTGAATAATAATTTTAAAATATTTATAGTACATTTATAAAGAATCTCATTGCTCGGTTAATTGCACCGCTGCTTTTACATCTACTGAACCGCTATGCATTATACATGTGATAGTGCGTACGACAGTCACGCAATATAACAAAAGGAAGCGTGGGTTACGTGAGAGGTATCATATAAGGTATACCGAATAGGTATCGACCGTCGATGGTACGAATCGATTACGGGGATATCGCGGTGTACATCGGGTGTTTCGGAAGGAAAGATGTATATGTGAGTGTAAGCATTGTGACGACGTACGAAGACCAAATCTTTCAATCTCATCATCTCTCATCTTTTGTCGAAAATTTCACACTGTGACATTTATTTTATAAAGAAATATTCTAAAATTCTATTCAGAGATTATTATCTCACGTCGAAAAACAGTTATAAGTTTCATTCGGCCAATTTAATTCCAATTTAAACTTAAATTATTGATATTTTGTTTGGAATAAATGTTTACTTTGCATAAAAGCCTGTCGTGATATCGAGATGCAAACAGAAAATATTATTTCGATACATTTTACTCATTTACAAAATAATTATATACAGATATATAACTTCAATACTTTAAATTATATTTTATTACTTAAATGTATTTTTCTTTTAAAGTAATAATATCAGAAAAGTACGCTAATTATATAAGAACTTATACACTTAACAACTTGTACACACTATATAATTTAATTTTTTATTACATATTTTATTTTAATTTTTTAATATATTTTAACATTAAAATTGTTAATAATTTTATAATAATTTTAATAACATATAATTGTGTTTTACTAAAATATTTTTTGTACATGTTTTTTAACATATTTATGACATACAAATGCACATACTTAATAAGATATATTTTTAATAATGCTATAAAATTATAATATAATTATACTAGTTAATTATACTATATTATTGTATATCATCTTTTTTCTTCTCTTGTGTAATCGTGTGCCTTTAAATTACGAGATTGTAAATTAGTCTTGTTTGCAGATTATTTTTAAATCTAATTGTAAGATGAACAAATTATATTGATACATGATGACATTTAAAAGAAATCTTGGATTATTCTATGAGGAGAAATTTGAATCTCTGTTAAAACGAGAATTTGATATGAGTCGCATTATAATTCTTTGGCATTAAATATTGTTTTTTAAACATTTCATTTTATATTATATTATATATTAACAATTTTAATTACAAATATTCTTGTGGACGTATATTTTCAAGCATGTGAGATGTGTTAAAATTACGAATACATAACTCTTAATGAATTAATAAATTATATAGCTCTTTTTTTTTATACATATTTAGTATCTTTGATTTCTTTATTTTATTTTTATTACAATATTCTTTTAAAACCTTTAAAAAATAACATGATTATAATCAATTTTAATCTACTAAAAATATCCCGTTAAATATGTTACGTTACGAGTTTAATTGATCATGTATTTATGTCATCTGTATCTGCGATGGAAATAGCGACAATGAGACATCTGACTAGACTCAAATACTTGAAAAATAAACGTAGATTGTAAGGCATTGCCTAAGTGACTAGCATAATCTGCAATGAACTTGGATACACTAGATGTTAATCTTTGCGCACAGCTGTGCTTTTCTTCTATCAACATATTTTTTTTCCACCATGATATCTTATATCTGTATGTATAATTAATTCATTCGCTTTATATATCTCCATGTTTCATTGCGAAATTATCTCTAAAAATTATTTTGAGTTGAATTATAAAGAGAATTCTAACTTAGATAGGAAAAAAATGCGCTTGCAAATATGATACTAATTATTTTAGATTTATAATTATAATTATTAATTATAATTATTTTAGATTATTTAAATTTTTAAGTTGAATTTTGCATTTTCATATTTTTTTATTGTTATGTAGAGGGATAAAAAGATTATTCGTGGAAGGGGGATTAGCGTATCTGCTTTTATGTTAACTTTTCCACCATGGATTCGTGACGCGTTTAATCTATGCATTATAATGACACAATTTTGACCGGCTGTGAAACTCTTATATTTCGGAGCAACTGCATCATGATTCCTCCAATATAGTGTTTTTCTATGATTTTTTTTTCCTTCGGACATGACATAACTCGCGTTTTCGCGCAGCAATCTCGCATTTTTTATTTTTACTGAAAAACACGCAATTAAGGATATAAGATGTTGTTTCTTCATAAATTTGCATCCACAATGGAGCATAAAGTGGAATAAAATAAATACATTCTAAATTGGATTCTTCAAAGAACTTGTTTCCTTTCTATTAGTCTGTTATTTACATTCCTGAAAGCATATTCAATCATCTACAATCTAAAAAATACTTGCATTTTAATGTGCCTTTGATAAAAGCTTGACTACAAATTATATAAATTTTATGAACGTGAATGTCACATAGAGAAGAGAAGATTATAACTTATTCTGTGTAATTTTTATGTATTGTGATATTCATTGAAACTTTGTAGTATCTTCCATTGGATGAAACACGTTCTCCGCAATAATAATTCTTGTAACTCTCGACGAATTCGATACAATACAGAAACGCCCCTGTAATTATTATAAATTACGCACGTACGTCTCCTCGGTGTGAGTCATGCGTGCTTGTGCATGACGTAATCAAAGTATATCGTATCATATGCGTTTTTTCTTGCTGGCTCTTTGCGCTTTACTTCGTGTCTACCTTTACACTCGTGTAAAAAAATGTATATGATATAATATAAAATTTCACTTCCGTGGCATTTAAAAAAGAAGCACTTCTTATTTATTAATTTTAATTAATTTCCTTATTTACTAACTTTAATTAATTTCCTTCAACCAATAATTAAAAATTGAGGCTTAATCGATTTCAAAATTAAATGCTAATTAGATAATTCAGTGAATTGCAGAATTATATGTTCGAGTTGTTTGGCAGAAAATTATATTTATATTGACGAATTGAATATTAAACTTTTATATTGACGAATTTAATATTAAACTGCTGTCCTATGTAAAAAAAAATAAATATAAAATTTAAAAAAATATGAAAATTAAATCTAATTAGATACTCTAAGAAACATATTGAATATATGATTTTCTAAAAATATGCCATTCAAAAATTAATTGTATTGTCATATAATCTAAATACAAAATTAAAGTAATATTAAAAAATTAGTTCCTTTAAACTTGAAATATAATTAAAAAGTAATATTAAAAAATTAGTTCGTTTAAAATTGAAATTAAAATATTCGTTTATTAATATAATGTTAAGATTTAATCGTTGAATTAAATATTTGTATTGTTTTGTAGAAATTTAAATTTAAATATTGTGCTATCTTACAAGAGTAAAATTAGTTGTTAAGTCTTACAAGATTAATAATAAGTCTTATAAGTCTATCAAGTTTAATAAGTCTTATAATTCTATCAAGTATAAATTCTTAAACGAATATTATGATGTCAATAACTTTGGAGTATTTAATTTTTTAATATTATACTTTTTAATGATTTCATAGGTTTCTTAAAGCTTTTAATTAGCATTTAATTTGCACATTTTTTATTTTTTTATTTTCATATCGTATTATATACATATGTATTTATTTTTTTATATGAGGACGAGCAGATTAAGCTGTCCCCTTGGCTGTCCCATTTAGTATATAAATAATTTTCTACCAAACGATTAGAGCATTTAATTTCGAATTTAATTTACATCCAATTATCATTTATGTTAGCAAAAACTGCTCTTTGGATTTATATTAATTAATGAATTTATCTTAACTTATTAATTTATTTTATTACACTTGAACACTTTGTCTGTGTGTACAGTTGCATTATTTTTACTTTTGTTGTTGGCAAATAATATATTTGCTTTAGAAAATCCTCACAAAAACATTCATAGAGATTATATTATATATACAAATTATATTATATTATTCATACAGATTGTGTGAATAAGATATATTGGAATTCGTGGCATGAAATGATGATGAAATCGACTTAAGAATCGAAACTCACTACACACATTAATTTCTATTTATAGTACTTTTTAACTCATATACTCGACTAATTTTTTTTTCTTTTTTTTCTTTTTCTTTAAATTAAATGATGAGTAATAAATTAGGATGTGTATAGCAATTAATTTAGGGATTGTTTTAAAGCCAAAATTATAAGAGAACAATTGATTTAATATATTTTAAAAATTATAATTTTGCAACATTAATTCGTTTTCATTTCTCTGTTTTTATATGTAACAAAGTGTGAATATATTAAAAAAAAGTGTCTAAATATAAATTAATAATAATGTGGTATTATGTTTTTTCTCATACTGAATAAAAACTATTTTTTTGAGAATTTACGTGCACATTGTTGGATATATCGAAAGTCGTGATAAGTAAAATAAAAATAATTCTTCATACAAATTTAAGTGGAAAATGTAAGATAAAATTTTTTCATGTAAAAAAATTTTATCTTACATTTTTCACTTAAATGTAAAAGTATTATTTTTTTTAAAATCGACTTTAAAGGTCGATCGAATATATGTATATATATATATATATATATATATATATATATATATATGTACATATATATGCATATACAAGACACGCGCGAACGCATGCACGCACGCACGCACGCACGCACGCACGCACGCACGCACGCACGCACATGTACACCTATACATATACTTTCGATTAATTTTTAAAATCGATTTTTTCGAAAATAAAATGTTGCATGAAAAAAAAATTTATTCTATATTTGCGAATATGATGCAGCGTGCACACGTGTGTATGCATGTACTTTTCGACTTTGATTTTACATTTTCGATTTGTATCACGATTTCTAAATGTTCTATATAATCTATTTGTGCAAAACTTATCTACTAATCGATATCTATGATGGCTTATTTTAGTCAAACTATATATTAAAATTGCAATAAAAACATCTAAAAATGTACATATATGTATACTATTTTATAATAATTTATATAGTATAAGAAAATTGCTACAAGGTATCACTAATGGCAAAAAGATTATTGAATCAAACTCATATAAAACATCTATATTTGTAAAATATTTAAATATAAATCAGGATATACATAAAAAAACCAATCAACTTTTCATTTTTCTCCAAAATTTTTTTAGCAACATTAAAAACACTTAATGCACATCTTGAATATCACCTATTCCTATTAAATTAGTCTTCTTTTTAGCGCTAAGTAAAACCTAATATATTCTTCAAAATTTATTATTAGCATACGTGTGCGCGATCGTTGCTGTTGCCATTGCTGTTGCCATCGTCGTTGCCATCGCTGCCGTGTCATTTCGCGACCAGTAATCACCAGTATTATCTCATCAGTCCAGTAAAGAGCATGTGTAAAGGCCGCCCACTTCCAGTGATGATGGCACTTTCTGAATTCGTACATCTGAACTTTGTTCATCATGATGCCTGGATTCGACATTAATTATTTTTATATTTTTAAAAGAGGAACATAAAGAATAACTTATGTGAGATAAGTGTAAAAAGAATAAGAATTTTTTAGTCATATCAATTAAAAAAATTGTTTTTAAGATTTATAAATTTTAATAATATACTTAATTTTGATTGCAATAAAACTTCTTCAACACGTCACATATCGTATTTATAATATCCTGAAATAAAATAGCTGTTTTTTTTGTTATTTTAACTGCAAATTTTTCAAAATTGTGATGGAGCAATTTGGAAATCATATTCAGCATCAGAAAGATTACAGAAATTATTTTTTCCTGTAATCTTTTGTATTTTTTTTGCACTGTGTTATCAATGTATATATTCATCGAAGCAAATTATAAACTTGTTAAAATTATTATGACTTCGATCACTCGAAAAGGACCAAAACCTATGGTCGAAACGTTGTGATTCCTTACCTCAATAAAATTGCCAGTTTGGTCGATTTTAATTACGTCTTTTATTTTATCTACTGGCGACCTTCAAGAATTTAATGTTAAAATTATTATGATTATATAATTTTTTTCTCAACCTAAATTTTTTTATCTAAAATATTTTTATTTGTATACTTATAGTATCTTTTCTCTTTGCTTCTTATTAATACCTTCGATTTAATCGCCAAATTGATATAAAATAAAAAACAGCGAGCTGTTGTTATCTAATCAATGAGAGATTTGTATTATCGATAACTTTGATCATTTTTTAATTCGTTGCATGTTTCAAGAATATGCGAATTTTAACAAGTTGTATTCTTAAGAGCGCTTTAATCTCGCAAATGCGGATGCTGAAAAATGCTTTTGTGGGATCTTTTGGAATGTTTTAACGATTATCATTTCAATACTGATTTAGCAGCAATTGTAACTAATAGCGAATTGAATTGGATGTATTAGTGCGCATTGATATATTAAAAAGCAGATTAAAGGCTGTAGTATATAAATTTACAATGCAAGTAACTAAAATACAATAAGATAATTAGCGTTCCGAATTATAGTTGTTATTGTATTGAATACAGTTCTTTCATTTACCGCTATACAACGTATTTATTTCGTATTCAAGTTTCTGTCACGAGCAAATATCAAAGGAAGGTTCCGTTAGCACACATCCGGATAGCGCACATTACACACATAGACCGATGCCTAGAGTAACCATCATTGACCAACCAAGTCCTAATCTTCACTAGGCAATTGTAGCGATGCGAACTCACGTTTAATACAAAGATCGCAAAGTACGGTTGATAAGATAAAAGATATTTATTTTTGTTTTATTTATTATAAATAATCTGATAAACAGAGAGCTCAGAATATTAAACTTATTGTTTAACAACATAACTGGGTGGAAAATTGTTTACTGATTGCTTCAGACGCAAAATAAGAACCCAATTATCATATAAATCTTTAGCAATCAACACGTAAACTGCAAACATATAACTTTCATTAAAATAAGTGCATGAAATGTAATTTTCAATATAAAGATATTGATCCGAAGATTCGTCAAATCATATAGAATGCGTATTCTAGAATTTCATAACGAATAGAATGACATATATATATATATATATATATATATATATATATATATATATATATACACATACATGTCATTCTATTCTTTATAAAATTCTAGAATATGCATCTTATTTATTTATTTATAGTTCAACAAATTTCTGATCAACTAAAAATCTTTATTCTTTATTAACAAAATCATAATCTGCTTTGCGTGGCGAACGTACATTCGAAAAACCCTCACGAAATATTGATTATTTCTCCGTGTGGCACCATGTTTTAGACACAATCTGTATAGTAAAATATCGTGACACGAGACTTTCTTTTCTCTGTCGATATTATTGAGAGATTGTAGAAAAATATCAAGTTATATTCAAAGCCTTCTCCTGCAGTAATTTTATAATAAAATATACATGTACATTTCGATATTTTGGAATATGAAAATAAAAAAAAAACTAAATATTTTATTGCTTTTATAATTCAAAATAATTTCCTTATTGATGAACATTATTTATATGTTAAATTCTTTCGCTATTTTTCATTATTATATAGAAATAAAGTGATGTGTTTTATTTCAGATATAAAGTCAGATATAAAATAGAACGAAAATGCCGGAAGAACAAAAAGTTGTTGCTGGTGCTCCGACGGAAGCAATGGCGGAAAATGGAACTGGTACAAACTCGCCCACCAAAAGTCCGGTCAGCAAAGGAAAAATGGCTCTCGCCAAAGTCACCCTTCTAGATGGTACCGTACGGGATTATTACATCGACGTGAGTGTCCAAAAGTTTTAATTACGTTTATTATATGCATATAAATGAAAAAAATTATTTTTGATTATTCGATGTTAATGTTAGATGTATTGGGTTTATTGCAGAGAAAGGCGAGAGGCCAAGAACTTCTTGATATGATTTGTCAAAGCATGAATTTACTGGAGAAAGATTATTTTGGCCTCATTTACGAAGACAGACACGATTCTCGCAATTGGTTGGATCTCTACAAGAGAATTATAAAATTCATAAAAAGTATGGAAACTGTAATAAAAATTATTATTTATATTAATGATAGATAATAGTATGTTCGAATATTTTCTCTAAAGTTAATATATGATTTTAGCCGAACCATGGAAGTTTAATTTCGAAGTGAAATTTTACCCACCAGATCCAGCCCAATTGCAAGAAGACATTACGCGTTATCAACTGTGTCTACAAATTAGAAACGATATTATTACAGGTCGTCTACTTTGTTCTTTCGTGACACATGCCCTTTTAGGCTCCTATCTAGTGCAATCAGAAATTGGAGATTATGATCCTGAAGAACATGGAAGAACATATTTGAAAGACTTTAAGTTTGCACCTAACCAAACGCCCGAATTAATTGAGAAAGTGATGGATCTCCATAAAACCCATAAGTTAGTTTCATTTTTATATAAACATTTTAGATTTTTGTTTAAATTTGTAGAATAAAGATAAATAATATGATAAGAATTATTTAAATAACACTTTTTTTATCATATTTTAGGGGTCAAACACCCGCCGAAGCAGAATTGCATTATCTCGAAAATGCGAAAAAATTAGCTATGTATGGCGTAGATCTTCATCCTGCAAAAGATTCGGAAGGCGTTGATATAATGTTAGGTGTATGCGCTTCAGGCCTTCTTGTTTATAGAGATTGTTTAAGAATTAATAGATTTGCCTGGCCAAAGATATTAAAAATATCTTATAAGAGGCATAATTTCTACATTAAAATTAGACCAGGTGATTTTGAACAATTTGAATCTACAATTGGATTCAAATTGGCAAATCACAGAGCAGCGAAAAAATTGTGGAAAGTATGCGTGGAGCATCATACTTTCTTCAGGTAAGTAATAATTGTAAGTAATATTTTTTTAAATTTAATATAGCAAACATTTTAATCAAATGAAAAATTCTCTTCATTTTTGTAGACTTATGAGTCCGGAGCCTGTGAAGAAAGTAGGATTAATTCCATATCTGGGGTCTCGTTTTCGATACTCTGGAAGAACTCATTACGAAACGAAGAAAACCCCTATTGATAGACAACCTCCGCAATTCGAGAGAACTTTGAGTGGCCGACGACTCGCATCTAGAAGCATGGATGGTAAATAAAGTTTATCATTTGCAAATAATATTCAAATATGAATGTTATAATAACGATGATTTAGTAGAAACGTTAATTGCTACAATTCTCATATATGTTTACTCAGAAATGTCTGATTTAAAAGTTTTTTATTAAGGCTTACACAAGCTTGCACAGGCATGAATTTTCATTATTAGAATGGCATTATTAGTATCGGATATTTCAATTTTAATTTTATTTTCAAAATATTTATCATAAACCACAAGTGCCTTTTCATATCTTTCATATCTTTAAGTCTATGCAATACTAAGATGTTGAAGTAGTGTGACTGCCTTATATAGCATTAGGTGGGCCTAAATCAGTCGAAACATATGGTTCCGAACCAAGCAAACGGCATACTATGAGTTATGAGCCTGAGACACTTCCTGATGATATAGAACATATAGACCGACGGCCTAGTCCAATCAAGAAACAAAAAGAGAAGGTAATATATGTTTGTCATATGTTTGTGTTGAGCGAGAAATTTCTTTTATTTAAAGTAACTACTAGAATGTAGAGTATGCATAAATTTCACCATATAAATGTGAAATTGACTCGCAGCAAAATTTATAAATTTATGTATCATAATTTTTAAATACGATGTATGTACTTTCAAATTAATTATTTAATCATTATAAAAAATGATAGAATTAATATATAAAAAAAATTATATGATATAATGTACAAATTTTATGATAAGCGCATTAAAAGCGCAACAACATATAATATTTTTATAGTTAATATAAAACCTAATATAAAGTTTTCATAAAAGTTAATATAAAATTTTTACAAAAGTTTCTATCAGAGAAGTCATGAAACACTAATTGCTTCTCATTCTTCATGTATAAGTAAATCAATAGGTTGACCGACTCTAATATTTTTTATATTAATTTTATACTGGTATGTACTGATTTTTTTTCACAATATAATTATTGACTTACTTGAGCATCACAACATTAATTTTCACATATATTATAGGGGAATAAGACTACTTTACCAATTTTAATTTAATTTTCCCTAATTTCTATAATGATATAAAAATAATGATGTATTTTCTTTTCAGATTTACAAAAGCTTTATTTACTATCTATAAACATTGAAAAATTTGAAATAAATTAGAGATTTTTTAAGATTTAGGTTTGGAGACATATAAATTTCTCGTTGTCTTGCTTTCATATGTAAGGACAACATAACTTTTAGTAGTAAATGAAATAAAATTTATGTGTATGCATGTATTGTGTGCATGTATGCGTGTTTATGCTTGCGTGCGTATGGATAGATGTAGGTGTGTGTAAATTCTTTTTAGCATCATTAACTCACCAATGATAAGAACATGATAAGAATGGGTATTCGATCCCTTTGGAGTGCTTGATTAGCATGACTCTTTGCTTCTCACGTTCGGGGTGCTTGATTACCATGAATTTCTTTGCCTATCACGTTCGGAATGTATGATTACCGTGAGTCCCCTTGTCTTTTATGTTCGGAGTGTTTGATTATCGTGAGTCTCTTTGTTTCTCACGTTTGGGGTGCTTGATTATCGTGAGTCCCCTTGCCTCTTACGTATAAGTGCCTGATATAATAACACTTATAATTTTACGTAAAAAAAATTAATGTAGCTAATAATGATAAATGATAGACGATGAAGCTGTTCATTGAAAATTTCAACATATATCCAACAGCTGAAAAAGAAATAAAAAAATTTGTCTCCAATATTTTAAATTGGTTTCGGATTAAACTTTTAATTTTTTTATTCGATTTTATTTATTTGGATTCCATAAATCTCAAGCAATTTTCAAATCAAACTTTTTATACATACATGTGCACGTGTAAACAGACGGGCGAACAAAGATTAACAACATGTGAGAGGCAAGAAATCTTATGCTAATCAAGCGCTCTAAAAAGATAATCGTCATGGAAAAGGAATTTACACACATCTATATTTATATTTATCTATACGCATGCTGGCGCAAACACACACGCGCGCACACATACAAATTTGCGTGCGCAAAGAAATCTTGGAAATATTATATATAATAACTTATCTATCTTGTCGTCTTATTCCTCTTTTTTTTAATTTTTTCACAAATTTGGATTTATTATATAATGTTGCATGTCAATTTTTATATTATACAACACATGTTATAGAATTGCGTATCACATATTGTTGAGACATAAGAGTAGAATTAATCTCACAATCAGTATATAAGTAAAATTATAAAGATTTCTATTAATATTAGAAAGCTTCAGTCTTAAAAAAATAATTTTATTTTTGAAACATATTGATAGTCTTAATCATTAAATAACATCAATAGCTTACACGAAAAACAAGTGCTGGAACAACATCGGCCAGCAGCACCAGTAGCCTTGAAGGAGAATATGATGCGGATCGTGGCAGAAAGGTATAAACAATTTTAGCTAGAACCTTTGCTTTATTTTATAATTATATATATATATATATATATATATATATATATATATATATATATATGCATGCATACATACATACACATATATACATATATAATAATGGATTTATAGTACAATTTTATGTATATGTAATCATTTGATATTTTTTATCCCAATGCATGTTGCTTTTTTTTAAATTTTTATTTCTCATAAAAATTCATATAATTATTATTTCAATATGAAATGTTAATTATGTATTTAATATTTATATCAATATTAAGAATGCAAGCATGCAGATAATAAGAACTTAACAAATTTTTCGTTATTGATTATTATAAATTTAAAAGTTTAAGAAATTTAAATGAAATTACATTATAACTGCCGAACTATTGTTTAATAAGAATATTATTTAAATATATATATATATAAATTAATTTTACTACTATTAATTTTACACACACATACACACATACAGGGTGTTTATTTTAAAACTTTCCATCCGTTTTTCATGTTTGATTATTTTCTGCGAAATAAAATGTTCAAAGACGTCAATTTTGTTTTCTACGGGGACATTTAAGTATATTAAATGCAACGAAATTTTGTCTCCTTCGTTGCATTTAATGAACTTAAATGTCCCCGTAGAAAACAAAATTGACGTCTTTGAACATTTTATTTCGCAGAAAATAGTCAATTATGAAATAAAGATAGGAAGTTAGGTTATATATATATATATAATGTTATACATTAAACATAAATGTTATATATATGAAATAGATATTTAATATAACAAAAACTACAATATATAAACATACATATTTTTAGAACGCAAATTGTTGTATATAGAGCATGTATTGCATTTTAAAACGTAATTTTTCGTGTAATTTTTAGTATTATTTTAGCAAAGTAATGGCTTTATGCTTGGTGCATGAAGTAACGTGTGATTGAATAAATTTACTTGTAGAAACCGGTCGGAGGAATAGCTGTCCTACCGCCCGGTAATCTATCAAAGAAGAAGAAGGATAAACAGAATGAGAACGAAAAAGAAAATCACAATGATCTGAATAATACTGATTTAATTAATGACAATGCCCATCTTGATAATATAGATGATAAATCATTGTCTAAAAAAGAATTGAAAAAGAAGGATAAAGAAACGCCTAAAAAAGTTAGTAGAGAAAAAAAAGAAAAAGTTAAGGTAAGTTTTATATTGTGTTGTACGCGCACATTGCTGTTTTTTTTGTATTCTAATAAAATATGTACATTAGACAAAAGAATTTTAAATATATTTTTATAAGTAATATACTCACGAATAAAGTTTATTATTTTATATTATTTTTAAATATAATTTAAATAAATCTTTTAATATTAAATTTCAATAATAATATTGAAGAAATATTTCATTAAAAAATGTATAATTATTTTTCAATTGAATGTACATTTATATAGTTTGAGTTATAATTTAAATGCACGAAGATATTAGTTTCTTTAATCTTTGCATAAATAATAGATTTGCATTAATAGTAGATTTCGTTTAAATGTAAAATATATCATTTATAAATTATATATTACATGTTAAGCATGTTTTTGTACTGCATGTATTTTTATTATTATCTAAGAGTCCTGTCGGCGGTTTCCTGTTTGCGAAAAAGGATAAAGATAAGAAAAAGAGCAAAGAACTCGACGAATCTGTGGACAAAAGTGATGTCGAATCGAATCTTTCGGTGTTGGAAAAGCAAGAAAAAGAAATCGATAAAGAAACAGATACGGAAAAGAAACAAGATCCTACAAAATCTCAATTTCCTGGTTACACGAAACCTTACGATTATGAAGAAACGGAAACTTCGCCCAAAAAGCCGTTCACCCCACACGGTTTTACATATGAAGATCGACCCGCATCACCAGGAATACAAGATCAATCATCACCTACTTCAGCTAGTCGGAAAGCAACAGGATTGGCATTTAATTATGCTCCGGGAGAAGAGAAAAAGGTAGTGGAATCTGCAGAAAAGAGAAAAACAAAAGAAGCGGACAAGCAAGCATCAGGATTAAAGACACCTGGGCTTAATTATGTAGAATCTGCCGCTCTTAAGGAGCAGCAAAAGAGTGTTACAAAATTAGATACTGATAAGGATCAAACAGCGACTTTTATCGCTGATGAACGTGAAGATACTAATCAAGCTGTAATAGTGCCGCCATCAACAGAATTTAAATCAGATTATCATATTTTGCCTCTTCCCGATGGTTCAAGATTTATCGGAGGTATGGTTTATACTAAAGAAGGTAAACTATTAGATCAGAGTAATCTTGGACCACATGATAGCAAAATAATAGACGGTAAAATTTATGGAAAAGATGATAAGCTAGTGAAGAAGGCCGATTTCGGACCACATGGAATTCACGTCAGCAACGGTATAATTACTGGAAAAGACAATAAACCTTTCTATCAGGAAATATTAGGTACGGATAGAAATTTAATAAAGAATGGCATTATTTATTCTCCCAACGGTGAAGTAGTAAAACAATCTTTCCTCGGGCCGAATCATGCAACAGTAAAAGAGGGAAAAATATTATTAAAGAACGGCAAACCGGTTCAACATTGTCAATTAGGTGCGGATGGAACATACGTGAAAGAAGGTCTCATCTTTACATCTAATTCCAAACCTATGACTCAGGGATCATACGATACGGATGATAAATACATAGTTGCCGGTATTGTATATAACGAAGAAGGCAAACCTTTGACGCAATTTACAATTGTACCTGACGATACATTTATTTGTGACGGTTTAATTCATGGAGGAGACGGAAAATTGCTTAATGCCGGGAAGCTAGGTCCGGAAAGTCATACTGTTATCGAGGGAAAAATTTACTCGAAAGATGGTAAATTGATCAAGCATGAATCTTTTAGTTCTGACGGATCTATCGTAAAAGATGGTATAATTTACTCGAAAGATGGAAAATTCTTGACTCAAGGATCTTTGCTACCAAGTGGTGCTCACTTAAAGGATGGAAAAGTGGTTGGCAAAGATGGCAAGCCTATTAAGCACGCGTTTTACAAATCCAATGGTAGTTTCGTGAAAGACGGTATGATATATGGAGAGAATGGTAGATTCCTGAATCAAATTCCATTAATAGCTGATGGTCATTCTATCAAAGAGGGATTATTATACGATAGAAATAACAAACCACTCTCTCAAGGTCTTTTTAAGCCCGATAATCTTATTATTAAAGAAGGTATATTGTACAATGCAGATAATACAATAATGTCGAATGTTAATCTCGGATCTGAAGGATTAATAGTGAAAGATGGCACTGTTTTAAGCAAAGATGGTAAACCAGCAAAACAAGAATCGTTTGGTTCCAATGGAAGCTATATAAAAAAAGGTATTATTTATGCGAAAAACGGAAAGCCGCTTAATCAGGATTCATTAGTGCCCGAAGGTGCAGCTATTAGGGACGGTAAAATATATAACATGGACGGAAAATTATTAAAGTTCTCATTTTTCAAACCGGATGGTAGTTACATTAAAGATGGTCTTATTTATGGCGGTGACAAAAAACCATTGAACTTGAGCGCAGCTTTGCCGGAAGATAGTTTTATCGTTAACGGAATAATATTCAATCATACAGGACAACCGTTGCATAGAGAATCGTTTGGATCTGATGGTTCATACGTAGCAGGTGGATTGGTTCACGGAAAAGATGGCAGAATCGTGTTGCAAGGCGTGTTTGGTCCTGACGGTAACACCATTCAAAACGGTATTATCATAGGTAGAGACAATAAACCTTTAACACAAGACGATAAAGGTCCAGACAATCTAGCAATTAACAATGGGAAGATTGTGGATAATTACGGAAATCCGAAAAATTTACCCTCGTTAGTACCTGATGGATGTTATATACATGATGGAGTAGTCTATGATAAAAATGGACAATTACTGAGACAAGGTGCATTTAAACCGGATGGATGTTATATACGAGATGGTCTCATATATGGCTGGGGAGGTCAATTGCTGAATGCAGGATCTGAGTTACCTGGTGATAGCTACATCGAGAAAGGTAAAATATACGGCAAAGATGGGAAGCCTTTAAACCATATTTCATTCGGTATCGAAGGTAACTTCATCGAAAATGGCATTATTTACGGAAAAAATAAAGAATTGCTCAATCACGGTACATTTGGCGATAATAGTTATGTAAAAAATGGTTTGTTATACGGGCCAGATGGAAAGCCGTTAAATAAAAGACGAACCATAATTACCGTCACATCCGTTCGTTACGGCTTAGTGTGCGATGATGATGGGCAACCACTGAAATCCGGCAATTTTGATAATGACGGTAATGTAATCAAGAACGGCAGGATTTATGATCGCGCGGGAGGATACTTTAATCAAAACATTTACGGTAATGATGGTAGCTTCATTAAAGATGGTTTAATTTACGGACGCAATGGAAAACCTCTCTCTCAGGGAGCTTTATCACCAGAAAACAATTTCATAAAAAATGGCAAAGTTTACAATGTTAATGGTCAGCCGCTAACTCAGGAAGCATTTGGATCAGAAGGTCTGAAAGTTATACAAGGAATCGTGGTAGATAAAACTGGTAAACCGATAAAACAAGCGAATTTTGATGATGAAGGAAATGTTGTCAAAGATGGAATAATTTGCGCGCCTACCGGAAAACCTCTCGACAAATATTTTATAACCATCACAATGGTGCGTAAAGGACTTATATGCGACAAAAATGGAAAACCGATCACGCGAGCACCGTTTGGAACCGATGGTAGTTTCGTTAAAGACGGCAAGATACATGACAAGTTCGGAAAGCTGCATAATCAGGAATTATTTTATGAAGATGGATCATACGTAAAGGACGGTGTGATATATGGAAACAATAATCAACTGATGGATAGCACGACGATTCTGAAAGATTTGCAAGAACCACCAAAGTCCATTTCCACGAAATTGAAAAAGCCCGTAATTCCGATTACGACACCAACAATCGTGAAAACGACAACTAAACAATCGGTAGTCAAGGATCAGGAAGGCGTGACGCAAAATATTCAGGAAAAGATCGAGGATCTTACACCAGGTGGCACAGGCCAAGTTACAGTATCTACTCACGTCAACAAGGTGATATGCTTGAAAAAAAATAAAATTAGCTTAGATATTATAATTCACTTTTTCAAATAAAAAATTTGATATAACATCAGATAATTGACAAACAAGAAAATTTGCATGTATATAATTATATTGTGATTAGCCAATGCTATATAAAATATTTTTTTCCATTTATGTTTTACATCTAAATATATTGCATGAAGTTGAGTGATACATTTGCCTAGAATAAATGTGTAGTTAAAATCTCCAAAATTTTATGATAATTGTTTAACTGAAGTAGATATTTTTAAATCTGCAAAATGCGATAAATGGATTATAATAAATACTTGATAAATCTAAATGAATTTACTGTATTAATTTCAAATAAACATTTTACAATTTTAAATATCTCATCTTTTTCATAAATCAATAGAAGTAGAAACTGATACTAAATAGTAAATTTATTTATATTTACCGAATAATTTGATGCAATCGATTTTTTGCAGATTTAAAAGTATCCATTTTCTTTAATAAAGAATACATTAGTAAGTATTTTTCATAACGAATTTGAATCGTCTTATAACATTTATCGTCTTCATATAAAATTACATCTGAATACATATTCATTTCATTTTGTATACATTTGTTTTATGAAACATAATTTAACATAAAGATTACTTTCTTACATATTAGTTATTTCTTACTCATTAATTTATTCATATTTTTTAATAACTATTTATCATTAGTTGTATGTCTCGAGACTTTAGTTACATGGTAGTTATATTTAGGCAGAAACATCGGATGATGGTAGAACTCCATATATGACAGCAACAGCTGTTACTACTCGTACTGCCACGATGCATGAAGATCTTGAAAAGAACCAAAAAACAAGTCAGGTTTGTAATTAGTTTGTAATTATTAGTATTATTTTGTAGAATATTAATAGGAATTTACATATTAGAAGCTTGTGCTACATTTATGTAGAGAGTACTCCATTTTAATGGAAGTAGTTGTATATCTTAAACTTAACGTTGTACAAAAAAATTGTAGACAAAATTTATTGGGTTTTGAAAAAGAAAGAAAGGGAAACATAATCATTCGTTATAAATACTTTTTTTTAATGATGTTAAAATTCAAGATTATATGAACTTTTTTTTAATTTAAAATTCTCTAAATTTTGTCGGAAACATTATTTTATACGACGATTTATTTTTTCTAAATTTCGTACAAATTTCGAAGAAAACGCGAATTGTAATATTTTATGTGAAACAACCTGTATATGTATATTTTTTAAATTTTATTTTTGCCTAAGTCTTATTTTTGTCTAATTATTATTTGCTTGCTATTTGCTACAATTTATTTTTCACATTAGGTAGAAGAAAAGACTGTAGCACATACAACTGCGACCAGTGCAACGAGGCAAGAGCAACGAGTAGTAACGCAAGAGGTTCGAACCACGAGTCATGTACTTTCTGGCGAACAGGTAATTTTTGGATATTCTTTTTTTAGATTAAGCGCTTAAAATTAATAAGTGAAGCATGTAAGCGGTTTTGTAAGTTACTACATGGATATTTTTTGGATTTTGATTTAACTATATCATTTCATATTTAAGTTTTTATCATTTCATGTAACATTGTATACATATGATCGTAGCACAAATATAAAATTGCTTCACATATAATATTTACTTGTGTCATATATTTAATATTTAATTATAACTATTTTCAATTGAATATTTTTTTTTAATTATTTTATCACTTTATTAGATACATCAATTAGACTTATATGAGATATTGTTAATATATTTTAAGTGTAAATTAATTATAAACAATATAATATTCTGATCTGATTTAACAATAATTCACAATAATAATTAATAACATTTGATCATATATTCATATATTTATAATTATATATTTATTTTTATTTATTTTTGTTATAAATCAAATTTTTGTGGCTTGGTTAACACGTTGCATGGCGTAGCTGTTCTCACGAAGATTAAGTACATCGAGTTCAAGCAGCGGAGATTCAGGCACACCGATTGATCTTGATGATGATCAACAAGCTTTCTACAATCAATATTATCAGGTAATCAAATAACAATCAAATCAAATAATCAAATCACACTTTCCTGTACTAATATATGGAGCAGAAGATTGCGCATATTTAAAAGCAGCAGGATTACAGGTATTCATAATAAACATGGCATATTTTGGTTCAGTATTTTATTTTAACAGCTAACATGATGATGCAGTGCATCTGCATTAAGGTATTTTTGCTTGTATCTTTATATTTCATAATGTTTAAAAAATATAATTTATATGTTATTTTTCGATACGAAACAGAACATATAGATCATTTATATATATATTTTAACATATTTTATTATATATATATATATATATATATATATATATATAAAAGTTAAAGATATAAATAATATAATTTTAATTTTAAAATGAGCGTTTTAATCTGAATATATCAATTTGTGATATTGATTTGTTTTTTACATTTCTATTATTTTTATTTTTATTTTTTATTAATATGCAATAATATTAATTTTATAATTGTTATTTTTTAAAATCATATTTTTTATTGGACTTTCAAATAACAAATCTGTAAATAAATTTTGATCCAGGGAGATCCAGCTGTGATTGCAACTGAGAAGCATGTTTATACAGGAGAACCAGAGAGTAATGTGACAACAACGACTACGGTACCCGTAGTAACAACTGAAACAAGAAAAGTAGCTCTCGAGAGTGAAGATGGTAACTATAGCGCTACAGGAGAAATAGTCAGTACACAGACTATATCCAGTAAAACTCGTACTGTTGAAACTATAACGGTTTGTACATATTATTATATATTATATTTCTATCTATATATTGTTTGTGATTATATAATTTATCATTAATTATTGGTTACAGTATAAAACGGAGAAAGATGGCGTAGTTGAGACACGAGTGGAACAGAAGATAACGATACAATCGGATGGTGATCCGATTGATCATGATCGAGCTTTAGCAGAGGCAATACAAGAAGCCACTGCTATGAATCCGGATATGACAGTAGAAAAAATCGAAATACAGCAGCAAACAGCACAGTAATTATTTGGAAAATAATCGTCACATACATATAAAAGGGCACTCTTGGTCTACAAATAGCACGAACAATTCGTTATCTTAGAGACTAGAAAAATATATTGGTATTTATAATACATATTTTATGTTGCACGCATTGCTGGATGCATCATGAAAAAAACTAGACTGAAGTATGCTACCAAAAACGTCGATAAATCTTTAAATATTCTATAAAGTTAATATAAAGCAGAAGAACAATATTAAGCTTTATATCTTCTTTCCTTAAGAAGGGCAAAGAAGGCTTTTGCTTATGGCTTGCCCAATAACTCGAGCTTAAACTCAATACAAAATTGAGTTTAATAGTTGGAAATGATGAAACATTGATAACAATTTTTTAATGAAGAGAATGGTATCTCGTATTATATAAACTCTACAGTGTTCATATATTGAAATGATTAAGAAAATATATTTATATGCACGAAAGTATAAATAAATCTTATAAATATAATGTAAACATAGCTATGTATATGTATGTAAACAAATGGATAAGCTATTTATACATAGTTATGGCGATAATTATATAGATATAAAAGACATAGGGTGCCCTGCAACTTAAAGTTTTGATAATGAGCATTTCATAACAGTAAAAAGAGAAATTATTATATACCATACAGATAATAATCTATACACAATGCAATTATTGAGACAGTTATTGAAACTTTTACAGTAAAGTAAATATTGAAACACTTTAAATTGAGTAATGTTGCAATTTTTGTAATCAACCAAATCTATTAAAAGCATGTTCTCCTCTATCTGAATATTTTCTATTCTCTAATACAAAACTTATTATTTTCTCTTGTTCATCTTGTAATACTAACCCTATTGTATTATCTATTGTAAGGTTTAAATACAATAAGATATGCTTTTTATAAAATATATGTATAGTTTGACTCTGAATGAAATTCATTTGATTTTCTAAAAAAATGTAGTTACAGAATCGAATATTATGTGACAGAATCAAAGTAAAAATACACACACAAATATAACACGTCTCACACACACAGGATAAATTATTAGAAATTGCCATTCTCAATAAGTTCTAAGATATATCTTAAAAAAAATATTTTAGAAACGACAAAATTGTTTAGTATGAAAAAAAAACATTCTATAATTAGTACAATTTTGTTCTAAGTGGTACCCATTTTTGAAGATTTCAAAATTATCTCTATTTTTTAAAATAAATAATATGTTTTTTTATTTAAGTTCATTCCCCACATTTAAAAACATGAAGATTGAATCAGTCAAAAGTCTATGAGATATTTTTTAATTTATTTTGATATGTTGCAATAAAATGTATAAATATTTTGTAAAATATTCGCTTTTTCCAAAGACTTTATTTTAATACTTTTATATATTGAATAATGAGTTGAATTGATTGATATTAAAAAATGCATATTTGTATTTAAGAAAAGAAGATTTGCATCTTGCAAATGTGAAGTTGCATTTATAAAAATATAGGATTATCAGTAATTTTGCTCATTATTCCTTGAAAAACTTAGCAAACATTTTAGTGAGAGAGTGAATCAAATTTATAAAATATTTTGTAATTTATGTCACAATATATCGCAATAAATTATAAAATATTTCGTGATCTATACATTTTTTTTATATATAAATTGTGTGCTAATATTTTAATATGCAGAATGACGAAGGAAGAGACTTGATTTATTTAAAAAAGACAATCTATTTAAGAAAATGAAAGTGACATCAAAGCATTGAATATGGAAACATATATTTGGAATAAAATAATGTTGATGGAGGAATATTTATTTCAAAATTAAGTAATTTTTATTTGAAACAATTTTTCTATGAAATATATATCTTAAGATTTATTAGAGAAGTGCATCTTTTTAATGTATGTAACTCAGCTTGTATATAATATTGCTAATTGACTAATAAATATTTGAAATTATCATAGAGAATTTCTTATACAAGATAGAATAAATAATAAACCAAACTTTACATATTATCTTGTAAATAAATGTGATTTGTGCGCATGCGTACAAGATGATAATATATGTCGAAAGATCACTAAGACAGTTAATACAGTTGTCAGAAATAAGATACTGTTACATTTTATATAATACAGAGCAGTCAAATTTCAAAGATGATACATCGAACAAGTAAAATTACGTTAAATTCTGTCTTGGGAAAACAGTGAAACACTTAATTTTTTAGTATGTGAAATATGAATGATGATGAAATCTATCTGTGAAATCTATCTATCTGTATATCACGCATATACAGATTTATGAATGCTTGCTTCAAAGAAAGCTACGGATGACATTTTTTCGTTGCCTCTGTACTTTCTGGATCTCGTTTTTGCCAATTTTTATCTCTTTCTTAAATTAAAAGATTCATCGCCAATTTGAATCAATAAAAGAGATGAAAAGTTTTATAATACGAGCTTTGAAGCAAATCGCTAAGAATGCCTTGCCAGATTGTTTTAATAAGTGATATGGACGCTAGTAAAAATGATATCTTTGCTGAAGGTGCTTACACACTTTGAAGCTAGTATATTGTAAAAACTTGCATTACTTATTTAATAAAAGTTTAAATGAAAGTTTGGTTTATTTTTGATTCTACCTCGTATGTATAAAATGTTAATTATTAAATTATAGGAAGATTTCCAAAAATTTTTTATGTTTACAATAATATTGTATCGTTTTTCATGTTGCAACTATATAATAAATATAAGATAATATTGAGACTATATATATATGTAGATTTTACTATATCTGGATTACTATATAATAATTAATACAATAATTAATGAAATAAATTTAACAATTAGTTAATTTATATAGTAAGATCATAAATCACACACAAATATATAGATATATATTCAAATAGCCAAATTTGTGAAGATTATATATTACAAATTATGTTAGCAGAATTTCAGCCAAGTATGGTTTGCAATTTCAATTAATATATCAGTAGAAAACGAACAATTCTAGCATCATGAGATGCTGAAAAAATGCTATAAAAATTAGAAAGCAATTCTTGACCTAAAAATAATACAATTCAAATATGTGCTATATATTAACAAAAACTAAACTTAGCATAAAATGTCAGAAATTAGGCTTAATGAGGATGCAAAAAATTGAAATCTGTTGCAATGTTATGATTAAATTTGCTGGCATACTATTAGCATATTGTTAGCATTTTGCTATCTGCGGATGTGTATGTATATGTGTGTATAACTTTATACCAAGACATTGATGCATTATCGTATATGTTTAAATTTAGCTATAGCTTATGTAATTTTAAAACTACAATTTTATACGAATTTTCATTATAATTAGGCAGCGCATGATATTAAAATATTCTATAATTATATTGAATGTACTGTGGATATACGTAATATATTGAAAATATCTCCTTATAAAACGTCTTTTTCTCTCCTTTATACTATATTATTTTTCATATATACTCAGGATATACTGATCCTCATCAATATTTTTATTTGTCAAATATTATAAATATATCTTGGAAATAACAATGTGTATGTTGTGTCCACATGCAATATTTTGCATAAACTCTGCTATGCATAAATATGTATAAATATAATAAATTTAAGTTTCTTTTACGAACGTATATAAAGGCTAAAAGAGGCGATTAATAAAATCAAAAGTATAAACACAAAAAATGTAACTTTTTATTTTGATTTTTATTAGTAATTGAAAAGTTCTATACATTAAATATGAGTACTATATATTGAAGAGATATTAAAAAAGCTGATAGATATTTTTACAATCAATATATTACTTTTTTAAAGGGGTTTGATAAATCTTTTGATTGAATCTATCGAAGAAATTAATATTCGAATATCTTTGATTTTCTCCAAGAGAGAGAGAGAGTGAGAATTATAGATTTTAAGTATTATATTATATCGATTATATTTATTAATATTGATTATACTTAGCATTGATTGATTGAAATTAATTTTTGACATTCCTCAGTTTTTTTTTAAGTAATTAAGAATTGATAATGTATGTGTAGAATTTGTTAAATCACAAATTGATTCTTCTGAAGGATCTATAGAACATTAAGATGTTTGAAAAATACAGATTTTGCAAAATATTTCAAATGATTCTTTCTTTATATAAAATATAAAAAATTCAAATGTTTCACTTTACTATAGTAAACTTCTAATCTAGTAATTTTTTACATTTTATTGTATAATTTTTTTTATAATAACATAATATTTTAACGCTTAATGCTCTATGGCTATGTAATACAATGTACTAAATTATAAAATGTAATTATAAAATATTATTATTAGCCGATTTTATACAACTGCAAATCTTGTTTCTAATCGTGTATATCTATTTAACATATTCTTCTCCTTAATTCTAATATTGTTAGGGAATTATTATTACGATAAACATCAATGATCGAAAGATCATAACAAAATTAATTCTCTTATCTCCTTTTATGTATCCCCTGTTACAATTTTTAATCGCGGTAATAAAGCATTACGATTCAATAAAGATTTATCGTTGCGATACAGTTTCATATCGCTAATTAATTATTAATTAATTAATTTTTATTAATATTTAAAGCAAATTATATTTCGATACTAATCGTAGTTGTGTTTAGTAAAAAAATTACAATATACGAAGCGTTTCTCACCACTACTTTATTATTCGAGAGTCACCGTACGAATAATAACAAAGCGGTAACATATAGCGCGCTATTGTTTATATCTTATATTATCAAAGTCGAACGCCGTGTTATCGATAATTCCGAAATATTTTATACATTATAAAATATATATTAACGTGGAATATTAAATTATGGAAGTATTTTAATTTATTGATTAAAATTGATTATTTAACAATTATTAAACAATTAATCACGGAGCTAAATATTTGAATTTAATCGATTATTTTACTGCGCTTTTCCGAAGCCAAATTATATAATATTTTGTTTTGAATTTTAAAAGATTAACTTATAGCAAACTAAATAAATCAATAAATAAATGATGTCAAAAAGAAAAAGAAGACACATAAATAAATAAATAAAAAATAGCGCGGAAAGAGAGAATATGCTACAATAAAATTTTTATATAATAAATTATTATTAATTAAATTATTTATATTTTTATTTATATTATTTATATTATCAGAGAGAAGACTAAGAGAGATGTCATGGCTATTATTGCGCTTAACGTTCGCGCGACTTTGATTTCTGAATTTTGTCTATTTGATTGATTTTTTTTCTCTTCAGGTAAATCTATATATGACCAATATATATGATTAATTGATTCAATCTTTATATATTTATTATTATATGTTATTAATCATATTATTATATGTTAATCATATAATTAATAATATTATTATATGTTATTAATCATATATTATTATATGTTATTAATCAAAGCCGTAAACAATATTCAAAAATCAAAGTTGCGCGAACGTCGAGCGCAGTAATGGCCATGCGCAGAAACCAATGCGCATCGACTCGGCCGCCATGTTAGCGCGTCATCACATACGTCGTACGTGTATCGGAATCACACGCAGTCGTCGTACATCCGCATTTTTCACGTTTTTAACCGTGAATAAGCGAATATCGCGAGTGAACGAGCGTCGAAAGTGTCCCAGGATGATCGCGCGACATTTTTAATGTATCGATGGAAGTGCGTGACAGCGATTTTTGACGGTATTCAATGATGGAGTCATGGCGAAGATGGAGCAAAGTGCGCGTTATTCGCGTCGCGTTATTCACGTCCTTGATGATGATTATCGGATGCGAGCGAGTATCGGGAGTGCCGAATAAAGTGTCGTGCGTTCGCGTGGATGATATCGTGTGAGTTTGTGTGCATCAAGATCGGAATGGGACGTCCCGAGGCGAGCGATTGGAGCGGCCTGTGGAACTGTGGAACAGCCGGTGAACGGTGAGTTGATTTGATTCATCATATTTGCGTGATAATTCGCGGTCGTTCGACCTTATACAGCATCACGACCTCTCAAACTATGTTCGGGCAAATTGGCGCCGCATCATAATTCGATGCGACGCGATGTAATTCAAGTAAAGTCAATCGCATGAAGATAGTTAAGTTAGAAGCGATTTGAAGTTTGTTTTGTAGCTGCGCGTGCAGGGCTTGCGCAGCCTATCTTGTAGGAATACCAACTGTTAAACGATAATTTTGTCGATCTAACCTAACCTAACCTCTCAATGTCTTCAGGTGTCAAATGTAAACACGAGCACATGCTACATGGGTTTCACCATGCTTTTAAAAATAATATTTATTCATTAGTGTAATAAAGTTTATTACGTATATTAATCGTATTAAATGTGCGACGTATAATTTTGCACATTTTAATGAGGAGCATGTAATATAATTGGTTAGGTTAGATTAAATTAATCAAAACAAGCTGCTATGATGATGCATTTAATGTAATGGTATTAATTTGACGAATGTGCAGCTATTGAAGTTAAATGATATTTGTGGACACATTTTATAGCAGTCACGAGTATCGTATCTCATCTCAATTACGTTTCATACATCAGTTAGTTTCATACATGAAACTAAAATACAAAATATTTATGTATTCCACATTAATCCACGTTATTCATTACAAGTACTATATTATTTTTCTTATATCTCAATCGTATTCAATCATATTATTTCATCGATGAAGTTTTTCATATATCGTAGACAATACGATACTGTGCATGGAATTTTACACAGGTAATACATGGCACAAAAATAATTTGCTCTTAAGTATTGCGCGCAATTCTCAAAAATAAATCAAATTACATTATTTTCAGTGGGATCCAAAAATTACCATATTGCAAGGATTTTATCTTATTACAACTGTAATATTATCACTTTTTAATATGTGCAATATTACATAAAATGTATAAATTGATTTGGAACATGCCTAAATCTTTATTTTATTTATAATATTTATAATATTATAAAAGAAAATTGCAAATCTAATGAAGCGGAGTGGTAGAATAATTGGTTGATGCTTTTCTGCTAGACTACAATATTATCTTTTTTCCACCATTATACTTTTGGTGCTTTTTTTACTATGCGGATGTTAATCTGTAAATATAGTACTTGTAATGTTGTTTCTGCACCAATGTAAGCATATAAAAATGACAACATTTGCAGGTAATTACACTATATTTATATAAATCATAAGAAAGAGAAAATAAAATTAAAATTGAATGTCTGAATGTACTCTAAGGTAAATCTCATCTAAATAAATAAATGCGTAAATGTGTGCCCCACATTCATGAAAAAAAATACATAATATTAATCTTTACACCATATTATTATTTTTAGATTTGTTTTTTATTCTTTTAAATTCTCTAGATGCATTTTTCGTTTCTCCTCTTTTTCTTTCCAACTAGTAAATATAGATATATGTCATTTTTAGTGTGCATTATTGCAGAAAGTGCAGGAATAAAAAGCAAACCTTTTGGTATTTCTAAAATGTACAGGAAGGTCAGTTTTTTCCGATGCGTTTTTTTCAATAGATAAAAAAAATCTGAAAAAATTCATTCACGCTTTTTTCAAGCCTTCTAAATAAAGATTAGAATAATAAATTTGCAAAGTAATTTGTGTTAATATATTTTTATTGCAAATATATGAAACAAAGTATTCAAGGTGCATCACTATGAAAACATCGGTAGAATAAAAAATGGATTCTCGTGTACGAAAAAATTAAAATAATATTAACGCTATCTATATTTGATATAGCATTTAATCGATATGTGTAGTAACATAATAAAATCTAATTTTCTCTCGAATTTTTTCACGAAATTGAAACTGCTAAAAAAACATCAAATACTCAAATTGCTTGCAAAAAAGCAGTTCTCGCTTTTAAAGGATTTTTAGGAAAAAAATTACAAAAATTTTAAACCTCACATGGATGATTTTATACTAATATTTCTAATGTAACATTTCATTCATAAAGATTTTATTTTGAAACATTTATACATAAAAGTACAATAATTATACGGCTTTTTTCTATTGTTTCATCTTTGCATGGCTTTCACTTATAAAGTATTTGTGTCTCTGGATATTTTTCTGTCAGAAGACTATGCAGCTTTCTATAGTAATTTCGCTAGCAATTGTATTCTCGTTTCATCGGAGTTTTTCGTTCGTTCAAGTCTTATCAATCTTTTTTTGTAAGGTGGAAGTTTAGAAAGAATGGCAGTGATTTCTTCTTTTTCAACACCATTTTATTATCTATTACATATTGAATAAAATCGAGAGGATTATTGGCACTTCTGGTTTTCTGACTTGCGCTGGTGAAACAAGTACTACTGGATAATATATTTAATAATATAATAATTAAATTAAAGTTCTATGAAAATACGCTTGAAATACTAAATAAAAAAAGATTACGTTTCTTATGTACTTTGGTCGTTATATTTCCTGAAAAAGTTAATGTAACTAGAGATTTTTCAAACTATACAAGTAACCGCAACCTTGGCTGTTTAATAATCGGTGATGGAATAAAATAAAATAGAATAATTTATTTATATTATGTACATTCTTAATAAAATGTGCAATTTGGCAATAATTTTATATTATTAATAAATTTAAATAGACCTATTTTTTTATCTTTTAATACATGTTATAATAATAATAATAATAATAATAAAATAATGGCATAAATACAATAATTCATAATTATGTAAAATATGCATTATAGTTATAACACATATGTTAAAAAATGGCGGAATAGAGTTGCTGGTATTAAAAAAAGATATTGCCCAGAAAAATAACAGATAAAAATTAGATTGTAATGATAAGTTTTCATGCCGATATATATTATTATATTATTTTGCATATGTATACATATAATTATATGTATACATATATATATTTGTCCTGCAGTCAACACAATTTTCAACGTTAACTAAATAATCACAACTAATCACTTTTTAGTTGCAATGTTTAATAAGAAGAAAGATATACACATATAATATAATATAATTTTCAGCATTAACTGAATATTTACGACCAATCTTCTTTTATCATATCAGCACCTTTCTCTGCTATCATGATTGTCGGCGCGTTCGTATTTCCCGAAATTATTTGCGGCATGATCGACGCATCAATTACACGCAAATGATCAATTCCATGGACTTTTAATCTATGGTCGACAACAGCATAGCTGTCATTGATGGGACCCATCTTACAAGTAGAAACCGGATGAAAAATCGTCGCTGTGAAATGACGCGCATAGCAAGCCCAATATTCATCCGATTCGAAAGCAAATTGTGAACAACCTGGCATCTTGGTATCAAGCAAGGTTGCATTTAATTTTCGCATAAGAGATGTGCGTATCATTTCCTTCATGAATTTCAGGGCCTCTATCTAAAATCATTATAACTTATTATATTAAATTCTTATAACATTTATATTTTTTTTATAATATGTATATTTTTATCTTTGATTATATTTGTTTAATATTTAGATAACTCTTGAACGCAACAAACTCAAGTAAACTTAAAATAAATAAATCTACATGCGCGCAGATTTTTTACTCATAATTAAGATATTTAATTTATGCTTTTATCCTATTATATTTCTAATTTAAACCGGAGAAAGATTTTCTCTTAAGTCTTCTACTTATTTAAGCTAATAAATAATTGTATGGCTCCCTCCTATATCCATAAATAAATAGCGAATGTATCATACTAAAACTTGAAGATCATGAGGATCCTCGAAATAATTTGGATTTATGATAGGAGCTTCTTTCGGATCTTTCGATTTTAGCTTGATAAAGCCTCTGCTGCGTGGTCTCAAAATATATGGTAAAACTCCGAATGCTTGAACATTTTTTGTGATATTTTTGTATAAAGCGGAGGCAGTTTTTGAGTTAACCCCGCGGGAATTTGCGTCATTTAATCCGTAGTCAGAAGCGCCCGAGAAAAGCAATTGTACATCCGGATAATCTATCATTTTGTCCGCATATCTGCAGTATAATTGAATAAATTGATTATGATTATAAAAACATTACATTACATACACACACATAATTCTCTCTAATTATATTAAATTAAATTTTGTCATTATAACGATTAATAATTATATAACTAAAACTTAATGATTAATGAAATAATTCATAAAATTAAAATGATTAATAAAATAAAATAAATGATTAATAAAATAAAATTATACGAAGGATATCGCTTACTTGGTTTTGATAAACGCCATTCCCCCACTTATCACATGTGAAAAGAGTGGGCCAGAATTATTCTGTATCAATTCTTGAATATTTTTCAAACTACCGATCCCAGAATGATTTTTAGTGAATCTCCTCCGCTCGTTGGGAACTATTTCAGGATCGACAATGTAAGTTATTCCACCCATTCCCACGTGATCTTGAAGATTTTGCCCTACACCGAGTGCATGATGCACCACAGATATATTCATCTCTTCGAGATGATCTTTTGGTCCGATTCCCGAAAGCATCAATAGTTTCGGTGACTGTATCGAACCAGCGGAAAGAATAATTTCTCGTTTCGCCTTGATTGTGAAATTTCTCCGATCCTTACGAAACAATATTCCGTACGCTATTTTCGACGTGTTATCTATAAATGAGTCGGTTGTAAATTTTTATATACGACATTGAAATATAAATAATAACAGGGTTTTAATTTATTATAACTGCTTAATAATCCTCAATATGTTACTAGAAATCAATATTTTTCTTTTCAGTACAAATAGTTACAGTCGGATGTGCAATGTATTTTCCGAATAACTGATTAATAATTTACATAAGAGATTAAAAAATAGTGATATAATAGACAAAGAAATTAAAAAATAATAATTATTCGAACTTTTTTTCACTAATATATTTTCCACGAAGGACTGTAAGCTGACGTGCAAATTCTTCCTCTTCGAAACAGGTCGCAGGAAAGCTTTGGCAGTGCTGCACCGAAATCCATTTCTTAAAGTACCATAAGAATATGTAAAACCAGTTTGATTTTCGCCATTTACATCTTGCACTTTGTATCCTAACTCTTCGCCAGAGTGAATAATATAATCGTCGACTGGCGAATTGTATCTGAAACGTTCTACCGTCAAGTATCCACCCTTCTGATGATAAGGCGAGTCGGCGAGTTCCTCGGCTCTAGCATCCTCGGATTTTTTGAAATACGGCAAAACACTCTTGTAATCCCATCCCGCATTACCAAGAGCCGCCCAAGAATCGTAGTCTTGTTTATTACCACGTACATATAACATTCCATTTAGAACACTGCTACCACCTAGTATCTGAAAAATAGATCATTATAATCGAGTCGACTTTTTATATTATATATTTATTATATATATTATATTTTATTATATCGTTCACTAAAACTGTTGAACAAAAATCTCTCTTTTATTCCATTAATGTTTTTCAGAAAACTCAATAGTATATGCAATAACTTTACATATATTTATATTTTTTATTATATATTTTTATTTATATATTTGTAATATAATATAAAGACTATTTTGGAATGTGTTAATTTTAGCATATTTAAGAAAACATCTTATTACTAACAAATAATATCTATCTAATAATTTAATCTGTTTAAAACGATAGGGAAAAAATATATGTAGTGTGAAATGTAGATTAAAGAACATAAGTTAAAGAAATTATTACGATCAAGGATCTATAGATAAAATAAAAAATGGAAAAATTGAAAAATGGAAAATGGAAAAATTTTTTAACGAAATTTAGCGAAATTAATATATGAAACGATGGGGTTTAGATCAAAGAATACTGGCTCTCTATTATCTGTCACATGCTGTTATCTAAAATACCTTTCCACGTGGCCAATAACAGCGATAATTATTCATGGCCAAGCAATAATTAGACGATGGTTCTGTTTTAAAATCCCAATCGTAAGATGTATGAGATAAAATTCCCACATTATCTGGCACGTCAGACAGAATGTCCTCATTAAGACCGGCTTCGAGTAGGAGTACGGTACGATTCTCATCCTCTGACAATCGATTAGCTAATACAGCACCGGCAGATCCTCCGCCAATTATCACATAATCGTATTGAGCTAACAGTTGTTGCGTCGGTACAGATTGCACACGATTCTCCTTATCTACTATATCTGGACGCTTGATAATAATGAGTAACCCCAGTATTGCGAGATATATTTTTATAGATAGAGGTTTATCTACCATATGTATTGTTGCAATCAAGTCAAGTATCATGTTAAATTTCGATAATAGCTCCATCCTAGTTTTTTATAACAATAATCATTACTATTAATTTAGTAATTTAAATATAAAAATATATTCATTCATATATGAACAATCTTATGTATTTATATGTACGATATATGTTATGATAAAAACGCTTGTAACGTGCAAGTGTTTACGTACAAAATTATTTATTATATTTATAATAGATAAAATGTTAATTATGATTTTCATAATTGATTTTTTATCGAGATTAATACAAAGTATATAATATTTTCACTTCTATAATATATATGAAAATTAAGAGTACTTTATCATTAATTGATATCTTATTATTAATTACTCTATATGTCTTCTATATGTACATATTATTTCTAATATATGATTTTGACGTTAGAATTAAAAATTAAAAATAAATCAAAATAAATAAAATGTCAATTAAAATTTTATCTTAATATATGTCAAAATGTATATAATTCGTACGTATATATAAAATACAGAGTAATTAATGGAGGACGTTTAACGACAAATTAATCTTCATGTGTATTACAAGAAGTAAAAATATCAATTTACATTAATTTTGTTCTAATCTGCGCATATATATATATATATATATATATATATATATATATATATATATATATATACACACAGAGTGTCCCAAAAGTCCCGGACTGGTCGAATATTTCATAAACTATGCACTTTAGAAAGAAATGTTTCAGACAAAAGTTGTGTTGCTTGAAGGGGACCATCAGATAGTGGCAATGATTTGATATGGGAGAATCATTTGAAAGTCACCGTTAATTTCTAAATAGAACCCCCTACTTTTTATTACATATTTGTGTAGCTTATCTAGAGAGCTTTCCAAAACACTATAATAAAGTATTTTTTCATTAAGTACTTTTCGAGTTATGAGGCTTGAAATCATTTCTTCATTTTGCATAAACCATAAAATATCTAGTAAAATATTCATTTTTCGATTATCTTACCTTAATACTTTTATGTACAAAATAATGAGAGGAATCAATTGATGTAAAGAAAACACATAGTTGTTTTAAAAAAAATATGTAATTGTTAATTGCAAATTACATATTTTTTTCTTAAAAAGCTAGTAAACTCTTATGGATAATTTTCTTATATCGATAAATATATAAGCGAAAATAAATATATAAGTGAAAATATATACAAGTGAATATATCATATTAAAACTTAAAAATCATGAGATTTCTCGAAATAATTTGGAACCATGATAGGAACTTCTTTTGAATCGCTCGATTTTAGCTTAATAAAGTCTCTGCTACATGGTCTCAAAATATATGGAAAAATTCCGAAGACTTGAACAGTTTTTGTGATATTTTTGTATAAAGCGGAGGCTTAACTGCGTATATATTTGTGAGAGAGGTCCATAGTCAAAAGCACCCAAAAGTTGTTCGGATAATCGATCATTTTGTCCGCATATCGGCATAGAATAATTGAATAAATTAATTATATATATAAAAACATTACGTGTACACATATATTTAATTTTCTTATATAATTTATATCGAATTAAATTTTATGTCACTATGACAATTAATGATTAATAAAATGATTCATAAAATTAAAATGATTACTAAAGTAAAATGATTAATAAAGTTAAATAATACGAAGGATATTGCTTACCTAGTATTGATAAAAGCCATTCCCGCGCTCAAACACATTCGAAAAGAATGGGCTAACAAGAATTGATGTCTGTTTTTATTTCATTTATCTATTTCGGAAAATTCAACTCAATTTAACATATGCGATAGCAAAATTGGTAATTATATACATTAGCAATTCCTCACTGATTTCAATGACCTTGAAATATGTCGTCGGCAGCATGATTCTGAACAACTTTTCCTTATACATGTTAGCGCCGCTCGCCCTTAGTTTCCGAGACATTTATAAAAATATTTTATGGTTTTGCAATATTGTCACCATTATGAAATAACTTTTTTGCATGTATTCAGTTTTTGACAAAGTAATAATGGTGTAAATATTATGATTGAGGTATCATGCGACGCTGTTTATTTACTGACGCAAATTTTTTTACTGACTTTTTATACTTAGAGAGTAATGTAAATGACAATTTTTAGTCAGGGGAGGTTTCAACTAAAAAGTTATAAATAAAAAAAGAGTTGTAAAGCGAGATGCTACCGGCGGGGTGATTGCGGACGATTGAAGAGCCGAAGGCCTCCCCTTGCACCCTCCGCTTGTGTGATGCCGGTAGCATCTTGCTTTACAACTCTTTTTTTGTTTATAACTTTTTAGTCGGGGCCTCTCCTGACTAAAAATTGTCATTTACATTACTTTTTAAATGAAAAGTCAGTAAAAGAACTTGCGTCAGTAAAAAAACATGGCGTCGCGTGATACGTATCGATACGATATCGTCTAATTATTTTTTGAATAACCACGAATAATTATCAGAACAATTGGAGAATATGAGAAGGCATTTGAGATAACAGATAATGAACATGACAGATAATAGAGAACAAATATGAAAGTATAGCAAGTATAAAAGTATAACAAGTATAAAAGTTTTTTATCAAAATTCATCGTTTCGTATTTTATTTTCGCTAAATTAATATATGCTGTTATCTAATTTATATATTAATATATAATTACATATTATTTATATCTAATTTATATATTAATTATGCTGTTATCTAAAATATCTTCTCATGTGGCCAATTGCTCTGATGATTATTCATGGCTAAACAATAATTAGACGATGGTTCTGTTTTAAAATTCCAATCGAAATATGTATGATACAAAATTCCGAAACTATTTAGTACATCGGATAAGATTTTCTCGTCAACACCGATTTCGAGTAGGAATACGATCCTCATCTTCCAACAGTCGGTTAGCTAGTACAGCACTGATTCTCCGCTAATTATTTTTATCTGATGAGAAATATATATATTTTAAAAATAGTAAAAATGATAAATAGTATAAATGATAAATAATTTATATAAGTTATTTTTCTTTACTGTATATATATCTCATTGATTCATCCATCGTTCAATTCTTTTTCTCTCTTGCTTTCTTTGTTACTTCTTATTGTATTTGCATTCACTCACGAAAATACTATCGTGTTTAAAAAAGGAATTCCACAATATACAAAGTATTTCGCATTTCTACTTTATTATTCGAGCGTCGCCGTGCAAGTGATAACAAGATCATGACTCATAAACAATAGCGCGCTATGTTATTTATACTACCGATGTCGAACACTGTTAATAATAATTCGCCTAAATATTTAACATATACGCGGAATAATAATTTAAAATATAAATTAATTATGTATTATATACACAATTAATGTATCACGGAACTTTTTGTTATGCTAATAATTTGGCTCTACAATTCGATTATTACTTCGCGTTCTTTCTTAATTTGAATATTATATTTAAATATTATATTTGAATATTATATTTGGTTCGTCAGAAAGTCCAATATAATAAAGTAGCAAATGAAATATGTTTGGTTCTATCATGAAATAGATTTTTGTTTGCACATTTACAGACAAATTAATTTTTCGTTCGTACACTCGGCAACCAAAATGCCTTAACACCTGAATTTGCCCGTGTTAAGGCATATTCGGACGACGTACTTCCACCCTATTATAATTGCGCATCATGACTATTTAATATCTGGCAATGATGTTTCAAAGCGATTTTACGCAAAATTCAAACTAATGTGTGACATATCTGAAAAAGTGGTTATATGTCAAATATGTCAAAATGTATATGATTAGAAAATAAGTAATGCACATTAATTATATAAAATATTAAAATAAAATACATTAAATATATAAAAAATATAGCGTGATATGAATTACACATATTAATGCCAGTTTTTTATTGTGTGTCGCAGATTTGAGGATGAGCGACTGCTGTTCAAATATAAAAACTTAATATGTGTAATTCATATCACGCTTTATATTTTTTATATATTTAATATATTTTATTTTAATATTTTATATAATTAATGTGCATTACTTATTTTCTAATCATATACATTTTGACATATTTGACATATGTCAAACCACTTTTTCAGATATGTCACACATTAGTTTGAATTTTGCGTAAAATCACTTTGAAACATCGTTGCCAGATATTAAATAGTCATGACGCGCAATTATAATAGAGTGGAAGTACGTCGTCCGAATATGCCTTGACACGGGCAAATTCAGGTGTTAAGGCATTTTGGTTGCCGAGTGTACATATGTAGAAATAAAGATATGTATTTAAAAAAAAGATAAGAGGCTTACTTCACTCTTAAAGAAATTCAAATTTTGCAAAATTCTTTTCGTAACAAGCTTAATCCATAGATTTTCGTTTACATATTTACAGGCAAATTGAGTTTTCGTTTGCATATAAGTAGAAATAAAGATATATATTAAGAAAAAAAGTAGGGCGCTTGTTTCACACTCAAAGAAGTTCAAATTTTTTAAAATCTTTCTACAAAACAAAAAAAAGTAAGAATTAAATATGAACCAAAATTCAGATTGTGTGTAAATATTCAAACAAAAATTTATTATGCCTATCATAAGTCCATTATGAAAAGATTTTAGTAAAATTTGAACTTTGAGTGTGAAATTAGCCCCTAAGCTTTTTTCTAATATCTTTTTTTCTACTAATATGAACACAAGTACTTAATTTGTTTGTAAATGTACAATCAAAAAGAATGAAATTTGCATGTATATTATATTATGGAATTAACATTTATTAACATTAAATGTAATATTAAATATATTTGTATATGTATATTGTTAAAATAAATTTTATAGATAATTATTCTTTTTTTCCGATTTAGCTAGAGAAAATATAATAGCAGATAAAGAAATAGAAAAGATAAGTAGAAATACAGGAGCAGACAAAAAAAAATAGAGAAAATGAGTATAATTACAGAAGCAAGCAAAAAATAAAGAGTAGTAAATATAGGGAATTTTGCAAAGAAGCGTCTAAGCTGGCACAGCCACTTGTTCAAATCGATTTTTTAAGGCAAACGTGGAGCTATAAAATCAGAATTATAAAAATGACAACAAAATCATTGAAATGTTATCGATTGAGATATCTGATTAATTATCAATTTTATAATACTTTTTTATATAGGGGATAATTTTGGAGATGGTTTTCGGAGTTTAAAAGTGGTGCAAAAAATCGAATAGAGCAATTAATTAGCAACAAATTAGGACTAAAGAAATATATCGGAGTTTTGCGTTTTAAAAATTTTTTTTAGTGGCTGTGCTAACTTTAGATTAAAGTATATTTCACAGATATAATAATTTTCTTTCTCATTCATTTCTATTATTATCAATTATATTTATTACTTCTTACTTTACTTCTTATATATCCTGAGATAGTGTTAGCATACAACGGATTTTTCAAGCTATGCAAATACTTGTAAGACTTATCTTTAACAATACCTTGTCGGTGCAATAGACTATAATTTCTTTATCTGCAACAGTTGATAAAATATATTACATTCTTGCCGCGTTTTTACTCTTATATTGTAATAGCAGGCCATTTGATTTCTGCTGTCACGTTGGCAGATAAGTTCAATTTCTGACGATATTCTACCGATAGCATGTCATGTTATGCTTAGTTTTGATTTAATTTTTGTTGACATATTGGGCCAACATGCAGTGTTTAAAATCTAATTGTTTTATGCCAAGAATTTTTGCTTAAGTGTTGCAGCATATCACGATATTATTATTTTCTGCTACTAATTTTTGGTGTTATTTATTCCTGTTCAAAATCTTATGTATATTAATGTTAAATAATTACAAAGAAGAGAACTAAAAAAATAATTGAGAATAAAATCTGCCACACAAGTATAATTAAGTAAAGATTGCAATTTTACTTTATATTTTTTTCAGTAATAATTATTCTTTGGGAAAGATTAGATTAAGTTGGGAAGACTTCGATACACACAAGGCGGAAGTTTTATCTCTTGATTTAACCATGTTTTATTTTGACATAAGAAACGTTTATTAATACGCATGCTATTTCTCCATTTATTAAAGTACATATGAAAAAAATGCATTCTCATATAAACTGATAGTTTTTTCCATCTTCACTTAAATTAAATAAGTCGATTAAATAATTCAGAACGCGATTCACCTTTATTTTTCAAAATAATTGCGTGAATTTCGCAGCAACTCATATTTTCCGAATATATTTTGCGTTTCTATCCATGTCGAGCTAAGGAAAAGAACTAACTGTACTTAAGGCATTATTGAGCTGACGAATCATATATGAACAATTGATATTCGTGCAAGCCACATGCGGCCGCTAGGGCTCTGAATTTGACAGAAGTAGATTACCTCGTTATAGTGGATCAGAGCCTCGTATTAGTATATTTCGAGGTCCAGTGTATACAGAATAAATTCCGACTTTAGGATTAGTAGATATTCCAAAATCTGGTTACATATGGAAGTACGAATGACGATAACGAGGCGCGGTTTTTTAGAATTTTGCAAAATCATCGGAAAGAAATGGTTTAACCGATATAATAAATTTAACTGATTAGATTATAATTAATAATTAATTAATTTTTTTGATGTTTTTATAAGTGCATATTTTTATTTTAGGAAGGGATAAAAACTCATTACTAGCAATAAAATTGAAAGCATTATCTAGCAATTAAAAATAAATACTATTTTACTTTTCATACAAATTGCAAAGAAATGGCTAAAATAAATGTTGATCTTTATCCATAATATTGTACGTTGACTCTGTCACAGACTTCTAATATGTAAAAGTCTGTGCTTACCGTACATAAAATCTTAATTCAAGAATTATCTATAATAAAAGGAGCAATATTTCTTATCGGATAATTCTCAGAAGAGACTGTCGAGACTAAACATAAAAATATTAAAAAATAGAGGGAGGATTATATGAGAAAAAATTCGGAAAAAAATATGAACGGAAAAATAAAGTTTGTCTTTGAATTTTAGATAAGATGTGATATGTAGTAAAGAGATGGAGTGAAATAAACTGAGAAATTGTAGCGAAATATTTGTTGAAATCGTCAAAATTATTTTAATCGATCGAGCGAATGAGATAGCAACGGACATGATTATGTATATATTATATATATATATATATATATATATATATATATATATATATATATATGTATATGTATATATAATGTATATATACACACTTGTGTGTAAATATGTATATAATATGTGCAGTCATATGTGCAATATATTCTGTGATTATACGATCGAGATGCGATAATATCTTACATGTGCGTGTGTACTGTCAATGCGAGAAAATTAGATTACAAAGGGCATTCGCGGATAACTGCGAACGGACGCTTCGACGTAATGACTCGCTTATCATGACGATGAGGATGACGATTGAATGAATAAATTCACTAATGATTATTCCCCTCATCTTTCGCTGAATCGAAAATCTCGAGATCCCCGATCGAGAGTCGAAGCAATTCGATTGCGAGTAGATAGTGATGGTCAATGTTTGTGAGCAGTTGGTGCGGCAAAAATTGTCTTTATATACATGTAAGAGGCAAATGAATAAGAAAGGTGCATATATTATATCATATTTATATGTCTTGAGTTTGTAAACGGTTTTACAGTCGAATTTGAAATCAAACTAAACATTTTTTATGATTACTACACAATGAATATTTTATAATATTCATTAATTATATTAGCTCTTTTCATGCTACTTTTTCCTCAAATAAAATTATATAGAATTTCTTTATTCATCTACCTCTCGCATCTTCATCTGCAATTACATATATATATATATATATATATATATATATATATATATTATATATATAGGATATTATATCCCTTTCGAATAAAGATCAGCAACAAATCACAGTTAGTTAAACGAATATTGTATACATGCCAGATTTCTACTCGCATGATTCTGTCACACTCTGTATATGTATATGCATATGTATATGGCCGTCTATCTAACTACGCGCGTGTATAAGACTTAAACTTAATAATAATATTTAAATTCTTTTTCTTTTTTTCCTCTCTGATATATAATGCGATGATATGGCACATGATGCAATAATTCAACGATGATATAGCTCTAAATCCTCTCCCCCCCCCCCTCTCTCTTTCTCTCTCTCTCGCTCGCTCGCTCGCTCGCTCTCGCTCTCTCTCTCTCTCTCTCGTTCCGTTATTACAATATTTCCCCCTAATTAACTAATTAATTATTCTTGGATTTAATCCCTTCTATTTAATAACTTTCACTTTCATATCATACTTCTTCTCCGTACATTCAATTATTCTCTATATATTTACAGATCCATCGAATAAATATAAATAACAAATAATTGGAACCGTGTTCTCATCGTACAGTTAACGCTGAAAATATATAGAAGATATCTTTTAACGTCAACGTTGTGCAGAAGTTAAACAATCGCATTTACGTTAAATCGAATCTTAATATTGGTCATACGATATTTATATAAATCTCACGTTCGATATTAACATGGAATAGTTAACGAATCGATCGATAAGAGAATCGATAATTCTCTTTTTCTCCAACGTACATGTACGAAATAAAATTTATAACCCAAGAGAAAGAGATTCACGCCTCTAAGTCTTTTATTTGCTAACTATAAGCGGCACGCAGTACTAGTGAATGACGCGCGATATATTCTTAAGATGAGATAAGTCGTGTATATGGATCTCTATCTTTAATTGAACGATGCGATTGTTACAAATCGATATCCTCCGCGATCGCGTCTTGCCATGCATTGATGTCACTAGGATTGTCAGGATTTCGAGAGGCAATACGCTTGTCCGAATCGTACAATTGTTCGATACGACGAATTAAATCCAGCGAATCGATTAACAATATCGGAACATTATCGGTATTTGCCGTCATCCGCGATAATGATGATGATGATGATGATGATGATGATGATGATGATGATGATGATGATGATGATAATGATAGTGATGATTCGCTTTCACGGATGAGGAATGTAACGACGACGCGTGCATTCGGAGTTTCGATCGTGTGAATGTGAAATCACACAAGTGCAATTTCGCCCATATGTTTGTATGTGTGTATGTGTGTGTTTGTGTGTGTTCTATATGTTTTGTATATATTGTGTTTGGTATTATATACATATACGTATCCATTTCGCTGGAAAACAACTCGTAGATGAACGAATAAAGGAAACATGTGCATTACCGAAGAGAGATTCGATTCTCTCACAGTAAATAGGTATTCTTTGTGTCGAATGTGCGTGTTTCATACTCGGATATACAATTGTTTTGAAGCTTAGCGACGGTGTCTCCTTGAAATTTCTCTCCTTTCTCTTCTTTTTTTTCCTTTTTTTTTTCTTTCCTTGATAAATTGTCTCGACAGTAACAGTGCTCTCTGTGGAACGACAAAGTTGCTTCTTACTGCTCGTTAGACGCAATTACCTAATAAACCTCGCGGTAATTCGCGCAAAAGTTATGCGCGAATATACATCGTTTCCAATTCTACGCTTTTATTTACGAAACACAAACATCTCCCGTATTGTTTTAAATATTTATTAGGTACATTACACATATGTGTCATACGATTCTCAAGCATAGTATTGTCAACAGTTGTGTATTTTTTTTCTCTCGATAATTTTTTCTTCGTTTCTCTCTTTCATCCCTCTGTTAACGCGTCTCGCTTACAGCGGTTTAAAATCTGGCTTGAAGTTTTGGTCTTGATTCACCTCGATTCGACCGGACGCAAAAGTTTGCGGCAAGAGTCTCTTCAACACAAACAAGAAAGTAATCGAAAGTATTTGACCTCGTTCTATTAAAGCTTTTTTGAAGTTCTTTGTCATCGAAAGAATGAAAAGTAATGGTGGATCAGTCTGCATACATTTCATCAATGAACTTGTCTTTGATCTTTTGAAACAGAATCTAATCTCACCGAAAATATCACTTATAAAAGTTGAGTCTCGCATTGTAATTTGGAGAACCAAGAATTATACATAATGTACGTAATTATGAAAAACAGATTTTAGAAAAGATTTTAGCAAAAATATCTATAAAAAATTCCATTAGATGTATATCAAATATTTAATTAATACGATATAAAATAGACTATTAAATATGATACACATATGTCATTTGAATTATAAACCTATTAAATATATGATACACGTTATTTTTCCAGAACTTTGATCGCAAGAATCGAATTCTTAAAGTTCCTGAATTGTTTTTTTTTTGCGTCACTGTTTTATTTAATCGTTGATTGAATTTTTGAGGTCAAACGTGTACGTTACTATCATTACGCACTGCATACTTTTGCGTCCTTTATCTTTTTATATATCCGTATCTCCTTGCGGCTGATGAAATCGTTGCAATTTGTTAAACGCGATACAGGGTGTCTCAGGTTCCGCGCACCCCGTATCTACGGACTCTCCGACTCAATTTCGTGTATTTTTCCTTAACAAAAAGCGTCAAGGTAGCGATAACTTTTGAACTGCAAGACGATAAAAAGTCTAAGAATTTCAACGAACGGCGGAGCCTTAAATTTTATTCAATTCGAAGTGAATTTTACTTTCACAGCATTTTTATTTGAGAGGCTTAAGATGTATTTGACATTAGAAAGTCGTGGAAAAGGATCAAATCTTTCGCTAAGGAGAAATCAACTGCGAATTGGTCACAGGATCGGTAGATGCAAGGAAGTGGAGGCGAGCCTGGATCACACACTCTATATACGTACGTAGTATATACATGTATATCTCTTTTTAGTCTTTCGTTACCATCCCGACAACATTCCTCGGACGTTTAATGATTACAGAGAATAGAAACATGGGAATGTGTTTAAAGAAGAAGAATACTGTTGCTATATGTTTGGGATCGGTGTAATGACGTATCTATCTTTGTTTATGTCTGTTCAGAGTTTCTGTACAATTTTCTTGTTCCGCATAAGCGGACTTTGTCTCCCTCGTACGTGTGTATGTCTTGTTATTCTTTGTGCGTGTATAGTGTAGCGTGTTTTAGTGTCCTCTTTAAGGGGTAATTATCACAGAATACACGAGATATTTTCATTTAAGCTTACAAGAGATATATTAATCGAAGCGGAGAGTAGGAGGAAAAATTAGCGACCGATCCCGTCGATAATCGCGTCGATCGAGATTTTTTTCGATCAATCTGATCGAACGAGATATTGTCCGGACGTGTTCGTCGACGAGATCGATCTGGATGCCGAATTCGCCAGCCCTTCTGTATTCAATAATGTACTTAGTTAGGCAGCGGAGAAAATAGACACTTTTACAAATGAAGATGGTGGCGAGGTCGCGGACCCGTGTTTTTCTTTCCTGCTTGAATTTCCGACAACATCGGCGACAGATGCAGATGCAGGTGCTTTCTTCAAATCGATCATGAAATTGAAGTTGAAACGCTCTAGCAAGATTCTAGTATGATTCTAAATGTCTTGTATGATCGTAGAGAATATTTTGAAATATCAATGTCCCGATATATATATATATATATATATATATATATATATATATATATATATATATATAGAATCTGTCTCCCATTCGATTTTAAATTTAACGAATATAAATGATATTATCTATAATTAATTAATATTAATTTATTTTTCTTAACTTTAAGATTAATTCTTTCACGAAAGTTCTCAAAGAGGTAGATAACATCACTGTTGCATAAGATCCTTCAATTATTTCATGATGCGATGTTTCGACATACACACTCAAATTTGGAAAGCATCTGCAGCTGAGACGTGTGTATGTTTGTGTATGTGTATCTGCGTGTTGATCGGACGTTTATTTTTTTAAGTTGTACTCGATTCTTTCTCTCTTTGCCGATCGAAAATCCCGCGCTCGCAGCTACATCAGCAATTTAGACACTATACACAATACGTAAGTATAATCTAGACGTACTACGTAGTAGAAACTTTTGAATATAGCGTAATCTCTCCGGAGTTGTGTTGTACCTGCCCGGCTCTGCGCGGGCTGGGCGATGATTGGATTCATCGAATACGAGATTGCGTGCATTTGTGTTTCTCTCACGGAGGGATCCGACCAAAGCTTCGTACGATCGCAAATATCACAAAGAAGGTATCGCGATCGTTCTCGAGAGGACACTCCTTCGTCTCGATATGAATTTCTCGGTAAGAGAGATCGGCGGAGACAATATCGCGCGTATACGCATCCCTACGAACAGGCGAACGTCCGCTATGTACAAGTATAGGACGAGACAAGACGTACAGAAGATGAAGCTAATAGCGTTAATAGGAATAGTTTAGCAGTTTTAACGTCCACTCTCGATACATGATATTTCGAGAGAGAGACGCGTAAGAAGCAGCGATCGCTAGAGACAGAATCAAGAGCTACGGTATGATTACTTTGCGCGCACTACGAGTAGCACCGATTCAAGATTCACGAATATAGATCTCGAAGAGATGTCGGGTTTTATCCAAGTCAAAGTTACCCACGAGCAATACCGATCGATCACTCGGATAACAGCCCCGAAATATCCCCGAGTACTCGAATAGCATTCTCGACAGTACTAATTACAAGAGTGTAAAGTTTAATTTTTAGAGCTCGCACGATCGCCGGTTCGTAGAAGGTGAACTTGTTTTCGGAGCACGAGTCGTCCGGATATATCCGGGACTCTTTTTACCCTCTCTGTTACGTGAATACACGCCAACGATTGTCGGAGACGCGAGCGGCGATATCGATCTATCGCGTATCGATCGCTCGGTCTGGAATCGTCACGCGCTTACGTAACTCTCGAAGCTTTCGGACGAATCTCGGCATCATCATTTCGCAACAGCGGCAATAACATCAGCAGCAGTCAGACGATCCATCTCTGGTATAATCTTATACGAATAAGAACGTTACTTTACAATTACAATGCCTTACTAACTTTTTTTTGTTTTTATTACTAACGGCACGTCGCTGAGTGACGTCACAGGACGTGCCTATTTGGTCGTACGCAATGCTACATTTAAACTGTATATTTAGAAAAACCTTTTTTCGTCAACAATGTTTTCACGTATCTACAGTAAACTCGTCTTCCCGAACAAACGGCCTAGAAACGACGCGGTCGTATCGCGAGCGCGTGTATGTGTGTTACGTGTGTATTATGAATTTCGTATTTTTTTTTTTGTTGCGATCCTCTTCGTTCTGCATAATCAATAATCCTGCATACGCTGGATCCGCCCTTTTCGTCTCCTCTTCGTTTTCTCCCTCCTCGAGGTCAGTCTTTCGGCGAACGGCGGCGCGTCCGATCGAGAGAGTAACATCGCGTTTTGTGCGAAAAAACACCGTATTTCAGTCCTTTTCGCGGTGTTTTAATCTCTCTCGTCCTATTTTACGTTACGAATATTACCAAATATATTGCATACTGGCAGCACTATTTTCACGTTTCGCGTTTCCTCGTCTCGCGAACACTCTCCTCCCTTCCTCCCCTCTCTCACCTGCGGCATTCGCACGAACAAGAGTCCGATGTGTCTCTTATGTCTTATATAGTATTAAAGCGTCTCTCGTCGTCGTCGTCGTCGCTGTCGAGCTCTATTCTTCCTCGATTATTTTTAACTTTTCGTAAATCTGGATGGGAGAAATTCCCCTCTTTTCTTTCCTTATTGTATGCCGGACGAACGCCGAGCCACGCGGGATTGTTGACCTAGCTCGTCGTCCTAGTTCGGGATCTGTGGGTGGTTCCCGGTGCTCATCGTCGCTGTCCAGGGACGGGGTTAAAGCTCTGTATATATATATATATATGTGCATATGTATATATGTACGTATGTATGTATATGTATGTAAGACGTAAAAAAGGGAGAGGAATACCAAACTCGACCGAATTCTGCGGTGCGAGGAAAGCCGGAGGGAGGAAATTTCACGATAAATCGCATCCTGCTGCCTAGGATCGTTCCTCCCCGGCATTGTGTCTCGTAGCGGAGAAGGGCGGAAGGTTTCGAGTATAATCGTTTTCGTCATGTGAATTGCGCGAATTACATCTTTCTTTCATTCCCTCTTTCTCTCTCTCTCTCTCTCTCTCTCTCTCTCTTTCTCGCGAAATTAGTCGTGAAAGATTTCGTTCGCTCGTGGCACCATAGGCATCGAATATGCTAACTCCCTTTGGACGGCCTCCTGTTCCTCCTCTTCCTCTTCTTTCTCCCTCTCTTCGAGCTCTTTCCAAGCTCGAAGTACTCGAGTCGCTTCGCAGTCGGCTTATTAACGCGGCGCCGCATCTCCTCAGGTAGGGTTCGGCAGCGGTGTCTCCTGCCTGATATCGCTCTTGAGCTTCACGAACTCCTTGGCGATCTCGTCGTTGTTGCGCTGCGAGAGAATGCGCAGGATCGTCCAGCCGGTCTCGTCCATCTGGATGCGCTTGCCGAGCGACAGCCAGCACGCACACGAACCCTCCTCGACGATGTCTTTGAGCTGCATCACCGCGACGCCAACGAGCCTATCCTCCCTCGCGAAGCAATAATCTTTCACGCAAATATGCAGCTCGTAAAAGTCCAGCTGTTGTTGCTCGTTACCGATCATGCTGAGAACAAAGATAAGTGTTGAATTTTGTCAACAAAATTCTTTTTCAATAATTGTGTAAAAATTGCATCGCTTACAAGTCGAAGCTTTCGTTGAATTGCGGCGACCAGTTATTGCTCTTTGATTTTGTTGACTGTTTTCTCTTCTTGCCAGTGAGATGCGGGCCGATCAGATTCACCTCAACGTACGGTCTAAACATGCCTGTTGCTAATTGCCACTTCAAATCGTTCGCGGCAACAACTAAAAAATTTTATTTTCATTGTATTATTGATAAATTAACAAGTACACTTAATTTGCATTATCGATTGCCAAATGCATATAAGATTGCTTTTAGTAATTTGACGAGACCGCAAACGTACCTTTGACGGTGACTTTCTGTTCTCCCGTTCCCGGATGTGTGAAGAGATCCACCTGGATGCTCACCTCGCCTACCGAACCTTCATCCGAACCGGCGGTATCTGGAACTTAAAAAAGTCATAGTCAGAATTTAAGTTCGCGTACGATGCCATGAAGCCAGAATATGCATCTATATACTACGCGGACTTCGTCTGATTCTATCTGATGCTACAATTTGAGACTAAGGCTAAGAATCTAATCTCGATTTTCTATTTCTAGAGCAGATTACATGCTCTGATAATAAGCAGCTTAGGTACTTGTTGATTCTCGTCAGCATAATTATCAGAGAAGACGAAGTCAGCCCATGTAAAATTTTTGTGTGCGTCTATCACACGGTGTGTGATAGACTTTTAAATGATTTCATTGATTTTGCAACAAGTCATTTATAGTGTTCGGAGAATTCTAGCTCGGAAAATTTAGTGTGCATCCCGAATCGAAATTTTTCTTCTACTTTTCATTTCAATTTTCGATTTAACATCTATTTTAAACAGCCCGGTTATCTTTTTTTGAAATTATTTAATCTATAGTTTTTTGTCAAAAGTTTCTCTTTTAAATTTTCAAATAAAAAATTGTCAGTTCATTAAATATATAAAGTAAGAGTTCCATTCTTATATCAAATAAACCTATCGAAATCCTCTAAAATGCATAAAATATGAAAAAATTGAAGTTAAAAATACGGGTAAAATTTCAATTCGGGTGCTACAAGTGTCCATAATGTGAGTGATTTATCCTTTCTTTGAGAATATTCGTTCCTTTGAATCTTCATTGTAAAAATAAAGTGACATGTAGCGTTAGACAATGACGCTCGTAAGAAAATCATGTACAAATGATTACAGGTGATCAAGTGGTTAAATGACAGACTTTTTTCATATATATGTGTATATATATATATGTGTGTGTGTGTCCAAAGCGTCGTGTTGAAAAAAACATCGAAAGAGAGACATTTTGTGGATCACTAAAATTATCAGTAGTAATAGTAGTAGCAGCAAGAGTGGCGGCAGTAGCAGCAGCGGCAGTGATAACAGCACAGCTTCCTAACACAGCTATCGAAACATCAAGACATCTTTGAAATATTTTTCTTCCTTCGACAAACGAATGAAGTCGGTACAAGGGTAAAATTTTTAAGAGAGAAACTTATTTCTTTACTAATTAAATGGATACTTGAAAGTAGAAAAAAAAATGTGGATATCAAAGAACATAAATCATATCTCGAAAGACGTCTCGACGCAACGATCAGTTCACTACGACCTAAAAGTCCTTTCCTGACACCTCCCGCGACCTACTAAGGTCTGCTCTGTGGGTACCTTGTCGGCTCTCTCGACGAAGAGAGGGCTTGCTCTGTCGAAGGGGTTCCTCGAGGCTTTCCATACCCTCGGCTCCTTCCCCTTCGTCACCTCTCTCGCTGCTCATCGAACGCTGACGCTGACGTAGCGTTGACGCGTTGTTCAGCGGCACTGTCCCGACAATTTTCATTACGTCGTAATGTGAGTGTAAAAAACGCATACGCCGATATATATCGATTCTTTACGCATTGATCGCGCGACGGATCGTGTAATGTAATGTGTTATTAGAATATATCGTTTGTGTTGTCTGACTATCGAAGTGTTTCCTGATTATCTCTTATCGCGATTGCGTTCACAATGTAGTAAAAAAACACATATAAAAATAATAATTATTACAGCTTATAATAATATATAAATATAATATATATTATAATATATAAATTTGTTACGCAAACGATAAACTCGAAGTGATGTACCTTGGTTGATTTGCGAGGTAACGAAGGTTTTGATGAGGGTGTCCGTTGTTTGTGTGTACAAACTCAGTGCGTAACGGAGGCTCTGCAGTTCCGGCGATTTTTCCAGGAATGTTTTCTTCAAGCCATTACCACCGGCATGGAAGTATTGTTTAATCGTGTCTAAGGCGACGTCGAGAACCGCGCATTGCTTCGGCGAAAGATTCTTTTCCACTTCCTTGGAGATATCCTGGAGAGACAAGGTCTTATTAACAATAGTTGCAAAACAAGTTTGTCTTAAATTTAAATAGATATATATGTAATTTATAAATAATTTATTTTTATTACTACAATTCCGTGTAGATATATATATCTAATTTAAATAATTTATTTTTGTTACCTTAACTCCTAAATTTAAATATAGATATATATGTAATTTAAATAACTTATTTTTATTATCATAATTTCATATAGATATATATCTAATTTAAATACTTTATTTTTATTACCATAACTCCGCTAAGAGCATTTTTCACATCGGGTTTCCCGGCCATGTGATTCTTAAACAACTTCGACATATCTTCTATCTTAGCGTTAGCAGCGAGATTTTTAGCATTATCTGTCAAGTTCTTGAACATCATCTGCAAGAGATGAAAAATATTAACCATAAAAACATGTTATTAATACTTTATCGATTTAATTATAATTATAATGTAAAAACTTAATTATAACGCGATAAACGTACGCTCTTATCCGTCATAGGTGGTAAAACGACGGTTTTCTCTAAAATTCTCATAACTATCTTCCACAATTCTTTCAATAGCCTCTTCAATACCGTCTTCTCGCACGACTCGGCGTACAGAGATAGACTACCGTCGAGTAAGACCATGAGCGGCCTCAAAACATCGTCAGCTTCTGCAGTTACGTTGTTTCTTTGAGCTGGCTGCGACAAAGTTACCTGCCCTCCACCTTTGATAGCTAACAAAAGATCTCCCAACTCTCTAACAGAAACTGTTATTCGCGGCTCCAGACTATTCGCGAAGAGCATGGCCAGATCATCCAGCGCGCCGTTCAGCTGTTGTTGTAATTCCTTCAATATATTTGCCGCGTCTTCCTCGAGTTTGTCGCCGCCCATCGACTCGAACATCTTCTCCAACTGCACTCGAAGTTGTTGGATATTGTTCATCAGAATGCATGCCTGTGGAATAAAGTCGATTTATAATGAAATCAGTTCGTGCTTCGTAAATTTCTGCAGATCATATCATTCTTGAAAACGTACGATTCGTTCTTCCTTCAGATGACTGGGGAATTCTTTCTTCACTATATCCGCATAGGCCACCAGAACCTTGACGATGGTCTTGGCGAATCTCTTCATGTACCTCTTCCAGATCTCCGGATCTGGACACTCGAGTTTCGATACTACATCGAAGCATTGTGTCAGTTGTGTGAAGACGTCGACGACGGAAACGCTGAAGAGCACGTGCTCGCTGCTCTTTTGAAACTGTAAGGAGCAAATTAGAGAACCAATTAAAAAACGCTTCTAGGTCGGATAAATATGTGACAAGATGTTCGTGTAGATAAAATTCATATTACTTACGCCTTCCTTTTTATCTCTACTAAAGGCACCGTGGAGATATTCTAACGAGACATCGTCGTTCTCGTTAAGCCATTGCATAACGAAGGGCTCGAACCAGGCCGGATATTCCGGCACGGCGCCCTTGTACGGCGGCACGTCCTTGACGTAATTGGCGTGCAGCCACTTGACCTTGAAGTGTAGATTCATGTAGGCCGAGGACTTGCACAGTCTATGCTGCTCGTGCTCCTCCAGAGCGTACTTCATGTCCACCGCAAACAGAGACCACATTGTGGCCGCCGACAGTTGACCGATGTTGAGCTCCTGAGGGAATTGATTCAACACGGGCGCATAGCTGTTCTTGTCCTCCTCGATCACCGAGACTATCAAGGCGATCAGCTTGTGCCAGAAGTCGAGCGAGTCCAGCCGCGGCCCGTGATCGTCCGAGTCCCTCTTCGCCTCGTTCGGGTCCGCCTGGAACTCCCGATTGTACAGGTCGTAACAGTTCTCGAAGAGGAACTGATAGGTCGATCGCAGGCATGCCTTCACGCAGTCCTTGACGACGGTGCTGGCCCGCGGCGGACTCGACAGTTCCTGGACTTTCATACGGAAGAACGTGATACTCGTCAGCAGATCCACGGTGCTCTTTAAATCCATTAGTTTCTCTTGGCTTGAGGCCGGGAAATTGTTCCTATACATTGATAGGTCGATCCTGAGAGAGTTGTGCAGCTGGTCCAGTAGCTTGACGAATTTCTCTTTCTACAACGAGAAGATAATCCATTTAAGAGCGGGTTTCCAATTAATATAATTTAGTTGCGATAAATTTTTCTTTTTCTCAAACAAATACGTTGACGTCGACTTTTTTTATATTTTATTCCGATAGCTTTTTGCCAATGCAAAGTAGCTACGTGTTTTGTGAAGGCTCTCTCGAGTCTCGGTTATCTCGATGTCCGAAACTTTCAACCGCGGCGAATTCTTCGGACGTGAAAAATTCCGCCGTAATATTTTCGGAAGGGAGAATATCATGCATAATTCAGGAATATAAAAAACACTCGTTCTCTCCCGGAATTAAGAAATTCGCGAATTTAAATTTTATGCGAAATTTAGGCTCACATACCGTTCGCTGTTTTACAAGGCACGAAAAAACGTCGATTTATAGTCCGAAAAAAGTTCGCGAAAAAATTTCCATATTCTCTATTCACGCTAGGAAAATCCATTTGGCCAATCTTGACTATTACCCAGTAAAATCTACATGGAAAAAATGAAATGCGGTCGAAGGAAATCATAATTAAAATCTTAATTAACTAACATGTAATTTTCCTCTAAGAAAAGAGTAGACCTCTAGAAAAGAGAGCAATAAAATAAAAAAATGCAATCATAAATAGAATCTTGAAACTTTAATCCGAATAAAAGAAATCCCAATCAAAGAAATCCCAATTTATAATAAGAAGATCTTGTAGATCTTTTATCTTTAGATTCTCTACAAATATTTAAACTTTGTTATATACTTAAATTTTATCGTCCCACAATTTATAACGAAAAGTCAAGCTCTTTTGAAAGACGAATCTATTCTAATCCGCTAAATGTCCAATTTTGCCAAGAGATTTCAATTTTACTCGAAGTGACTTGGCGCTGCCGGGTATATGTCGCTTAATCCCTTTCGAAAGTTCGCAAAGTAATTATTTGAATATTCGCGTCAGCTGATCCCTTATTCGTGACCTGGAGAACGTAATTGATAGAGGTGGAAATAGATTCGCATCCTTGCACAAGTGTCTAGAATACGAGACGCACAACTCGGGATAACGTATTGCGCTGGTTGGCAGGAAATTGCAAGAGTATTTCTCGCTACTCGCAGTCCAAGCATCAGCCATTCCTCACTTTCCTACCTACCATGCTCGAACCATTTTCGACCTACCACGCACCACGGCGCAACCTTCAACATCCGGCACTCACCCCGAAGTTACTGGCGGCGAATCTATCACTGGCCGACACAGCCGGACTAGCGGTCGTGTGGGCATAGTACGCGTTTATGTTTGCCAGGAGAGTCGACATAACGGCCGGCACACCTGGACACAGGTACTTGGTTGAGAGGCAGTGGAAGTGCCTGGAAAATACGAGGTCGAGTTCACGATGTGGAACCAAAATCGCATTAAAAAATCGATCGTCTCGATCGAAGCTACGATAATTACCTCAAAGCTCTATCGCCTATATTGCCTGTATTTTAATTACAATTAAATATAACATTATGGAAAGATTACCTCTTCAAGAGAAGATTGAAAAGGTGCCTGTCGGAAAAATTGTTATACAAGAAAATTTAATGCATATCTAATGTTGCTGTAATGTTTTATTACACTACTGCAATAACGATAAATTAGAAATATTCAAAATGTGTTTTAGTTTCGAAGTAATAAAAAAATCACTGCCTGTTTTAATCTCACACAAGTAAATATATAATATGCAATTTCAATTCCAATTATTATTCCAATTATTTCTTTTCTAGTTTTAATCTCAATTTTAATAACGAGAATAAAAGTTGTTTAGTCAGATATTCAAATTTGCCGTTTGAAAAAATATTCCGAGATGATAACGAAAATATTAATAAATATTAATTGTGGGGCGAGTGATTTTTTAGCGGCACTCACGTCATCGCCTGGTAGATGCTCTCGATGCCGTAACGCATGGCAAACTCGTCAACGAGCTCCTCGCCGGGAGGATCGAAGTAGACCTTCCAGGCATCGTCGCCCTTCGCCTGTGGCAGAGTCACCATACCGCCGTTCTCCTCGCACAGGCTGTGGAAGAGGTTCTCGTGCAGACAGGTATATTGCACGTGATAAGGTGCCACCTTCTCCTCGCCCTTTATCTCGACGCTGATGTGCAGTCGAATCGCGCCCGACACCGCGCTCTTGTCCGTCCTCTTCTCCAGATTGTACCAGACGTCCATCTCGCCGCTGAGTGTCCGGACCTCGATGATGGTCTGCCCGAGGAAGTCGTCGCTCTCCCTCGTCAACTTTTGCCTCAGCTTCGACTTCAGGTCGTTATCTTCATCCCACACTCGGACCTTGATCCGATCAGACGAATTGTGGCACTCGCTGTAAACAATTTGGTGGTTTTTATGGTGGCTGATAATCGATCCTCGCTCGCTTTACCTTGCTCTTTTCTTTAATTTATATTGTTTTGAAAATGAAAGAAGAGTTCTCTCTCGAATATTTAAATGATTAGTGATTTACTGATGAAAATATCATCATACGTTATGATTAATGTTTAACAAATATCATCATACGTTATGATTAACGTTTATATAAATGTTATCTTGTGTTTTCAGCAAGTATATTTGAGGTAGTAAACATGTAAACATATAATGTACATATAGAGTAATAAGTATGTACGAAGAAAATATGACAATTGACGTCACGCGAAAAGTTAGGGAAATTTACAGTAAAATTTGAGAAAATTACATATTCTGCGAGCGTGACGAAGAAACTTGTTAAAATTACTTACAAGTAGAACTTCTCATGCCATACTGGATTTAACTCTCGAGGCATAGTCCTCGTACGTTTCTTCACTTTGCCAACTTGGACCGTCACGTATGGATCGGATGTGCCACTCTTATCTTTGGCGATTAATCCCTGGGCGCTGATCACTAGGGACGCGGAAGAAGAATGCGATCAGATTTATTACTTACTAGACTAAAGTGCCTAAAGAATTCACACGTGAGAGATTTTTTCAATTGCGGAAACGTAAAGAATTCCAATTTTGCGGCATATATAATGCGATTATTACGAGACAATCGAATGAAAACATTAGGATCGAAGTTTGCCAGCTGGCCAGTATCCAAGAACGCGGCTGCGGAGCTTTAATCCAATAAAGCTAACACAGAATTCCGAATATCCGTCGGAACATCTGTTCACATGGCTTTACAAAAAATATTGTCAACAAAACAAACTTGTAACTTCGCATTTCCATTTGTAATCAAACGCAATAGCCTCGCGTGTAGCAATACAAACAGATATGCATATAATTTCCGTATATTTTTATGGAACTATATTTATGGAACTATATTTTTTTCCGTGCAATCGCGAGAAAGTCATATCGGAAATAAAAAATCGCATTGACGATAAAAGTATCGTATAAGATCTTGAATTCGAGAAGCGACGCGAGATTCGCAGAGATTCGCACACTTATAAGAAGTACGATAAGAAGTACGAGCAGCCAGGATTACGATTTATCCTGCGGGCTCGTCGTTCGTCGACGGGAAATCAACTCATCGTTCCAGGAATATCAGAATGATCGGCCACAAACGCGTGGTTATGGTTCAGGAAATCGGGGCCGCGCATCACCATATGCGAAGTAATGAAATTTTACTGTCCCGTCCCGATTCTGATTTACGGGGATTTTATACACGTCCTCTATCTCAGTGTTATTTCATTCTTAATTTTTATCTGTCTCGATCTCTTTTTCGCGTTTATTATTTCAGATAAATTACATTTATTATTATTATTTTTATTCTTATTCTTATTATTTATTTTTATAATATTTATTAATATTATTTAATAATTTAATATTTATTAATATTATTTAATAATAATTTTCGAGAATTTCTTTAATAATTATAAATTTTTATGAAAGAATTAAAGTTTATATTTTTTCTTGTATTATTCTCGGATATCAATGCAATAATACATAGATTTACGAATTGTTTCGATTTGTCATCATCGATATAAGTCTTCCAGCATTTATGGATAATGGACAGCGGGCTCTGGAAGAAATTTTTTTTTCAAACGTTTCATATTCATCTATTCACACGTGCTGTATGAATAAATATGACTCTGCTTTATGTGAGAATTTAATTAAAAACAGGTAGTTTAAAAACGTAGCGAGTCCCGCAGGACTTTTATCGCGAAATATTCAAGGAATTGAGAACAGTCGATCCATTGTATCTTCTTTATTAAATCGCTCATTTTGCAAAACTCTTCAGACTCGCAATTAAAATACTCGACTTTATTTTGTAAAATGAAGAGAAATTTGCGATGAATGAAAATTGAGCAAAAATATGCGTACACACGGGTAACAAATTAATGAGGTAGCGAGTCTTACGATTGACGTTTTCGCAAAATTATGTGGAAAATATCTTCTTTAATTTTCATCTCGTGTCGTTATAAATAATTATATATATACATCATGTGAAAATGCATGCAAAGGCTCAACATTTATTTGGACTGGACACTCGATATCCTTTATAGACAGCCATCTTAAAAGCGTGCAAAAGCTCGGCGTGAATTATATACATCATACATCATTATATACATATCATTTTATATTATATATATGTATGCATGTATGTATATACGTACAATTACATATAGACGTATGTGTTGCAGACATAAAGGGAATATTCATAAGGTAAATAAATATATATATATATATATATAAGTATTTGTGATATATCACATATATATTAGTTGTATACGTGCTCCGATTTGGATCGACGGACATCACATGCCCATGCTACTAACTCTTTGCGATTCGCATCGCCGAATGCAGCGGGGACGATCGTCGATGCTCCCTGCCCCCTCGATGAATGTCGATTTCATACCTAATCTCATTAATCATCGAGTCATCGCCACAATCCACTTCGTGAGAGATGTCAAGAGTCTCGGCGCGTATGTAAGCGCGTCTGGGTTGTCTGTGTGTCTATGTGTGTGTGTTGTAATTTGCGCAACAGAACTTTACGCTCTCTGGTCGTGCACAATAATGTGTATGTACACTTCCCTGACGTAGACGGATGCTGCAACCTCATTAATTTAATAGGTACGCATTGCGAGAATATTATATCGCATATTAAATATAATCGCATAACGATTAATTACTCGATTCGTTCGAATTTGCACGCGATATATAAGACGATTTTCTGTAAATCGGATAATTCTGAACGGAAAACACGTTCCGAACGCTTCGAACGTCGAAAATTTCCTGTTATTAAACGACACGATATTAATGGGATGAATATGTTATACATATTTTACATGTCGTCGTGTCGCAACTGGATTCTATGTGACCCGTTTTGATAGGAAATTCTTGCAAATATAATTTTTAAGATCGAAAACGGTCAAGGATACAATATGTCTCGCGTTGCGTCATGATCCGATTTCGAAAAAGGAAACGTCAGCTGACCGCGATACAATGCAGAATATCGCACTTGTCATCGGCATCGAACGTATAATTTCTCGTTTGCGTGTGCGTTACGAGGTTGATCGTTATCAACGCATATCGATTCTACGTGTTGAACGACACTCGGCGCACACGAATCCAATCTCGTGTGAAACGCGAATTTAACGTGTGTCTTTGCAGCTGCGAACTTAATTAATTTTTAATTGATCACACTGCGGCGATGCGTGTACTCCGATGATTATGCGCTCATGTATCGCCCTTTTTATCATCATCTTTCTCTCTCTCTCTTTCTTGCAAAAGAAGGAATTTTCTCTAGCGGACACGATCCTTTTCGCTTCTCCCTTTTCGTCCTCCATAACGCAATCTGCGGCCGGTATCTCGCCAGATCGTAGCCATTTTAATTCGCGCCCAGTGAGTCAAGAGATTTGATTACTAGAGCGGAAGAGGAAGTGGCGCCGACTGTTACATGTGTTCTATCTCTTTCACCACAATTCGCGCCCCCGTTCGGCCCTTCATTTCCTTCCATCTCGTCCATGTGGTGGCCGTTAACTTGCTAAAGAGCGCTCGTTCAAAATTAGATTATTCTCAAATTCGCGTATGAAACATCGAGGGGAACTAGCATTCCATGTACAAAAGGAGATTGATCCAGTTTCATTTCTCGGTATATTTAAATTTCGATCCTTATTCATTCCAACGGTTGAAAGTAGCACTTGATTCCTACGTAAAATGTACATTTAACTTCGAGAATAAAATCGTGCTGTTTCTTTTTTCTTGATATAATTCTTTTATGGAAATAAAAATCGCAAATAGATACAGTCAGGTAACCACTAATTGACGACAGTAACTCATAATATCGGAAATAACTTCGACCTCGGAAATTTCTCAATTTTCTCTCTCTCTTGCTTCTTTCATTATTTAAAATCTCTCTTCGCGTATTTAAGAGTGTGCCGGAGTATATAAAGGCGCGAGGAAGGAAACGCTCACGATGGAAGGAATAAAATGGTTGGAAAGAAGACGTCACGTTTAAAGCAAACCATTCCGCTGATTTTCTTTTTTTCATGCTATATGTCCTATTTACTTACTCCGTTTCAACCGGGACAACTGTAGCCTCTTTTTTTCATTCCTCCGACCTCTCTTTTTTACGCTATTTCCGCCGTTAACGGCAAACTAGGAGAGCGCCGCTGGATATTTCCAGGAGCTTTTGAAAGGTAAAAAAGTTTCGTTGCAATTCACTATACTGACTTTGTTTATCGACTTTCCTTCGTCGGAATGCGCTCTGCGCGCAAATATTCTCGTTCGTCTTTCCAGCTGATCGTAAATAATGAAGTGTCTTTCTCTCTTGGCGTTCGTCCGACTCGTGCATTATGTTAGATGCGTGAAATGCAATTTATAAATTTCACACGACTCATTTAAGACTCTTTGTCTTTTTTCTCATTAGCAATTTTTCGTTCAGCTTCGAATAACACGAGGAGAAGTACGCATATTATAGTTTTCATTATCGATATTTTAGATGATATTTGAGTGATAATGAGATGTATAAAAAATGTACCTGTATTCTTCACTCAAGCATTAGCGAGGATTTCGATTATTTGAAACAACCGGATTGTCGAGAGTTTCGCACTAAGTTTCTTTAACTCAAAACACGAAACACGAATTTGCAGCGAGAGCTCACGTCTCGAAGAGAGAACTTTATTCGCAGATTTCACTATTGGCAGTGCTTTCGTGAAAACGATAGAAGGAAAAGGAATAAAATCCTATGGGAAATCCCTTCTCTTTTCCGTCAAGTCCTTTTATTCTTGTGCGTTCTCCAACGTGACGTATCCCTGATCGTATTTCGACTGTATCCTTATTACTGGCTGTCAATTCGGATACATTGGCATTCTCTGCTACATTTGCATGCTTAAAATATTAGATAAACGAGCTGAGAGAATCGATAGTATCTTCTTGCGATAAAGGGATGGAATAATATCATATTCGACGAGAACTCTTCAGTATTTCTCGGTTAATAAGAAATGTGCTCTCGTCCTCGATTGTATTCTTTTATGCACTTTTCGAGTAGATAAAAAAATACATGTATTCATAGGGCGACGTGAATGAGCCGAGGAGGCTGAGCACGGCTATCATACTTGTCTGCACGTTGAACTATCGATCTCCTCCGAGAAGGAGCGCATACATATGCAGTTTCCCGTCTGCCACGTCGTTCGCGGCCGTGCACCGCGATTGCAATTTCAAACGGGGAAGTGTAATTTTCTATGACATACGTGCTATCCTTGTAATATCGTGCAAAGTTATTACACGCCTCGGCGCTTGGCATTTTTATTGACGTACGGCAACGGGACGGTCTGATGAAAATCGAAAGAATTAAAAGTCCCCGCTGTCAAAGGTAACGCACGTTGCACGGTCGGAGGTAATTTTCAGTTATTCCTGGGGATGGCGTATATGTCCGTTATATTTACCGATTCGATACAACGCCGTCCTAGAAATGCATACGAGATACTTCCCAGATACATTGAAATCGCTTCGTTAAAACCGACAACGATGACGGAGCGTCGTATTATGCGTTTCGACCCACCAACCGGCGGAACTTGACGCAAATTGCCTTAGTTTTCCTTGTAACAACAAGAGCGTGGCGAGGATACAATAGCGAATAGCGTTGTTCAACTTTAATATATTTCGAAACTTGGCGAAAAAGAGAGAGAACGCCCACAGATACAGACGACGACTCGGAGATTCAGGTTTATGTCGCTCGATCGATCGATCCTCGAGAGGTTCGACTTCGTACCGGACGGAAGTGCATCGATCGTATACAATACACAAGCACGATGGTGCACAACTGCGAGTACGCGAAGGAGTATGCGGCGTCGTGCATCATATATCACGATCCGTTATCACCCCGATAGTGCTTTGTGACATAGATCTTTCGTGTTTGCTCTTGGATCGCGAAAGTTGTGTGTACGAGAATACAGTGATGGAAAATCGAGATATGTGAGACCGTGCTTGACGAACCGCGCGCAAGATGCATAATGTCCCCGCTTCTGCTCTCGATTACGGATTGACGGATGAATCTGCACTCATGTTTCTGCGAGAGGCGAACTTTCATTTCAAGTTCATCCGAGAATCTATCAGCGATCGTAAATCCTTGGTCATCACACATCCCGATATATTTCGGCGATTAGAAAATTTAGTATCTCGTGATTCAGAGAAGAGAAGAGAGAGAGTAATTATTTTTTACAAAAGAGAAGTAAATGTTACAGCCTAGTTCATAAAACTTCACTAATTGTTTTCGTGTAATTGTGTGTCTCAAGCGTGTGTGATTATAGAAGAATTGAGTGATTCGTTATTGAGATTGTGGTGAATGATGATTAAAAACGTTCTAAAGGTATCAGTATCGTGTCACCTGTGATAGCGATCTTGCAGGACCACTTGCTGGTGCCTTCAAGGACGATCTGTTCGGCCTGCTCGAGACTGTCTATATGTGTATCCGGGTCCACTGAAAACGTTGTGCTGAAAAGAAGACAATGTCCTCGTCATCGGATCGTCCTTCGACAACCTCTCGTACCCTCTTTTGTGCCGTCGTTATTTCACGCTCTTTAAAGACCGCTCGAAGAAGAGAATCCTCCCAAGATGGGACATCTTCGAGACGATCAGAAGGTGTACGTCTTACAGAGGCCACCGAAGGACGTGGAATCGTTGCGAGGCGGGGGATCGTCCGTAATTACCCAACAGCCATCCAGCAGCAGCAGCAACAGCAACAGTAGCAGCAGCAACAGCGGCGGCAGTCATAATCAGCAGCTCAGCTATACTAGCGGGAACGCATTCGCGCAGCCAGGACACTAGGTAGTATTTTTCCCGGAGATTAATCCGAAATATGAGTACATCTCGGCACCTGTGTATCTCGTGTGAAAGCAAAGCGAGATGTGTGTTTCAAATCCGCGCCTCAATCCGAGATGGAGTAGCTTTGAAAACTGTCTCTTTTCCATTTCTTTCTCAATGTATTCCTCGCAAGTTCCCGACACACAAGCCGGAAATTCTATAAGGATTTCTATACGATTTATATATTCGACAACTAAATATGAGATGATGATCAGAAAAGGGAGACCTTTATTTCTTGAAATTAAATCGTCAGAATCAGTTGACTTCATTTACATCGAAGAAGACGATATTAAGAAGAATACAGGGTAGAAGAAACAAAATTGAATCAAGTTGATCAACAGAAAACCATTGAAATTCTATCCAAATATCCGCCCAAAACGTGCGAACATGCGAGAAAAATCGATCGATGATATACATGTTGTCACGTCACGAGCGTGCAAATCTGGTAACGAATGTTGTCATGCCACCTGTTAACAATCTACCATCATAAAGTTAATCGCCTCGTATAAAGAGCTGATCGAGGCGATGCGTCTATCGCTTAAGAAAACTTGTTGCTCGATTTATGTGGCGCATCGCCAATATGGGACTTCCGTTGGTTTCTTCGCGGTAGTAATCATTTCACGAAGATGAACACAAACAATTTTATAAATGCAACGCGCTATCGCTCTATGAGTTGTTATAAAGATATCAAATAGGTTTGGCTATAAATATTTATATATTATATATTATATGTTATATTATATAATTTATATATTATATAATATATATATTAATTATATATATTATATATAATTTAATTAAAAATAGATATATTTTCGCTGTCTGTACAGTTCGGAAAAATCTAATTTTATTCTTTTTCATGGAAAAATAATGCTGAATACTTTTTACTCGTGAATAAAGACTCTACATTGAAAGAGAAAAAGAGAGAATTAAAACTTTATGAAAAATTATAAAAACATTAAAGTGTAATTTTGTAGGCAGATTATTATTTTAAAAGACGAAGGTAAAATTTGACTTTCTCCCGAGCGTCTTCAAATATGGAAAGAATTGATGGAGCAAAACTCTCTTTTGAATTACGACTATCGATCAATGTCGTCAAACTTTTCTCCGTAAAGTACACCGAATACGTTGTAAGAGACTATATATACTTATATATACTTATGTTTCTTCTATTCCCAATAGTATGAGATGAATGAAAGAAAAGATTCGTGTTTTTCTTTGATTCGGAAACACAATGGACTCGGGGACGCGTTACCATGTGGAATAGAAATGATGAATACAAAAAAAGGCCAAATGTGTACCTCCGCTCGCGCTGTTATTTCGGTCAGGTTACTTTTTCCACAATCGTGTACTTTTCTCGTGCAATATATTTCCTGCCGTAATAGCCCGTGGAAGAGAAATCGCGGAATCGATACAGCACACTGTTTGTTTACGAGAAGTAGATAAACGATACTAACTTGATACGGTACTTTTTCGTAATAACTTTATGAGGCTACTTTTAAATGAAGAAACTATACTAGACTTTCATAGAATGTATCGATCCATTCTTGCCGTACGTCTGGCAAACTTTGCCCCATCTATAATTCATAAACGCAATTTATTTCTCGAGATGTATGTCAAGATGAATATATTTATCTCTTATTTTTGAATCGTGACCCATCCTAATATAGTGCAAATGCAAATCGTCAAATTGATTGTATTCACGAAGGCAAACTTAACTTATATTCAACAAAGAAGAATTAAGAATAAAGATGAATCCATATTCCTTATCTTCGACACGCGAGACTTCTCTTTCGAAAACGCTTCGATCCAAAAGCTGGAATAATGTGTCGATCAAGACGATGATCGATGCTTCCACTATCAACTCGCAGCAGAACGCAGGAAAAGAAAACGCGTGTTCGATATACCTGTAAAATTACAGGTGGTTGATGTAAATTGCTTTCGATAGACGTTGCGTGTGATATTGGCTTATCGGTCAGGGATTCGCGTTCATGGGAGCTCGACGATTATAGTCAGGCCGAGACAGTTTACCTTAAACAATGGCAACGGCACATACTTGCCGCCACAAGTTGCCACGTGACCTTAATGGACTTTGGATTGAATTCTCAATGAAGAGAGAAGAGCGATACCTGGCTAACACAACCGCACAACACGTAGATAAATGTATGCACGTGCATCTAACACTGTGAAAATTCATACATCTTCATGTTGATGCGGAATCAGAATAACGTGCGAATACTGGATTGTATACGAAACGGTATACGTGGGTTATATACGATCTCTAATATCCGTTAATAGAAAGCAAACTGGCTGTCCGAGTTATATTTCGAGCATTTTGAGAAGCATTTCACTGCACTATCGAACTATGTAATCGAGCTGTTGTTTCTGGAAAAACCATTCGGACCGATTCGCGAGAGATTTCATTTGAAACACGAATTTCCGCGCTCTCTACCTGAGGAAGAAAAGTTCCTGCAAATCGCTGAGAGCGCACGAATGAGGCGAGAACTGCTCGCAAACTCGATTTCGTTGAGAAAGAGACCGGTTGCAACGACGACAGCTGGGAAATTGGCACGAAATTGAAGGGGAGAGAAGTACAGTTGAGAAAAAAAAGGAAAAGAACAGGTACTCTGATAGGGAAAAGAAAGAAGCGAATATCAGGTAATGTCCAATTAATGATGTTGAACACTAACAGTCAGGACGCGCAATATCGTTACATCCAGCGAACAAATGTAAAATCGTAAAAAAAAAAAACGCAATACACACACACACACGCACGCACACACATACACGCACATGTAAAACAGCAGCATAGCATATACGCGCACACACATGTAGTAAGTTTAATATCTGTTAAACGGGATGTAAGTCAAGGTGCTTCCAGAGGAGGATATACGAAAGTAGCTCGTCCATCGTGACTCTACGTAAGCTCGCGAGACAGTTAAATTGTGCGATTTATATCCCGACTGATATAAAGAAGTTAAGGGAAACAATAGCGATAGAGGTAGACAAGTTTATACGAGCGATTAGCTCGAGCACAAGAGCAGCCCTCTTCGTAACGTTCGCGTTGTCGCACGATGGTCAAACGACGTTTAATAATGGAATTACATAATGGGACGGTCAGTCACTGTATAATGTTGGTACGTTCATGGCAATCAATACAACACAGCCACGCGCGGTAGCCATCAAGAGCCAAGTGTCATTATCGCCAGATCTGACGATGCAAGGTACATATTAACGATAATAACGATAAGAAGGAGAGAATATTAAGGTGTAAAATTGTGTGCGTACACGCATTAAATATAAGTATACGATATATATGTACGGGGATATACACAAGGGTGACTCGTAGACGAAAGAATACGTAGGCATAACGCAGCACATATATCGGGGCGAGCACCGATACCGATGCTCGCTCGTCGCACGAGGTGCACAAAGACCAAGTTTAGGAGTCGGCGAGCACGAGCTGCCCACAAACCTGTAATAGCGATCTTCGCCGACCACTTGCTGGTACCGTCCAAAACTGATTGCTCCACTGCCATCATGTGACCCGAGTGCGCCTTTTCGTCGACCCCGAAGACTGACCTAAACTCCGACGAGACTCTCTTTCACATAAGCTGTGCCAGCGGCCGCGATCTCGTCTTATCTGTCTCTCTCGCATCGTGGATTCTCGTCGTTCTTCCGAGATAATCTTTTGTCGCGAAATAGCTTGCCCGTCGCGAGGTAGCTTCGTGAAACTGCCTTCGTCACGAGACATTCTCAAAGGAAGATTATCTCGGTCGCGAAATATTTTATTTCAGTAATGTTGCAAAAAAAAAAAGGAAGACAATAAAAAGACGATGCGACAAGCGAAATTGAAATTGACGCGTTTATTTAGCTATTCTTTTCCAATTTCGTAAAAACCGTACGCTCATTTTAGCGATTCGAAACGTTGAACGTATGCGTACGGTTTAGGAATTCTCTCTATAGGATCAATTGTTTCATGCCGTCGATTGTTCTTGCTGAATTTTTTTCCTATTTCGCGAGCGCAGAGGCTAAACGACGAGAATCGAGCATAACTGCAGCGGCAATTAAGTCGGAAATTTTAAGTGGAAATTTTTGGAATGCACTGGACAAGCGGTTGTCTCTAATTAAAGCGACATCGATCAAGCCGCTAACGAGAACGTTGATTGCCCGATAGTACGGCCCGATAGTATCGGCGTTCGATGAGCAGTGCTATATCCACGAAATACGGACAGGAACGGATTGTCGCGATTAGCATGCGTCCATCAGAGAAGACGAGATCGGGCCAGGTAATGGTGACGATTTCGCGCTTTAGCTTTGCTTACTCTTCGTTACATATTACTCCGTCTATTACAACCGTCGCCACTGCATCGCTATTGTCTCTGCATGTCTCTTTTAATGACGGATTATATTCCTGTCGTCGAACAGGCGGACAGCCTTTAATTGACAACTAATTATTGTCGCCTGAGATATTAAGTTAATTATAATTTTCAATAATATGTATAATTATCGCGAGCGTAGCATTTCGCGATGTATAGAATATATTTCTTGCAAAAGCGACTCGAGTGCTTTTCCTGAAGCGTGTGATAATGAATGTTGCAGCTGTTCCACTAATTTCGCACGTACTAATTACAGTAGAAGCGCAAAATTACGGTAATACTCAGCGTAAGCGAAGATATCAATGTGCATTAATATCTGCAAATATTAATGCGCACTGATTAATTCATACGTTTACTGACGAAAGCGTATTAAAGTGTATCACCTTTGCTAAGTTCGTCAGAGAAAATTATATCAACGTATTAATTGAAAATGATTTGCAAAAATTATCGATGTGCATATGCAACGGAGCAATTAACTACTTCACAATTAATCTCGTCAATTGCGTAAATACATTTTCCAATTATATGTACACCGAAAAAGAGGCATATTTCCATAATATGCTAACGTGCGACTAATTGAACAAGTATCGATCGATTGGTTTATCGCTACGATTATTCGGTCTTTCATAATGCAGATCGCACGAGCGAGATTAATTAACGTTGATATTCATTAATATCGTCTGCCTGCCGAGTTGACTTTTACGAAACTGTACCTACCTCCTACAGAGTTTCTCGTAGCATCGATATTTATAATCGTGTGATAAGCCGATACGGATAATAAGATCGAAATGCAGCGCGAGAGGTTGAAATGTCCGGAATCGCTCGACGCTTTAATTAATTACGAGCGACGGCAGATATGCGACAGATTGACATAAGATACGCAAATGTGATTAGATTGTGTTATTACGGCAATACCGCGTGCCTAAGCCGCTTATGTGTTGTCCATTTATCATTTATTATACAAATCGCCTGAAAACACATACGATCCGCTTGATATCGAATCGTAAACAGATCAAAATTATCTCTATCGTGTAAACATATTTATATCTACTTAATTTATCGAATTATCGCGGAATGTTGAATAATGTGAGATTTTTACTTCTTTCGCGTCTTACGGATTGAAATTAGAAAATGATATATTAAATATAACACGTAAATGTCAATGTCAATTATTGAGCGGAAATAATATTAATTTGTGGGATTATTTAGCTTCCCGACAATTTATTCGATTGAACATATCTACAAATTAATATCTGAATATAATCTAACTTGTTTGGGCATATAGATTCTAGCTTTTGCGATTGAATAGAAAGATAATTGATCATAGATGATAGATTTTCAATAATGATATGCATTATGTGCGAAGTCCTAAAATAAATACACTGTACCAACAAAGATAACAGAATACATACTTCGAAGTTTACAGCGTGAATCGTGTTTGCCATTTATCGTAAAGCATTGTCCACGTGGGTTTACACACTATGCTATTCAGAAGTTGTTGCATCATGACACTATAATAATCGCGCAAGCAACGTTTATAGGGCATTTAACAATTTGTGATGTTTGAGATCGTGTATAATAGATCCGGCTCGGTAGCGGTAATTTATTCACGAAATCCCTTACAATCTCATCTCACGCAAAGCGGAAACGAGTTCCGAGTGGAAAGAAACTTGAAGCTTCGAAAGCTTCAATAACGGCGACTAATTAATTCCGCAAAATGACGTTTGATTCACTTTTAAAAGTGTTACCGTTTTCGCAGACGACATTAAATAGTTTTCCTTTACAAGATACATATATATAATTTCTTTCGAAACTGACAATGAACTTTTTAATCGAGCAGCGAGCAGTGGCGACCGGTGAATCGCGTCGCGATCGATCTACATCGATCAACGTTATTGTTCGTCCTCGAACTGCCATCGATCGACAGTACGGTTTTCGTTGCTTTGCATCAATTTCCATGGCTGCGACAAAAGAAGAGAAGAAAAAGAAGCGAGCGTAATGTAAGCGGAAACTCACCGAATCAGTTCGAAGATCTCCGGTTTTTCCCGTTCTCGTTGCTTCATTCTCTCCTTCATCGCTGTAATTATGCTAATCGCCTTATCCTCAGCTCCGTGCTTGGAGCTTTTCTCAGCCGCTCCTATAAAAACGAATAGAATAGTAAAGCATTAATATATTCGGGAGGTTCTCTCGCATATGTTTGCATATATGTAATTAGTTGACTGCATTATTAACAGTTCAACAAAATTATTGATTAATTATTTACATACAATTATTTATTGTAAATTAATTTACCTCGACATGAATGTATATGTATTATCGTCAACATTGATAAAACGATTTATTTCTGATAAAAAGAAAAATGTATTTAACATGCAAATGAAATTTATTTTATATATATGCATTTTATGGACGTATTTTTATATAAAGCTTACAAATAAACACGTTTGCATTCGGGCTTTTCCCGAGAGAGAATTCTATACAAAAATCGTGCGATTCATCATCGATATATAATTGCGTAATACTAACATTTTCGTACTCCGGTATCGCCTGAATAAAGCGCTAATAACACAACGTCGCATGTATAACAATGGGGGTATTGCATTTCGTAAAATTATATACAAACTTGAAAACATGCATCGCAAATCGTGATAGATGGCTATGCATTTTGCGCGTTGTATAATAGTCGAGTCAATTTTGATGACATGTAATCGTTGGACATCAGATATGTTAGATGCAAGAATGATAGCGAATGATAACGAAATATTTTGCATGCGATCCGATACATGTAATGATTGATCGCGTTTCGAATTCTATGCGAACGCGAATCTTTCGTACCCGATGACATAGATTTCAATTAAACGAACTGAAAAATCTTGTAGCGAGTCGAAAACCGGTTAAAGAAGAAGGAAAAGAAATCTTGAAGACGTAACGTAAAATTCTTGCTACAAATTGCAATAGGTGAAGGGAAAATTACGTAATCGCAAACGGAATTATAAAGCAAAGGAAAGCGTCGTGCGATGAATCGAAGATAGAGAGACCGTAAATTAATCGTGGACTGTCCGATCGAAGGGAGAAATTTTATCGGATACATGATGGAAATCATTAGTTTCGAAACCTCATCACAAATCAATGGCGAATGGTGTCGTGACGAAAGAATATGTATATAGGAAACTGCGAAGATCCCGTTGAGCTCAAATTGAAAGTGTAACGGATAACGACATTACATGTCGTTATTTCTCGATTTTTCCAGGTAATGAAAATTGGTTCGTAAAATTCGCGTTGCATTATCGATTCATCTAGCGAATCAAAACGCAAAATGGCTTCTTGCGCGTTCATAAAAGTTATTTTTCCGCACGAAACAATTTAATTTATGAAATTCAATTGCACGGTTTAACAATGGCCCGATTATTCCGTCGTATGAATCGATTTTACGACACGGGGATAATATCCGTTTATTGACAAGACGACGGAAATAGAATGACTACAAGATGCAACGGACTTGAAATCGGAGTGTCTTACGGAACAAATTAAGTATTAATTCACATCGAAGTAGTGACGACGAAGGAAGAGGAAAATAGAATCGAATGTATGTCTGTTGAAATTTATTCATTCGCACTAATCTCTTTCTAACGAAACCGCAAAGCCTTTCTCGACCTCTTTTGGCTCTTGTTCGTTCGCCAAAGGTTTTACTGCATACTTGTTAATGAGAGACTTAATAAGACTAGATTCGAAACTCTTAATTACGGTTACTTATTGTCCAGTAAGGAAAGCCTTTGTGACCTCGAAGTCTTCTAAATACATTTGTAACTTGTCTGTGGAGGGAGATATCGCTTTAATCTCGTCAACGAGATTTTGATTAATTAATGATATTAATTTATTTGATACTCTTCCGAAATTTAATCATTTCATACGAGTATAGCAAGTCTCGATTAAACAATTAAAACGCGAAACGAAATATATCATTGATTCAATACATCTTTATAATAATAATCATTTATAGTTATGCGCTTGGAGGCTAACTTACAAAAATAAAGGCTGATATTACTTACTCTGCAAGCAATCGGCGTTCAGGAGGTCCTTGCACTTTTCGTGACATTTAACACCGCACTCCATACATCGCACTCCCTGTCGAGCGATGCCCCAGAGAAGACCCTCGCACTCGTAGCAGTAGGTCGGCGATGTGGCAGTCCAGGTGACAAAATTGTGAGGAGTAGTCGACGATATGGGATAGATCATCGCCTGCAGGGTTTTCTTGTACACGTGCATCTTCTGCGGATGTATCATCGCGATTGTATCGCCGATAAGTCGAAAATGAGCATTCGATAAAAGGAGAGAGATAGGAAAGGTGATAAAGGAATATGGATAAGCGGTTTACGCAAATATTTGTTTTTCTACTTTGGTCTCCTGCTCGCATAAACGTTAACATATCACGACCTTCGAGAGAACGAAACGCTGGACGATTCGCTGGACATTATCGTGAATTGTTAATCCTTTGGAAAAATAAATGTCACCTTTGACACTTAAAAAATCTTGGTCCCCAATATTAATGTAACGAATAAAATACGTTTTATGTCATTTATCAAATTTTCCGATATTATTCCGGCGACATCTATTGTAACTTGAAAAGAAATTGAACACTGTGAGCTCCCGATATTCAAAGAGCAATACATGATAAAGTGAGCATGTCACGGCTGCTGACATACTATAACATTCTATTACCTCGTGCATGAAAAATTAATCGAACAACCGTATGAGAGATACATTAGATTATATCAGGAACTATATCTCAGCAATGCTATTTTTAGTTGAAAAATGAGATCGTTTTATTCTGACCTTTTAAGAAAATTGCTTTCTCAATTTATTGTTTATTTCGCATTACTTTTATCGATCTTCAATGCGCGTTAATTTGTATGAGGTATCTAGATCCACTCGCTTTAATTTAAAATTTGCATTTTAAATTGTAAGCAGAATACCGAAGGATTAGCATTCATTCTTGTCCAAGCGGTTTCTTGCGTAAAAACTACCTCTCATGAATTTAATTATTAATCGGGGATCTTTGTGCCTTTGATTCCTAGTTATATAATCATGTGCACGTAAACCATATTGCAGTACATAAGTTTCAGGAAGGAACCCGTATGAAGGTCTAATGGAAGCGGAGAGATTGTTTTGAGGTTCCTGTTTGTGCAACTCGAAATCAAGAACAATGATTCTCATTGTTCGGCTTCTGATTTTCGAGAGCATTTCTTTTAAAAACGATTTTTTCTTTCTTTTCCGGACTTCTTCTTTTTTCCATGCTTGAAATAAGGATTATCTAAGAGATTTTCACAAACTCATAAAGATAAACTTGTCGATCCTAAAGGGATCATCGACGTTTCGTGTCGGACATCTAAAATTTTCACGCGCCGTTTCTTTTTCTTTCGCGAACATTTTTTTTTTTTTTCATAAAGTCTCGTACGCCGGGAAATTTTATAACAAGCATATTTTCTAGATGTTGTTAAATTATCTAGCAAAAAAGAGAAAGAGAGAGCAAGAGTGTAAAAGCATCGATCCGCTAAAAAGCACTACTTTAGTAACGTGTGAAGCGTGTGGAATGTTCCTTCGATGCATGAATCTTTCAAATATTATCTTGATGTAAAAATCGACATAAATACATAATTAAATTACTTTTCAAAAATTACTCTTCAACGCATTATTTTTCAGAAATACCGCGGAAACGCGATATAAATACTTTCGATCCGAATTTTTGAATGCAATAATAAATCTTATTGCGTTGAAATTGTACAGATTTAATAGCAACAAGAATTTTATTTATGTAATGATATAATTGAATTTCAAATCGCATCGATCTATTTTCTCGAGGTGTTTAAATTATGCATTCGAGATCAGCTTGGATACCGAATATCTTGCCTCAAAATGACCTTGCGCAATAGGACCTCAGATATTCGATATAGGAACATTCAATACGTCACAGAAATCAGAAACTCCTAATACTAATCTAGCTATTTCTCTCTAATTGATATCCTGCGCCGTGATATCTTGTAGACTCCTATAAATGTCCTAAATATATAAATATCCACACGCGTGAGTGTTTCAACCGCTATTTTCACCCAATACATACGTATGCGTGTACTTTCTTGTACATACGTGACGCGTACGCATGTATCATGGTCCTAACCGCTAATGTACCTTACACTAGGTTACTACGTGTTGCTCGAAAATAACATAGTGTGAAAAGGAAGTAAATAGAAATAAGGAGAGAAAGAGCAGAAACATCACTAAATCACACTTACGTGAAAGAAAATAGCGTGGAAATGAGGATAAAATGCAGCATGTTTCGTATGAAAAAAAAAGAAAGAGTCCAATAGTTAAGTCAAGCTCCTTCGGCGCCGGTCTTTCCCGCCGCTATTGAAACTTAAAATTAAATGATGTGCGACCTAACTCTTGCCTGATACCTGTCTCCATATTTCTTCCGATATTACCTCTCGCCATAAATCTCCTTCTAACTAGAAGCTACATCTTTTTACTCTCGCTTTCGGAGCTTTTCCTTTATGCAATCGTTGCTAGGATTCCCGAATGTGTTATAAAAAGTGATGAAACTCTAGAGTTTCGTTTCGTAATGCGATGCATTGCGTACTCGCGAAACAGTTATCTTGAAAAATACCTCTAAGAGAAAGAGCTTAACTACTCCGATTTTTTAAATAATATTTAAATATCGACGGCGCAGCGCGATGATAGCTAATTTTTTATTTTTATAAAATAGACACGTTTCTCTTGATTTATTAAACAGTGACACAGAGTGACGATGATGAAGTACAGTGACTAAAGGGCAAGTCCTTACCAGCTCCTCGTCGTTCAGCGTCGCTCGCGGTACAGCGGACGTAAGACCAGCGTTCCTCTTCGTCGCCGCCATAGTCTGGGAAAAAATAGAGATTAATGTACATGTGATAAAAGAGTAATCTTCCAGTCTCTCTCTATCGCATAGTCAGTTTTCAAGTCCTGGGACTGAGAAACTGAAAGGAAAAGAGAGAAAGAAAGTGAAAGAGAGAGAAAAAGAGATTGAGAGAAAGCGTAGAGTAGATCAAACAAATCGAGAGACATGAAGAAACGGAAAGAAAAAGAAACGCAGGAAAAATACTTCGAAAAGTGTTATTTACAAATAATTTTCAACATCGAGATTAGAACGTGGCTATTTGCGAGATTAAAACAAGAGTGAGTGACACGACGAAAGAACGTTACGTGATGAGAATTATTCAAAAGTAATAACAATTTTTAATCAATCGAGAAGTGTCAGTACATTTTTAAAGAAGCAACTTCACATCGAGATTAAATTGCATCCGCCGTAATAACGTCGTGAAAAGTTGCGAGGTAAAAACAAATCCAAAGCCGAAAAGAAATCCTATATGTAACGTAAGTCCTTGTGACGTAAGAAAAAGCAGTGACATTACATGCCAAATGAAATATCGATGAAATTCAACTTGTATTTACAAGTTTCAATGAAGTATTAGCGTGAGTTTTATGAATATTATATATATATATATATATATATATATATATATATACTATATATATACACATATCGAACCCTTATGAGAGAGAAAGAGAACCGTGCTAAGAGATTGTATTGCAAATGTTAAAGGAGATGCTTTCTTTAGATATTTTATATTTAATCCAGAGTCTCTTATGCAATCGCTTGACATTTATATAACTGGACAAGAGTGCACGTGTTTCTGAAATGTATTACAAATTTGATGCTAACTACTAGTTACTGACAGCACGTTTGAGCATATTTTAACAAATATCAAAGAGCACATGCGAAATGTTCGCGCTCGTGCACAAATGTTTATAAATTTAATATATTATCCTCATGATTATCTTCGCGCAAAGTCGAGTTGAAATTAACGGTCAATAAACAGAGATTGCAAATATTTGAACCGGTGATAAGATTCAACTCGAACAGATTATACGATATTTCGAGACCCAAAACGGAAATTGTATCAGAGGCTAATCAAAGATTAATCCTGTTTAATTAATAAAGTCGAGCACAGTCTCAATGCTACGTAGATTTGCATGTCCGATTTGAAAATGCATATATACATGTAGTGTATTTAATACAAAATCGAAATTAGAATCAAGAGAGCGATAGCGAGAAAAGTTAGGAAAAAAGGCAAGAAATAGGAAACGAATGAAGAGGAAACGCCAGAAGATATGTAAATTAGTTGAAGAGGAATAGTGAAAGATAAGGATAAAAGAAACGAGAGAGAGAGAGAGAGAGAGAGAGAGAGAGAGAGAGAGAGAGAGAGAGAGAGAGAGAGAGCGCTCATAGAGGAATCTCTACGGAGAGGGAATCTAATCTAATTAGCTTATGGTGTCTGATAGGTGTGGTGAGCGATAGGATTTGTGGTTAGCATAGATTTCAATTAAGATATTATGTACACCGTACCCCGCGAACCGTGCACGCCCCATTGTTTCGTTTCGATAATCAAGCATTAATTCCGCGCATGCTAATCTCGCTTTTATCGGTCATAACTGACATATGTTGTTATGCACATTGTTTTTCTAATATATTTTTTTATTCGAGTAAGAAATTGCTGCAAGATTGCACGGGGGTACCATAGTAATTTAATTTTATTTCTTTCGAGAGACCTGCGCGCGATATCATTTTGTTTTAAATGGCATTGTATTTATCTTCGCTTCGTTTTTCGTGTTTATTTTCACCACGAAAAATAAGCGAATAAAATAAACGAGAAAAACGGAAAAAATATTGCCGATCGAACCAAAGCTGCTGTTAAAATTAATTGCTTCTAAATATCATTATCAAAATTATTCACTTGATTATATGATATTTTCATAACTATTCATAATACATGCACCTACGACTATCAGAACATTTATTCATAATTAAAGTGAGTAATTCCGCAGATGAAAGAGACTATAATAAAATGAGGCAAAATTATTTCACGACACTAATTGCTTTTATCAAAAAGATTAGCAACTATCGAATGATCGTAGATTAAATTTAAATGCACGTGAGAAAGAAAGAAGAGAGAAAGAAAGAGAAAGAGAGAGAGAAAGAGAGAGAGAGTGAGAGCGGGAGAGGGTGATGAATTATCCAAAAGCTCCTTTAAATTGAAAATAGATTGCTAATTTATTTGCTTAATTTTTCTAATGGTTTTCTTATCAAATGTGTGATTATACATTCGCATGCAAAACATTAAGTTACAGATAAGCCATTAAAAAAGCACGGTAACAATGCGTTTCGTTGAAGTGCAAACATTTCTCGTTTCTAATTATACAAATCAAAATATCACCCATCAGTTCATTTAACGAGTCGCTGGAGATTTGACATGTTTTTCTCGCAATCGATATTTCATCCGCGGAAAATAAAATAGCACGCTTCGCGGAATGGTAAAATTACTTTGACCTCTGTTTACTAATGAATATATACCTAACAGAATCGTATCAAATTAGAGATGCAATCAAGATATCGTTGACCTTACCCTCGAGAAGAACGCGACTTTCAACGACTCGCAAGTAGGGAAGCATATAATGAATCATCAGCAGAAAAAGAATGTAATGTCGGAAATGGAATATGAAAAAGAAAATAAAAAGTTATAAAAAAGAGAGGGAGAGACAGAGCAAGAATAATCAAGACAAGAATATAAATCGTAAAACGGATGGAAAAAATGTAAATTAAAAAAATATGTTATAACATACATGAGCTATAGTAATAAAGACGAATCAAAAATCTACATGCAAACGTTCGAACAACCTTCTAACTGACTTGGCTAACGAGGCATTTAATTAGTACCTTCAAGACCTGGAGGTAGAGTTTTTGAGATTTTTTGAGAGGTTTTTTTCAGTGAGTGGTTTTGGTTTTTTCAGGTGTTCAGGTGGATACAACAATGGGCGCCACAGAGAACAAACAAAGAAAATAGCATTATATGCCGGTTAGTACGTGTACCACTTGCAATTCTTTTTTTCTTCTTTAATTATGATATATAATATTTTAAAAATTAGGCACAAGAGAGGCACAGAAACAATGTTCGACGTAATTAGAACTGATCCATCACAGAGAGAAACACATATAGTTAATTAGATAATAGAAAAATATAAAAAATAAGTTTACGTTTCTTTTTTAAAAACGATATTATATTTAAAAAAAGAATTAATTAATTAAGAATTTACGTATATTGATAATGTATATTTTAGAAGTTTATATGTCTCTCTCCATGATGAATTTAAACGGTCAATATTACTGGGCGATAATCGCGTTTTACACGTGGTCGATCAATTTCGTTCGTTCGACATTAATGCTGGTAATGCATGGTTCACTGCTACTTCATTGCAATTTTTCCGTAATATAAACGTTTCGCGATTATAATCCCAGTAATCTTTTCGCACTTTCCGCGTACTGCCTGGACAATTTTATTCACGACATGATATCACATAAAATATATTTTACGCGTCGCGAGATTTTAGGATTTAAGATTATATGTGAGAGATACACAACAATTATATATATATATATAAACTGTTAACATTAAACGGGGAGACAAACATACAGAAGACAGACATCGGATTCCAGGATCTAAAAAGAGATTAAAGATTTTATTCGGGATGCGGAGTACAATGCTACTTTCACGGGAAAGAATAGGAATGGTAAATCTTCTAACATAAAGTTCGTGTAATTTGTAGAAAAATACAATTACAGTACTTATGCAAAACCCCGATTTTCAAAGTAAAATTTAAATTTAAATGGGTCAATCGAAAAATCTAATTTTCTATTATTCAACTTTTGATCTGATGAGATTACGTTTAGTCTGCCAATAATGTATCTCGCTCCCTTAGTATTAAATTAAATCGCGACACATTTATCCCCACTGAGCGCTTTTCTCCGGAGCACGATCGATAAACTACTTAAGAATTTCATTTAAAGCATCACGCACTAGTTGTACACGCGAGCTCTTAGCTTGCAATGGCATCCTTGCGTGTGTATGTGTGTGACGTAGGCAAAACATTTTTATTATCGTTTTCAGAACACGCGCGTCATCATACATATAATAATTGAGTTGAGAGAGAGAGAGAGAGAGAGAAACAGAAAAATATGCAAGGATATGTCCGCATTTTATAAACTCGGTCTCTCTCAATGTTTTATTTTTCTTTCTTCCCGTAAGTCAAACTCAATTTCTTTAACCGCTTTTTATTGAATCGCCGGCCGAAATAAGCAAACGCGGAAGGCGATTTACTTAAAAGGATTCGCGACCATTTGTCTCTTTTCTGCACATTGTCTATACGACAAGCGGAACAGATCATCGCAGTATATGGGCGACTGATTCGAATTTCAAATCGCGAGTTTCCTAGTATTTTCGATCGATCCATCGGAGATAAAAGCACCGCTCGAAAACCGATTGCATCATTGAATTCAACTTTTGCAGCAGAATGTTCTCGCCGATTGCATAACGATCATTTACGCGATTATATACAATATTTGCGAAATATCGTAATAATAAAATTTCAATATTCGCGTTTAGTAAATTTTGATCGATGTGCTTTATTCATTTATTTATTCAATATTTAAATATTTAGGGGAGATAAAGAAAGACAGAGAAAAATATTAATAAATAGATATAACCATGTTTTTTTCAATAGATAAAATGTCGAGTCTTTTTTTTTATGGGAATTTAAAGGAAAGAGGAAACTACACGAGAGGAGATATTTCGTAAGATTCGATCGTTGGCGCTTTGCGATGGTTTCTGATAAAATTAGCAATTTGATTCGTCGCAGAAAACGACGATAACACTGAAACGTAAAACACGCAATTAGGTTACGACGAGGTACACGTTTGTTGGACTGCATCGGAGGATATTTCGCTTTATCTTGAAGTACGATAAAAAGAATATTTCTCATAACTTGAATGTTGCTTACATTTTCTTCGGTTTTATGGCAAATCTCCTCAGATGCGTCGTACGATACACAGAGTTAGGTCTCGCGACGAAAGTATTTCAGATCGCCGTCGTCGTCTCGCAAGATAAAATTATAAAAAAAAGCTATGATTGTTTTGGGAATATGAGGAGATATGAGTAGACCGTTATATTTTTATCGAATTAATCACGATCGAGATAACAATTTAATTATAATTTCTCACCGAATTATTAATGTATCTACGAAAAAAACGTAGATAAACACAAAGTATAATTTTTTAATCCTCCCTTGAATAAACTCGATGAAAAATTAATTATCTATATATAATTATATAATATATATAAAATTCGATACATTATGAAAATAATTTACAGAAATTTCCACATGTCGGTTGTATTAGCCAACATTACTAATTTATATACTGCCGTTCAGTGAATTTTCACGTATCTCATGTAAGCACCGTTGCCAAAAATGCACACGCTGCACATATCACGGTAATTAATTCTGGCTCTGTTTTACTCTGCAAATGCGGAATACAGAATCACAAAACGCACAGAGCGACGCGTTAATATTTTGAGAGAGATCTACGCATAACCGGGAGATGGCCTCGAGCTAGTTGAGCGAATTAATTAAATTCAACCGGCCGCATAATCATCGCGGAGATCGAGAAAGGTCAGGGTGCAAAAAAGATCACGTTTGAAATGATATCTTGATAATCACGGGGACAAGAAAAATGATAACGACGACGACGACAACGACGACGACGATAATACTGACAACAACGAAAACGTCGGATTGATAATTATTTCCGACGAATATATGTACGGACGGTCCAGGCAATGTACATATATGTATGTGTGTACACGGTGTACTTATGTATATATACGCGGAGAGACAATGACGGAATGTGGTGTTAATGGGCAATCGGTTACCTACCAGCTCGGAAACCAATGGTATCGACTTCCGGCGCGGTCGAATGTCCGGCATACTGTCGATGGTGCTGTAGAAATTGTCTCTCGGATGTCTGGAACAAAAAAGATTTCGAAAATTACGTCAGCATCGGACCCGCGATCACGTTCATCTTTTTTACTCCAACAGTTTGCGCTAAAATTTTGTGGCCTTATATTTTTTTATCATTATATTCATACTTATTATCATATCGTTTAATATTTATTACGTAATGTTACTTGAAATATTCATTAGAATGAATATAATCTTTCGGCTGTAAGACATAATATGAATTTTTTGAATAACTTTAAAAATTAAGTGGAAACTGGAATGTTTGGATAGTGTAATATCGGGAAAAAAATCAATAAAGCCTTTGCAAGTCAAGCCTGAGATTAATACCGCGTAGATTGAAAATAGACTAAACTTTCGATTCAGACTGTAGGTTTAAGTTAGTCATACTTCTAAGGAAAATTTTCACGCGCGATTCAAGATGTTTGAAAATCCGTTGGCAACGCGATGGAAATTTGTGCTTGTTAGAAAGTTTTCAGGAAATCCAAGTTTTCGCAAGTCTAAATCTCTGCTTCGGCAATCTATTATAAATATAAAATCATCTTTGAAATTTTATCGAGGCTTTTGATTCCTCATTGTATTCGTGTGCGAAATAAAACCACGTCTTAAAATCAGAACAAGCTGTAAAATTATTGGTCAATATGAGGGTAAAATTTATAATATTTGATCCTCATTATGTAAAGATTCATTAAAAATAACATATCGAATATCTTTGTCCATTTTAATAAATGAATATTGTTACGTCATAAAAATTTTGATTTGAAAAAAAGATGCAATGAAATATAATAAGCATCTATGATCTCTCAAAATTTAAGAAATGCCACTCATAGAGTCTTTCTTAAATTCGAAGTAATAAAAAGTCGCAAGATGTACTGTTATTCGTGCGATCGAAATAAAAAATTGTCGATATATACGTAATATGAATAATGGAAGAAGTTTTCCATTTGACATTTAAAAAGAATGATTGAAATATTATTTCTTTAAAGAATACAGATATATTTCCGATATTTCTCCACTTATTGAAACACTTGAAAAAAAAGACTTGTTTTTAATAATAATTTTAACATATTCAGCAAAAAATATGTACTCTATTTAAATTATCCTATATTTGTACGTTTATGTGTTAAAAAAATTAAATTATAAATTGCCCTTAAAATTAATATAGAATTTGTGTACATGTTTTATATATAATGAAATTAATGTAAGTCTCTCCAAAAATATATGTAAATTTTAATTAAAACCATGAAGAGATTAATTATAAAATTAACATCATAATGCGCTTACCCGTTCGCTCGTCCACCGGATTCGCCACCCGGGCCACTGCCGTTCTAACAAACAAAAAAACAAGTTTATTAAAAACAAGCTTAGTAACAGTTTGAAAAACGAAATGGAGAGCGCGCGATATGCCACTCGTGCGAACGCAACGTGGCGCGCAGGATTCTGCTTTATTTTCGCACAATTACACAGTCTTGGAGAGAAGACGCACGGCCACGGAACGACGCGAGGAAGACGAGGAGCGAGAGCAAAACGACGACGCGAATACACGGTTTATATCTCGATCTTGACTGCGGAAATCCCTGTTCTCTTCATACGAAAAGCCATATTCTAATAATCTCCCGACTGACTCGATGTTGCAAAACCGCGAGATGAATTTCTCGCTCTAATTTCCGTGGCCGCGCGCACACACACGCACAATGCTCTGCTTTGAGACGTTCTATCATCTAGGAGAGAAATTACGAATGGAACAGGATGAGAGGGGCGTAGAGGAAATCGCCGAGTTACGGGGAGTTTTCAATAGATGCAGAAAGCGAGGGAGAGAAAGCTATTTCTCGCACGCGGTGTTTCCAAAAAACGAAATCTCCTTGATACTTTTTAAAATTACGGAGTTTCTTGGGTCAACCTTTCCTTTATCTCAGCCGCTTGCGTTAGATTAAAATTGGATTCGATTGTTATATTTATTTATATCTCTCCCATCGCACTTACAGTTGCAGTATCCTCTTCGCCCATCTATTGTTCCTCGCAACGCGAGTCTCGCGAACAATAAGCTTCATCGATTGCATCGTCACACGTGATGGTAAACCTATTTTCTTTCTCTCTCCCAATCTAACGTACACATAAACCACCGCTTTCCGTTTAATCCCTTTCTCATTCGCCGGACAGGTCGAACCCATTCTCGTCTCGCTTGTCGTCATTAATCAACCTTCGGCCTGCCGGTCGACCTCGAAGAAGCACAGGCATTTTGTCGTCTGTCAGCCGGCTGGATTCATGGTTCGTTCGAGTCTGTAGTGAACTCGCGATAAATTTTGCCGGACCTGGTCCTCGTGTCACCGAGATTCTCTCTTCCATAGTATTCCTTTTCGCATCAGTATCCATAGAGTTCCTTCTAGTTGGCATTACCCGTGGCCCCCGTCCTGATAACAATTTTTCTCAATAAAAGTTCCGTGTCGATATTAAAGATCTGGACAAGAAAAACTCGAGGATTAATCAATACTTCGAGGTAGAGAGAAAGGGATATATCTGCGCCAGTTGGCATGTTGGATGCTGTTCACGCTTCCATCGTTTTCGAGGATATCTGTCTTCTTTCTATCTTTTCCCTTCTTGTTATTTTGCTCTCCTGCGCTTCTCCTGCTAATCCACATTCGCTGCGGCCGCGCGGTGAAATGGAAGTTTCGGAGATAGAGAGTGTGTAACAGCCCGTATAAATATAATATCACGTACAATACGTCGTAAATTCTGTTACGATAGAGATATAATATAAACTTATCGATAGCATAACAAGTGTAATAAGTATTTAGAGTTAGAGCCGCAGGTATTTTCGTCCCTTAACGCTGTCTTTCTTTCTCTCTTTCTCTCTTACTCTCTCATTCTCTTTCGCTTCTTTTCGCACTCTTTCGCTCATTTTCTCATTCTCAGTCTCTCGAATTACAATTTTTCATTTTCACTTTCGCGCTACTCGCTCGCTGATTCTTTCTCTCCAATTTTCGCGGTCGCTCGTTCTCATTCTCTCTTTCTTCTAAACAGTCTCGCGGAAAGGGTTCTTGTTTCCTCTGTTCTCTTAAAAAGCTTAGACAACACTGGAGTATGACAATTTTCGTTTCATTTTCACATTTAATCACGAAGTGATGGCCTTCGAGAGCGTCTCGTTGAGGGAGGGCGCATAAATAAAGCATGAGATTCAATTCCCATTTTCGCAATACGCTCATATATGAATTTGCATTCGTAATTGCATCGAATGAGAATGCTTTAATTGCTAATAAGGATTATCTTTGGTAGAAATGAAACGATGCGGAAATTCTGCACCGCTAGTTAAAGCGTTATACAATATGACACGCTATAAAAACGGACAAGTATGTAATTGTGAAACCGTAAAACTTCAAATAAGAGGAATTGCGCAAATAATCTCTAACGTTTCGTTAAAATAAAATCTGATTTCATTATCAGCATGAAAAGCCATGTTCCGCATTTGCGGCGTAGAGTGACATTTTCTGCCGGCAGGACGATACGCAGATTAATTATTCATAATATGTATACATATATGAATTTCACTGCGCAACGGATAATTAGAGCTCGGTTAACTCGTAAATTTTGCCGCATAGCGTAATTAGATGCGACATTTCCAATGTTATGCAACGTATTTTTTTTGCTAACATGCGATAATTCATGCGACATCGAGTTAATTTCAACATACGATGAATAAGATATAGAAAAATAAACACATAATATAGGACAGCACGGAGAGAGATGCGCTCGAAGGCGAGGAAGTATACGTATAACTCAATGGTATATGTATCTACACAGAATAGTATCGCTTCGCGAATATAATTCTGAGACAAGCGTTCGCTTAACAATCAAAACTTAATCGCATTGTGTAAATGTATATCCATATGTGTGTGTCTGCGTTATTCGTTACTCTCTAACAAATTTTTCCGTTATCTATTAGGCCTTAACAACGTATTTTCCTTTAATTCGCTTAGACACTAGTCGTCAATTGACGGCGCTATTCGCTAGGTTGAGAAGCCTTAAGAAATCTTCGCTGTACTACATCGATCGATGGAAGGCGGATGCGTTGGCGTCCACCTTCCGTCCTGTTAATGATATGACACTTAATGAAATGATATCGATGATATGCAGGTGCAATTTTAGAATGTCCGCTCGTCGAGACTTTGTGACTCGCGGAATTGAAAGAGGAAATTCAATCGTGTTCGAATGATCCTTTTAGCGGATCCTGTGCGAATATCTCAGCTCCTTTCAGCTGAGGATAGAATCGCGTCGTCTTCATGAACTAGTCTATTTCTTGACATCAAAGAGGATCCGAATCGCGGAATAATTTATGCGAAACTTCGCCGTCGTCTCATCTCGACGAGAAGACACTCACGATAAAGCTCTCGGTGCCGTATTTAGGTAACCCGCGGCCAACAATAAACGTATGCTGTGCGAGATATTTAGGAGAGAGATTCTTTCTCTCTCCACTTTGTGCAAATTGGAGTACGCCGATTAGCCGGAAATTGTTAAATATTTGCTGTTGCAGTAATCTAATCCTCGTTTCGTGTTTCTCCCATCGATTAATTACTTACGAGTTTATTTATACGGTATATTCCAGAAAAAATGTCTACATTTAATACGTGTGATATGTAAATGCGTGACTTGCGCCGATATATTTGCGAAACTTCCGCCGCAATATACGTATCAAACGCGATGATTTACTAGAGATGATAAGACGTTGTGAATTTCGGCAATCTTCGTGTATATGTATAATTTAGACTGTCCTTTAATTCAACGAAAATAAAATATATCACGTGAGAAACGCGATTAAAAAATGCCCTCTCAGTCTTATATAAATTAAATCCAAGTAGCGATTACGGCTATCATTACATTGCGTGAGAGGTATATTATAATAAATTTGCGATAATATTCGTAATAGCTGATAACATAACTTATTTATAAATTCAAGGACAACTCTATAATGGATTATATGTAAATAAAAATACTTATGAGTGTAAAATTACATCCGACTCTCAGAAGAGGAGAATATTGCGAGTCGGTCATAGACGTCGTACGTAAAAAAGATTACGATGAAAGAGTCGCCGGAATAGATTTCCCAAGAGTCTATATTCGGAAATGGAGTTGAATCCGAATGTCATAAAAGTGCGCGAATGTTCGTGATTAATGGAAATGGAAATGGAGTAAATATACGAAAGAGCTAATACGACCTTAGGAAGAAGCGGCTCAAGAAACGACGTCGCTAACATATACATGCGATATGTACATTTTGCATAAAAGTCAATTCTGCATTGCGTCCCAGTATTATATGAAATTGTCACTGAGCTCGCAAGCAAGTGCATCTGCACGCGTAAAAAAAATAAAAACGATGAACGTAAGCGTAAGCTACTAAAACAATATAATTTTACGAAGATTGTCGAAATTCCAAAATTTACTACGATATGTATGAGTACAGCCATGATTTATGAATATGTATATGCGATTATGAATAATTACAGTAATATATTAATGCCTGAAGAAAATAACAGGACGACAGAGTAAACAAGTTGTAAACAAACAAATTATCTGGAGACGAAAAATGAAGATAATATTAATACTATCTGAAGAACATCCTTATCTAGATCTCGAAAGATAAAATCAATCGATAAATCAATCGAATTAGTAACGGATTTATTGAACATATTATCGCATACGTTTCAACGTTGTCCCAAAACTGGGTATGGCCGCAGGTAACCAGAGGCATTTGCCCGTCTGTGTCTGTATATGTGTATGATTTTGTGGTAAGTAACATGGACACCGTGTACATGTGGGTATGCGATTTCTGCGAATGATATGTCAGACTGTGTAGGTGTGACGATAGTAGCATGATGTGCGCCATAATTATGCTAGCAGCCAAGTTGTAGACCCACACCGTGTGGTGAATCTAATCCCACGTTCGCCTAATCATCCCACAGCTCACCGCGATTTATCTTGAACTTCCGTTTCCGTACGTGAATGTACATATAGTAATACTCCCGATACATATTCTCCCGTCGTAAATTATGATTATACACAATACGTATCCGTTTGCATCCGTAAGCACCTTTATTGTTACGTCGATAATCTTAATTACGGGATATGTATTTGCCCTACCGTCTTTGAATAGGGCGGCATATCTGAACACATAAGACATACAAATATTTTACGAGAGGAAACTAGAAAGATCGATTTTATACAAATCTCGAATTTCTTTCACGTTTGATAACTCTTTTATTATATTGACAATCGTTGTACCGCAGTTCGAAAGACATCTATCTTGCGTTTGTACGACAGATTTCTTACGCCCCGC